ACCTTTTAATATAAATATAAGAAAAATGTTAAAAAAAAAAATATTAAAAGCCTGCGAAAATGTGACCCGACTAACGTTGACAATGACCTGACCAACATCGGCGATGACAGGACCAAATGAAAATGCTAATAACTTTTTTAATTTTCAAAGGATTTATCTTAAATTTCAAATATAATAAGATATCATCATTTAAAACATAAATATGCGAGAATAAAAAAACGAAATTTGTTTTTAAAGCTTACGAAAACACGACCCGACAAACGTTGACAATGACCTGACAAACATCGGCAATGACCTGACCGATGAAAAGTCCTAATTTCTTTGTTATTTTACTTACAAAATTTGTAAATGGTCAAATGTTGATCCATAGTTAATAAGATATTACAAAAAAAATCGGGGACATTTTTTTGGGGGGATAAAAAACTTGACCTGACCAACGTTGACTGCCCACGGTGTCCTGATCGTTGTACGTACTGATACGGGGAAACTACTTTATACTTATTGATATGTGAATGATTTGCTTCAAATTTATAAAAACATTAAGATTAAACAGTTAAGTTTATTATCAAATAAAAAAAAAACGGTGGAAAAAACAGTTTAGGAGTAAAAAAAAACGTGACCTTACCAATGCACACGTTGTCCAAACTAATCTAATTATCAGCTTATTGTGATTAGATTTGATTAGATTACTGGCTTATTAATCCAATTAATATCAATATACATTCAATGTAATCAGCTACTGATTAGTAGGATAATTGGTGATCATTGTCTCAATAAAAGAATAAAGGAAATTTGGTCAGCTTTTATAATTTGAGGAAACTTAAATAAAAGAACTCATATAGTTATAAATGAATGGCCTTTTTTCCCCTTTCGTAAGATTGGTACTGTGACGAGCACCGCGTTATTTGAACTTTTTATTGTATTTATAGTAGTATATTGTATTTAACTGTGTAGTTTTAAATATTTTCATAACAGTAAATAATTGTTTCCGCGGACTGCTTGAAGTATGACCGAGCCTTGTGCAGGATATCTTTCTTAGTTTTAAATTTTCCCGAAAGTCAATAAATTTTTCGTTTGTTAATATGTTTGATAATCGTTTACATGCATTACCTTTCAGTTATTTTTATAGGTAGGATAATTTCTATCACATAATTTTGATTTCTAATGCTTTCAAACATAGACGTAGTTTTTATACGACCGCAAAATAATTTTGCGGTTGTATATTGGTATGACGTTGGCGTCGTCGTCGTCGTCGTCGTCGTCGTCGTCCGAAGACACATTGGTTTTCGTACTCTAACTTTAGTTTAAGTGAATGGATCTCTATGAAATTTTACCATAAGGTTCAATACCACAAAAGGAAGGTGGGGATTGATTTTGGGGGTTATGGTACCAACAGTTAAGGAATTAGGGGCCAAAAATAAGCATTTTTGTAACTTCCAGACATTACTTGTGTGTTAGTGTATAGATCTCTCTGACATTGTACCACAAGGTTCCATATCACAAAGGGAATGCTGGGATTAATTTTGGGGGTAATTGCCTCCAAATTTAGGAATAAGGGGCCAAAAAGGGGAAAAAAACAAGCATTTTTCTAGTTTCCAGACAATAACTTGTGTGTAAGTCTATGGATCTTTATGAAATTGTACTTCAAGGTTCCATATCACAAAGAGAAAGCTGGAATTGAGTTTTGGGGTAATTGCCCAAAATGTTTAGGAATAAGGGGCCAAAAAGGGGCCAAAAATAAGCACTTTTCTAGTTTCCAGACAATAACTTGTGTTCAAGTGTATGGATCTCTCTGAAATTGTACTGCAAGGAACAATACCACAAAGGGAAGGCTGGGATTGATTTTGGGGGTAATTCCCTCAAAAATTTAGGAATTAGGGGCCATAAAGGGGTAAAAAAAACAAGCATTTTTCTAGTTTCAGGACAATAACTTGTGTGTAAGTGTATGGATCTTTATGAAATTGTACTGCAAGGTTCCATATCACAAAGGGAAAGCTGGGTTTGAGTTTGGGGGTAATTGCCCTAAACGTTTAGGAATTTGGGGCAAAAAATAAGCATATTTCTATAGTTTCCAGACAATAACTTGTGTTCAAGTGTATGGATCTCTCTGAAATTGTACTGCAAGGTACCATACCACAAAGGGAAGACTGGGATTGAGTTTGGGGGTGATGAATCATAAGGGGGTTCAAAAAATTTGGGGGGATTCTTTTTCCCTTTTTTTTCTTTAAAATTTTCCATTTTAAATTGGTTATTTCTGATTTATATATAAAAGCAAATAATAATGATATGGTTTGAATAGGTAAATTAATAATTTTTAAGTTCTTAGACCACATTCATTCTGTGTCAGAAACCTATGCTGTGTCAAATATTTAATTACAATCCAAATTCAGTGCTGTATCAAGCTTGAATGTTGTGTCCATACTTGCCCCAACTGTTCAGGGTTCGACCTCTGCGGTCGTATCAAGCTGCGCCCCAGCGGAGCATTTTATTTTTATTGTGATCTATACATTTATTAAAAGTTTTACTTTTTTATTTGTTCTTTTACAAGTACATATTTAATGATCTATTTGCATGTTTAATCATACTTATTTTTCTTTATTTCAGGGTGGGGTACACTGCTAGCTATAGGTCCTCGTCCTGTACTCTGGGATGACTAAATTGTGTCATGCAGAATGCTAGCGAAACAGTTTGAATTATTTTACAGAATCAGTATATAGATTATACACAAATTTGATATTGGAATTAAACGCTACCTGACTTATATCATAGATATAATAGCCATAGATAAAGTACTCAGAATATATCACACTGAGCCCCATGTAGTTTCCTTTGAAATATCAAACGCACGGCACGGCGCGAAGTGACCTGTGATGTAGATGATATCTGCCGACATCCTCCCAATAGACTAATTTCTTATCATAATTATATTTAAATTATCGGGCACGCGTCTTATCAGCTGATAATCAATATGCGTTACCTGTCTCAAGTAAAAATATGCCGCGAGGCGGTAGCAATGAAAAGCGTCTGGTTGTAAAAACTGTTCGGATTGTAATTTATTTGGAGAAAATCGGTCAACAAATAAAAAGGTTATGCTGTTGTTGAAATAATAGAATAGAGAAATTATGGAAAATGGACTTAACAGGCACGTAAAATTAAATTGCCATAGCACTTGCATCGGTTGCACTCGGGAAATAAGACCTGTATGATTGACAAGAGGAGACATATCAACTACTGATGGTATACGTGGTTAAGAGGTCGAACCTGGTCGAATTTTTCTATGGCGAGTTAAAGACAATTCTTTTCTATCGAGATTCAAAACAGTATAATCACATTTTAAACCAGAAAAACGAAATTATAATATTTTAGAACACAAAAAAAAGTGTTGAAACTTTCTGTCGTAACGGTAACACGAAGTTTTTGAAAAATAAAGAGAAAAAAATGAATACATTATAAATTTTAAAACGCCGTTTGGTGAAGAAAACGTAAGTGGTGGACATACTGAATACATTAAATAATTGGGAAATAGCACAATTATCATGTCTCTGATTTTTTTCTTTTATATATATAATACTTTTCCGCTTACATTTTTGTTGTTGCTTGTTTTGCAATTAAATAGCGGATGGTTTAATCTGATTGTCGATTTCATTTTTGAAGTAAACAATATATATCCTTCTTAGAATTGTGTTAGGGGTGTTATTCTTTCTATAAATACGGCTATATAACCCTCCGTAAGTCTGCCCGTTTAGTTGTCAACGTACTTTTTATGTACTTTATTTTTATAACTTCTTTGGTTTGGTATGAAACTAGTTGTGTATTTTCTATTACTGTGATTTATTATATGATCGTTGATTTCACAACGTTCGGTGGAAAATATTTGATGAATATTCAGGACTTATAAGAACAATGTAATTATACATCGATCACCTTGACTTGTATTTTAAGCACGTATATAAACATTCCAAAAAAAAAATGATGTACCGGAAGATAACGATAACTACCGAACTTGTCCGAAGAATGACATATTACTCTCCCGATTCACAATTTATTAGATATCGATAGACGGCAATTGCCAATGAAGGCTAATTAACACCAAGCGTGACATGTATATAATAAGAGGGTGATAAAATTTCGGCAAATATCATCTGCTTTTGATGTGGGTTCAGTACTTTATCTATGGCTATTATATCTATGCTTATATTCTCTACTAGATGTCCATTGATCATAATTGAATTGGTGAAGTCCGTTTTCTAATTACAATAAGCTGATAATTTAATTTAGATTAGTCTGGACGAATTGAATAATTAGAACATTGATGATCAAGATGAGTTTTTTTTTAAAGTTTTTATATTTGATAAAATGAATGATTAAATTTAAATCTTAATATTTCTGTAAATTGGAAGCAAATACTATTACATATAAATAGGTATATAGTCATATTTCCTGGTCATGATAACGGTCAGGACAGTCAACGTACGTTGGTCAGGTCAAGTTTTTTACCAAATTTTTTTTTTTTCGGATTTTTTAGTAATATCTTATTAACTATGGTTCAACATTTAATCATTTACAAATTTTGTAATTAAAATAACAAAGACATTATAGGACTTTTCATCAGTCAGGTCATCGTCAACGTTGGTCAGGTCACATTTTCGCAAGCTTTAAATATTTGTTTTCTCTATTTTTTCTTATATTTATGTATCAAATGGTGAAATCTTATTATATTTCAAATTTGAGAAAAGTCCTTTGAGAAATAAAAAACTTATTAGCATTTTCATTTGGTCCTGTCATTGTCAGCGTTGGTCAGGTCACGTTTTCGCAAGCTTTTAAAAAAAAAATCTTTAATTTTTTTTTGTAATTTATGTAATAAATCCTTTGAGAAATAAAAAAAAATTATTAGCATTTTTCATTTTGGTCCTGTCATTGTCCTGTCATTCGGTCCAGTCATTAGTGTAACCCCGCCAAATGTCAAAATTGACAAATTGGAGTTGTCTTCCGTGTGAACTTCCGTCGTCTGTCATATGATCTCCCTTGAACGATTAACACACGATGCACCATCTCAAAGTTTAAATGATGTTACTGCTGAATTGAAGAAATGTCATTTATAAATTTCTTAGAGGATAATGTCTGGGTAAATAATAGATCCACACAATTCCATAAATCTCGAGGAAAAAAGTTTGAACGAAACTTAAGTCATAAACATATACAACTACAAGGTTCATGTGGACCCTTTGGCTAAAATTGCTCCTATTTCACCTCAAAATTTACTCTGAGTCTCAATACAGACTAACCTATGTATCTTGAAGAAAAGTTTTAAGGCATATCATGCCCTAGATAAATAAAATTCAAATGCATTTTATGTTTTAGAAAATTCAAAACTTAACTGGATTTTGCTGTGCACTATTTTTGTCCCTGCAGAAGAGGATAAATTTAACAAACAGTTGAGTTTCACTTGATATGGTCCACTCAAGTAAACAGTTTAAATCACCAATTATTGTCAGGTATCTATTGTCCATCTATGAGGGTTGTAATGACTAATGGGGATACTTTCATGACGAACAATTGTAAAAAATCTTGCCAATGATTATCGGTAATTTTTGGTGCATGACAATAAAATGAACCTTTTCTTTGTGACGATAAAAAAAAAATCAACTTATTTTAACAAATCACATTAAATTCTTTCCTAAACTAAAGGTAACAGTTAAATATTTCATACCTCTGACGAATTATGATAAGGATATTTTGATGAATCACGATAAAATTTTAACCAATTTGACGCTATCGGTTGCCAAAAAGACTGTTTGACGCCTGACGGCAATCAATACAGTTCACTTCAATATTTCCTTAGGGAAGTTCTCAAACCTCTTTCCCAACTTTATTTATTTTGGCCCCTTCTGGAGGAATGAAAAAAAGTGCACTGCAAAATCCAGTTAAAATGTGTATGAGTATTATTTATCTAGAGCATGCTATGCCTTAACATATTTCCAGATACTCCCGAGGTTTATCTGTACTCAGAGTAAATTTTGGATGAAAATGCAGCCATTTTAGTCAAAGGGTCCACATGAACCTTAAACAGTTAAAATAGAGAAAATCACCTCCATATACTACCCAACTATTAAAGATTCCTGACATTTAAAAAATTAACCCCATAGCATTTTAATATCACATATTTACAATAACAGGAGATGCAATTTATCATACATCAATGAGATAGCTATCCAAGAACACAAAAAATAGAAAAACATTCAGCTGTTATAATTTGTCACTGTCAGTCAGGGGTACTACTTGTACAAGTAATCTTTATTTACTTGAAGAAGTAAATAAAATATACTTATACAAGTTAATTATATTGTTTGAATAATCTCCCCTTAATTTTCTAAAAAAAATTACTTGTATTTAAGTAAATTTTTTTTACAATCCCACAAAAATTCTCAAGTTTTGAGATGTAAAATCATGCCTTTAACAATTTTTCTCAGGTTAGCTCATAATTTTGGATAAGAGTTCAATGTTTCATCTCATTAATTCAACAAAGAAACTGATTGAGCAAAGATCTTAAGTATTTGCGCAAGGCCTTCAAAAATTGCTCCTTGGGGGCTTGTAAATGAGCAGTGTTCTAAAGATAACAGACAAATGAGATTTTCATTGTCCATGAAATTACACTTAAATGAATAGTAAAGACATCTACAAAGGACAGACAATTCAAAATTCTGTTAGAGCAAAGAAGTTCTAAGAATTCAAGAAAAGAAGATAGGATGACTTTTTTACTTGTATAAGTAAAAAAATCTGAATGTCTAAGGGACATAACTAGGCCAAAAAATAATTTACTTATACAAGTAAATAAAATACACTTGTATAAGTATCCTACAAATTTACTTATATAAGTATATTATAATTACTTCTTCAAGTAAATAAAAATTACTTGTACAAGTAGTACCCCTGACTGACTGTTCAGTCAACATAAAGTCTTCAAGAATAGATAAACATGATAAATGATCTTTAAAAGAGGGGCGAAAGATACCTGAGAGGGACATTCAAACTCATAAATCGAAAATAAACTGACAACGCCATGGCTATAAAAGAAAAAGACAAACAATAGTACACAAAACACAACATAGAAAACTTAAGACTAAATTAAAATGCATACATGTTTTATAGATATATTTTTATAACAAATTCTTACCAAGTTTCCTCTGCTGTTATTGATTTTATTGTGTCTGTCTGCAATACATCATCTTTAGGGGGGAGAGGATGGGACTGCGGAAAGGCTTGACAGAGTTGAATAGAAATAATCAATAATCTTGCAAAAGACAGGGTGAAAATGTATACATTATAACACAAAATTCAGAAGTAATTGTGTACAAAAGTGAAAAAAATAGGCATGTGCCATAGCAGCAATTATAAATGAATATTCAATTCAATTTTGCACCCCCACCCTTCAGAATATCAAATGGTCTTCCCCCTTATTCAGAAAGTCATAGTCATGACAGTACAATGCATAATTGGTCTCAAAGTATGGGTGATGACGTTATCATAATTCCAGGCTATTTGGACCCCAGTTACAAAATCAAGACTTTTTTGCAAAGTTTTAAGTTGCCCTTCACAATTTTATGTCATTTTTAGCGACCTGTTGACCACTAATTTAGAGCCTTGGTGAATATCACATCAGCAAGAGTTAGTGTTGTTCCAATGATCGGAATTAGTTAGTAATCATTTGGTTGGGCTTGGCGATGTCTATAATCAATTGGGAATTTATTTAATCGATTTTCGTTATAGTTTCCGGAACCTTAGCATATCAACTTCTGGTCTGTTTCCAGTTTGCATTTTACATGCGCAGTCAAACAAATTGTAAAAGAATAATATCAGTAGATGACAATAACAATGTCAAACATCCTATGATCAAAGACATAAGCAATTTCTTTCTTTATAAACGTGGTAAAAGCATTGACTGTACAGATTGATCGTATTTTATTTAAAATAAATAACTTTTTATGAAATACTTTCTTTCAATTCTGGTAGTTGTTACTCGAGAGCGTACATCAAATCATTCAGTTTATCAACAAAATAAATTTGTTGCTACATCAGAACGTGGTGCAAATTGCCTTTTTGTTGCGTTAAAAACGTCATAATTCTTTCCAATTGCTTGTCAAACATAATTTATTTTTGTAAATTTTCCTGGTTTGTCCGCCATTATAATATATACAAATCACAGATCGGAAACAGATCAACTTTGAAACAATTCTATATTCTTACAATCATAAGTATAGACGCACGAATGACACAGCTGACAGAAGAATAATGATCACAAAAGTGAAAAATACACATACCACATGAATTACCAGACATTGGTTGGATCCCCTTAGTTGAATGTATATATTTCAATGCAAATGCATTGTTTTATTTATTGATTAATTTTAAATTGCTTAATACTTTATATATCTTTTTTTAATGAGAAGCATTCAGATTTTGATACAGCTATGTATTTAAAATTATAATGTGAATGATACCATTGAAATGAAGACATTTTAGTGTTATAGTTGTTATTATAAGACAAAATAAATTCAATTATAATTCTAATTGCTTCACTGTTTTAATTGCTAAATAAAATATGGAAAGGAAACAAAAGATCAAATATGAACATATAAAACTTTGCAATGATATGGAATATATGTATTTCAACCGATTATCCAACACTAGCAAGAGTTATATTTTATACTGTATCACTTTGTGGGTAATATTTTTTTTGGTTACTGAATCACTTTGCATGTACTGTGGTATTTTGAACAGATATATCATGTTAAGGAGGGGTATTTGCCAAAAATACCAGTCGAAAGAATGTTAAATTTCGCGAGCCGTAATGCGAGGGAAATTTATTCTTCAGACTGGTATTTTTCGCAAATACCCCTCAAGAACATGCTATATCTGTTTAATTACACCGAATGTTAACGTACAAAACTCATTGATGATCGTGTCATAAAACGCATTGATGATCGTGACATTACAAGCGTCCAGTCGGATAGAGTATTTTTTGGCAAATACCACGGCAGAGAGGGTAAAAAAGGCATATCCTTTTTGCATATACCCCGGTGCTGTTTAAAAATGAACGATATTCATTTGATAAAAGTAAATTGGTGAAAAATACACTGGCTATCAACCAATCAAAACCCAGGATTCTTACATAAGGTGTAATTATGCACCAAATCACCTTATGTGTACTGTTATATTTTGCATAGTCTTGTTTTCTTGGTCATCGATTTAAAATTATTTTACAGGTTCCAATAGTAGCTGGGGTTGTCCTTTTGATTGCTGTAGTTGTTATTATTTATTGCATCTGCACCAGATGTAGGTATGTTATATAATGAAGAGCAATCCCCTTTGGACACAATGTTAGAAATTACTGCTGGGTTGATGACTCCAACTGCATTTAAACAAGGACACCATTATTACAAAAATAGTTTATAGGCAAATTCAATAGAAAATCCTTTAAAAAGCCATTATTGCTACCAACAGTTGGGGAAATGATAGTTTTTGTATGGTTAAACTTACATGTCATACATTTATACATTATTTTTTTACCAACAAGAAACGTCTCCCAAGAAGGGACTGAATTTGAAGGAGTTCAATAAATGTGTTTATTTATTTATTTATTTTTTTTATTTCTGTAATTTCACATTTGTTTGAGATTTAAAATTTGATAATTTTTAGGTGATTTCTGTTTTCTATTATTGAGTCTTACAAAATGGTTAATAGTTTTCCTGCAATAGCTAGGTCTCATGATTGGTTCATCAAAAATGTGCATCAACGACTGAATCATACTCTGATTGGCCAATTTTATTGAATTTGCTATAGAAAATGATTTATTGACGAAATAGAAATGTGTAAGCTAGATTTGGTACTTTTCCATGTTTTCAACTTTCATTTGTTACCTGCTCATCAGACAAGTATGCTGCAGCTTAGATTAGAATGACTTTCACTTGTCCTTGACAATCGGACAACCTTAAATGGCAAACCCTGCAATTAAAATCTAACATATGAATAATTCATAAATGTTTAAAAAAAATTCTCTTTATAGACGATGTCATCGTTTTGACTACACAGCATTGAGGGATGAACAGTCGCTACCACAGAAAATCAGATTTGATAAGACTCAACAGGAAAATATTTTGAGAGGTTTGATTTCATATTGTTAGAAATTATAGATGAAATAAACAGCTATTCAGATTTTAAGTGTGTAAGGCTGTGTACCACCATCTTGGATTGTAAAATATCAATACACAATCAGGCTACTACCAAGGGGATGTTTAACAACCTTGTCTACCCATGAGGGTCTCGCACGGTCGGACAATCAGGCTATGTCTTTGCTTAAACATGTTAAATCTGCAAGTTTTGAAACTGATTGGCAATTATTGTTTAAAACTGTTTATTAAAATAGAGAAACATTCAAAGATTTATTGTACTATTCAAACTGTTTAAACAAAACTTAACATTTGCTTTTTTACGCTTCACTTTTTCAACCTAGCCATATAAGGGGATATAACTCTTATAGTAAAAATATTATAGAGGAATCTTAATGAAACTTTAATTTTGACTTGTAGCAAGAAAACAAGTTGGGTGACACCAATTTTTCCCTATATTTTTTCAAAGCATATTATAAGACCAAATCTTCATATTTTATTTTAAAATTCTATCGAAAGATTTCTTTTTTATTCTCAAAAAAGATTTTTTTTCATGAATAATCCATGCAAAATTGGGCAAATTTGCATGACTTGTAGCTTGAAAAATAGCATAGTGATCCAAACTTTTTATTATATTTTTGAAAAAACTATGGTGAAATCTATATTTGGCAAAGTAAAAGAAAATTCTATCTGAGAAATTATATAGTGATGATTTACCTTAGATATTTATTATTATTATTATTATTACAATTTTTCTATAGCGCTAAATCTAAAACAATATTACTCAAAGCGCTTTACATCACATGTTAAACGAAATATACACACAGACAGTGATAAAAATATAAAACATGAACACACAAAATAAATATTTAAGTGTTAAAACTTTTCTAGATAAAAGGATTAATAATGTGGAAATTTTTACAAAAAAGTGGAATATATATATCAATGAATCAAAATAAAATTATACTGAATAAAGTTGGTAAAATAAATAGCCAAAAAAGTCTAAAATAAGATTGCTATTAAAAATTATCAAATATAAGTTAAAAATTTGAAAACGTATTCAAAAGATGAAAAAGGAATATTACCATGTAAAAATATAATTACTGAAATGAAAAATATGTGTGCTACTAAAAACATACAATGTTCATATTATAAATGAAACATATCTCCAGTTAAAAGAAAGGTTCGATAAATCAAAAGCAGGCTAACGTCTATGGCACAATGTATCACAGAAACGAATTTAAGGAATTAAAAATGCTTGTCGAAAAAAGTGAGTTTTTAAGTTCTTTTTGAATACAGGCACCGACTTTGCATTTTGAAGTTTTTTTGGTAATGCATTCCAAAGGATGGCCGCTGCTTGATCAAATCTTCTATTGCCGTAGGTTTTGGTTCGCACAATAGGAGTTACGAGTGTTAAGTTGTTTTCAGACCTTAATGATCTTGATGGCCTGTATAAATTTACAAGTTCACTAAGATATAATGGCGCTTCATGTTTCACGGACTTGAATACATATAATAATATTTTGTATTGCACCCTGTATTGCACAGGCAGCCAGTGAAGAGACTCAAGTGTCAAAGTAATGTGTTCGTATTTCTTTTTTCTTGTAACCACTCAAGCAGCAGTGTTCTGAACCCTTTGTAGTCTCTGAATCATGTAAGCTGGTAGTCCATAGAGTAAAGCGTTGCCATAATCCAATCTAGAAATGATTAACGAATTGACCAGAGTTTTACATGCATCCTCGTTGATGTACGGACGTATGCGGCCTATATTTCGTATTTGATAAAAACATGATCTCGAAACTGAACTGACTTGTTGGTGCATTGACAGAGTCGTATCAAAATGAACACCCAGATTTTTAATACACTCAGAACTTGTAATGATGTTTCCTTTAAAGGTGAGATTGCAATCCTTCAAATCTTTCATTCATTTTTTCGGAGCAAATAGCATCAGTTCCGTTTTGTCCTCGTTCAGTTTAAGCATGTTTACACACATCCAGGAACTTATATCGGCCAAACAGTCCTCAATTCGATTCGATGTGTTTTTCCAGTTATCAAGAGGTTCGAAAACTAAATAGATCTGCGTATCATCGGCGTAGCATTGATAAGACATGTTGTGACGTCTACAGATTTCGCCGATCGGCTTCGAAAATATAGTATATAGCTTTGGGCCAAGCACGGAGCCCTGCGGCACACCGCAATTAAGACGAAATTCGTTGGAGTGGGCCGAGCCTACTGCTATACGCTGTGTCCTATCTCGGAGGTAAGAGAGTAACCAGTTCAGAGCAGAACCTGAGATTCCAAAAGCATATTCTAATCTAGCTTCGATAATGTTATGGTCAATCACATCAAACGCCGCAGAAAGGTCGAGCATCAATAAAACGGCACAACAGTTTTTGTCTAGCGCACTTGCAATGTCATGGTGAACTCGAAGTAACGTTGTTTCGGTTGAGTGTCCCGCACGATAGGCAGATTGAGCAGGGTCATGAAGAGTGTTTGACAATAGATGCTCTTTTAGACGACTTTCAATAACTTTTTCGAGAACTTTAGAATCGAAAGGAAGGTTCGAAACCGGGCGATAGTTTTTCAGTGTGTCTTTATCTAAACCGGGTTTCTTCAACAGAGGTCGCACAATAGCCTCTTTATACGATACTGGTACAGTAGAAGTTGATAATGACTTTTTTATGATCATCGTAATATTGCTGGCAATGCTGTTTACACAAGTTTTCAAAAGCGTAGTCGGGATTGGGTCGAGTTCACAAGATTTACTTGACGCTTTTAGAATTATTTTCGACACTTCATCAATTGACGCAGGGTGGAAGTCGGTGAGAGTGTTGCCTTCAAAACGTATATCTGCTCGTAGAGGGTCAATATCGTCGATAGAATTATTCGCCGAAAGTAAAGATATGTTCAGAAATGAGGTCTTTTTCAATAGAAAATGTATAATATTGCAAAATTGTACTAAAAAAGGATTGTTGGTGCACTTGATCTTTAGTCACACAAAATATTTAGAAAATTAGAAGTTTTATCTCTGGAATATTCTTTTGAAATGTATTAGAGGAAACAAATGTCAAACTGAATAAACACATAACAGAAACAAGAATTGAAAACTATTTTTTCAGAGGAGTATTTCAGACGTATTTTTAAAAACAAATATTGAGATAAATTTGGGTTGCTGAGCAAGCTATTCGAATATATTACCTAGGGAAAAGCTGTATGAATTACAAAATATTAAAGGAATGTTAAAAAATTGTGTACATAGCAAGCATCCTGAATACTTTTCTTCTGTATGTAATTTTATTCAATGAGAGCAAATTAATGTTACTTTGGTATTAGATTTAAGACTGTGTGTTCTAGAAATTCTGAAGATTTGTTCCTTCCAAAGAAATTTGTTTATAGCAAAAGTTTATTTCTTCCCACAGCTAAATGCTTAGTTATGCATTGAAAGATATATTATTTTGAATTGTAGATGAAGCATGGATGAGTTGTCAGTTTTATATGAGATCTAATCCACAATATGATTCAGTTCAAAGGATGGAAAATATTGGTAAGTCACAATTTAGCTGATGTGTTTTTTATGTTGCTTGCAAACCTGCCAACCCTCCCGTTTTGAGCGGGAGTTTCCCGCGCAAATAACTAAATTCCGGAAATATCTTGCTTGCCGGTCCACTTGTGCGTGGGAGTTTAAAAACTCCTGCTTTCGGATATTTAACCTAGAATGACCCGTGTTTGTAATTCTCTGGCTTTTTCATTACTGTCAATTGAAATAAATAAACAATCGGCGATCATTTGAAAACTTTGGTCAGTAGTTTTTATGTTCAATTTATAAGTAATCGAAATTCATTTCTGCTATGTCAACTCCAACAAGATAGAGGTCTTTGTGTGGACCAAGCGGCAGTGTAAAAAAGACGAAATAGATAGCTGCAAATCGAAATGTCAAGCAGAATTTGAATGAAAGATTTTTCAATTTTTACGACCAAGTTCACTTCAACACTTGACAATGAATCTTCATTTTGCACATCATGTTCAATCAACTTTTCAGTTTCTTCTGATGGTCTGTACGACGTTTGAAAGCATGCTTAGTGTGAGACTCACAACAAAATTCAAATATTGAAAGTATAATAGTCCAAGGAATTATTATACTTATTCTTATTCTTCTTATGAGACTCAGAGGTAATGAAAAAGGCAAAAAAAACAAAACTTTATAGATTATAACCATGAATTGAAGAAATAAAGTATATTTATTAACTCTTATTGGTGTTTTGTAGATAAATAAGTAAACAGGTCATATATTTAACTTGAAAATGTAGTTCGCGCAAAATCCCCCCTCAGCTATCATAGCTGGGGGTGGGATCTCACTCTTTAAAGGTTTCAGAGGTTGACAGGTTTGTTTGCTTGTATAGTTATCACCTTATAGATAAGAGTAGATGTGGGGTACACTTAGAACCTTTAAGCAAATAACTGGAGATCATAAGAAAGGCATCTGCACATCTTAAATACAGAAAAGAACTGCCATGGTATGGAGAGGTCTGAATCTCATAATACTTATGGCTGAATAAATTTTCGCATTGTGAGTTCTAATTTTCTTCTTATTTTTCAGGTTCTAGATTTGGTCGTCATTGGTTTAGTGTCAAAGACAGCATGAATAAAGAACAAGTTCTAACAATAACACAGTTGTGTTCTAACATACCAATACCATTCAGTTCATCAACAAGAAGAACATTGAAAGAATTGTTTTCAATATTAAAAGTAAAATATTCCTTTAAATTTTTGCGGTTGTATATTGGTATGACGTTGGCGTCGTCGACGTCGTTGTCATCGTCGTCCTGTGTCATCCAAAGACACATTGGTTTTCGCACTCTAACTTTTGTTTAAGTGAATGGATCTCTATGAAATTTTACCAAAAGGTTCAATACCACAAAAGGAAGGTTTTGGGGGTTATGGTACCAACAGTTAAGGAATTAGGGGCCAAAAAGGGGCCAAAAATAAGCATTTTTGTAACTTCCAGCCATAACTTGTGTGTTAGTGTATAGATCTCTCTGACATTGTACCACAAGGTTCCATATCACAAAGGGAATGCTGGGATTGATTTTGGGGGTAATTGCCTCAAAAAATTAGGAATTAGGGGCCAAAAAAGGGGCAAAAAACAAGCATTTTTCTAGTTTCATGACAATAACTTGTGTAAGTGTATGGATCTTTCTGAAATTGTACTACAAGGTTCCATATCACAAAGGGAAAGCTGGAATTGAGTTTGGGGGTAATTGCCCGAAACGTTTAGGAATAAGGGGCCAAAAAGGGGCCAAAAAACACATTTTTCTAGTTTCCAGACAATAACTTGTGTTCAAGTGTATGGATCTCTCTGAAATTGTACCAGAAGGTACCATACCACACAGGGAATGCTGGGATTGATTTTGGAGGTAATTGCCTCAAAAAATTAGGAATTAGGGGCCAAAAAGGGGCAAAAAACAAGTATTTTTCTAGTTTCATGACAATAACTTGTGTGTAAGTGTTTGGATATTTCTGAAATTGTACTACAAGGTTCCATATCACAAAGGGAAAGCTGGAATTGAGTTTGGGGGTAATTGCCCGAAACGTTTAGGAATTGGGGGCCAAAAAGGGGCCAAAAAACACATTTTTCTAGTTTCCAGACAATAACTTGTGTTCAAGTGTATGGATCTCTCTGAAATTGTACTGCAAGGTACCATACCACAAAGGGAAGGCTGGGATTGAATTTGGGGGTGATGAATCATTAGGGGGTTAAAAAAATTTGGGGGGGGGGGGGGAATCCTTTTTTTTTTTCCTTTTTTTTCTTTTTTTCCTTTTTTTTTTCTTTTAAAATTTTCCATTTTAAGTTGGTTATTTCTGATTTATATTTAAAAGCAAATAATAATGATATGGTAGGAGATACACACCAAACAGAATGTGTAAATTATTATTAATAAGTATTGTGCAATAGCAAGAAATTTTCAATTGCACAGTATTGCACAATAGCAAGAAATCTTCAATTGCACAGTATTGCGCAATAGCAAGTAATCTTCAATTGCACAGTATCGCGCAATAGCAAGAACTATCCAATAGCACAATATTGCGCAATAGCAAGAAATTGTCAATTGTGCAGTATTGCGCAATAGCAAGAAATATTCAATTGCACAGTATTGTGCAAAAGAAGATACTTCGAATAAATTGCTTATTTCTTGACCAATTTCAATGGGGTTTTATTCTTGAATTCTTGGGGTTCTTTAATATGCTGAATCTAACCGTGTATTAAGTTTTTGGATTTTTGGCCCTGTTTTTAAATTGGTCCACATTGAGGTCCAAAGGGTCCAAAATTAAACTTTGTTTGATTTCATCAAAAATTGAATTATTGGGGTTCTTTGATATGCCAAATCTAACCGTGTATTTAGATTCTTAATTTTTGGTTCCGTTTTCAAATTGGTCTACATTAAGGTCCAAAGGGTCCAAAATTAAACTAAGTTTGATTTTAACAAAAATTGAATTCTTAGGGTTCTTTGATATGCTGAATCTAAACATGTATTTAGATTTTTGATTATGGGCCCAGTTTTCAAGTTGGTCCAAATCGGGGTCCAAAATTAAACTTTGTTTGATTTCAACAAAAATTGAATATATGGGGTTCTTTGATATGCTGAATCTAACCATGTATTTAGATTTTTGATTTTTGGGCCCCGTTATCAACTTTGTCCACATTGAGGTCAAAAGGGTCCAAAATTAAACTTTGTTTGATTTCATCAAAAATTTAATTCTTGGGGTTCTTTGATATGCTGAATCTAACCATGTATTTAGATTTTGGATATTGGACCATAATAGGTGAATGTCCAATTTAAAATTTTTAAGTTCTTAAACCACATTCATTCTGTGTCAGAAACCTATGCTGTGTCAAATATTTAATCACAATCCAAATTCAGAGCTGTATCAAGCTTGAATGTTGTGTCCATACTTGCCCCAACTGTTCAGGGTTCGACCTCTGTGGTCGTATCAAGCTGTGCCCTACGGAGCATTTTATTATGTGTATGAATTTATAACTGTGTTTGTTCACTGAGAGGCCAATTTCGAACTGAAAATCTATTGTAGAGTTGGATATTGCACATTTTGTTGCATGAAATTGGTACTGGCAAATTCAGTAACAGGGGCTAATAATATCTATGTAGTATCAGTTTTGGTCATGGGTGAACTGGAAAGCTGCATGGTGACCTATAGTTGCTTAAATCTAAGTCATTTGAACTCTGGTGGATAGTTGTCATCCCATTGGCCATCTTACCACATCTTATTTTTATATCAAAAGAAATATGGTAATTTGTCGTCTCAGTGGCAATCATACTAGATTTTCTTATTTTTGTATTTAAAAATTGTGGTAGATAAACTATTTTACCAGAATATTAACAGTTTCTAATCATTATTTACTGCTTAATATAAGTATTGTTGTCTCTTTTTCCAGCATCCATACATTTTCCCAACAACTGATATAGATTTTGTGATAGACCAGAAACTTATTGTTGTTGTTCAGCCTGTAGCCAGCAGAGGGTCACTTAAAGATTATATTTTCCAGGTAAAATTTTATATGTAAGCCTATTTTTAACAAAAGGCTTGATACCTTGGTCCTGCCTACTTCAGATAGTATGAGAAATTGTAAATGTGATAGCTTATTTGTTTTATGCAATGCAGTTTCTTGCCTGAGAATAATTACTATTTTTTCTGCTTGGTGGAAAAGTTTTGAAGATCAACTTGACAGTATTGAGAACATTTTTAACATCTTTCTCTAAATCTTGGCATCTTTGGTGAACAGTTGCCATGAGAACAGCATTTACAGCGATCTCTAGCCTTTTAACACTGAGGTTGTGAAGATGAATCCCTCTCATGGTGAGATATTTTCGACACTTGGATTGCCAGTTTTCCTTCTAAAGTTAGTGGTTCTTTATAGGTACACTGGTTTCTTCCACCAATATAAGTTGGCCATCATGAAATAGCCAAGAGTGCCACAAGTGATGTTAAACACCCAACACACATAAAAAAAACATCTTAAATCTTGCATTAAATATTATAACAACATAAGTGTTAACAGATAACCTTTGATTTCAAGCTAAAAGAAGGCTAGATATATAAATCATACAAAAGCTCACATATCATCTTGTTAGTTTGAATTTCTTTCATTATAGACATTATTAATTTTCTTTTTTATCACTTTCAGAAACGCTATTCGACAAGTTACCAAGAGAAATATTTCCAGAAAACTAAGGGATTAATAAATACTCAAGTAAAACTCTTTGGAAGACAGATTTTGGAGGTACAAATGTATTATGAATCTGATTTTTGTACAGTTGATGGTATATTTAGGACCTCACAATGATCCAAAAACTAAGTCTTTGAATCTTTTCCCAACAGGATTCTTTATGTTTAAAGCTAATGCCTACAGTTTGTAAAACGTAAAAATGAGCGAAGTTTTTATTACCATTGTTCAACTGAATTTTGACCATAGACATATTTTTATCTGTAATAATGTATTATATATTAACTAGAGAATGAAATAAAATAAAAATGATCTGTGTAAGGTGTCAAGTAAAAACTACAGCTTTAAAAAAGATGAAAATTATATTTTTTAGGCATTACTTTTTTTAGACAGCAAAGGATTTCCAACACATGGGCATTTAACGTCTAGTAATGTTATGATGTCAGACGGATGTTGCACGTGAGTTACAGTATTCATTTTTTTGTCTAAACATCAATCTAGCAAAGACATTATTTGACTGTAGGTGTTGATTTAATAGTTATATCCAGTCTGATTCAGGATATTAATTTGAAGAAGTATTGATAATTATACCCCTGCTGTCTGTTGTCACATAAAGTTTTGTTCACACTTTTCTCAAAAACTACAAATCAGATGTTCAAGAAATTTGGTATCATACATCATGTGTTTCTTCCTGTTTATCAAATATTTGTGTTTACTATTGATTTTTTTGTGCATGATTTGTATCTGTCCTTGTCAAGTTGTGTGTTTAATTAATATGAGGGACCAAAAAATATGGAGATTGACTACACTATCAAAAAGTGTCATATCGAAAAAAGGCACACTGTTCAAAGTATCTGGTTTACACAAATCTCATAACGTAGTTCATGCATTCCAAATAAATGACGAAACACTTGACCTCGGATGAGTGGTTGAGATAAAGAACAGCAATAAAAGCCCTGTTCCTTTTCTTTTTGTGTGTTTTTTGCTGTGCATGTACTGATTTTGTGTCGTGGATGGATACCCCATATCCTTTGTGTTTCTATAGATTTTAGAATTTTTAGTTAAATAATGATTGATTGTCATCCAGTGATTTTTGTCTCGCCTTGTCAACAATGTATTAGTTTGTGATTAGGTCTAGTTCATGGTGAACCACTATGGGTAGGTCAATGATATTTGGTATGCAGTTGTATTAGCATTGGCATATCTCATTTCCATGGAGATTATTTGGCCCCACCCCCCACATTCATGGTCTATTGACTTTAAAACTTTTGCTTAGTTTTCATGTATTAGTTTGTGATTAGGTCAGTTTAAGGGGAACCGTTAGTGGTAGGTCAATGATAATTGGTATGCAGTTGTATAAGCATTAGAACATCTCATTTCCATGGAGATTATTGAGTCCCTACCCCTCAATCATGGTCTATTGACTTTGAAACTTTTGCTTAGTTTACATGTATTAGTTTGTGATTAGTTCAGTTTAAGATGAACCACTAATGTTAAGTCAATGATATTTGGTATGCAAATGTATTGGCATTTGCAAGTTTCATTTCCATGGAGATTATATAACCCCACCCCCTAATTATGGTTCATTGACTTTGAAACTTTTACATAGTTTACAAGTTAATGTTTGTGTTCAGGTTTGTTTAAAGGGAACGACTTATGAAAAGTCAATGGTATTTGGTTTGCAGTTGTATTAGCATTAGCACATCTCATTTCCATGGAGATTGTTTAGCCCTGTACCTTCAGTCATGGTTCATTGACTTTGAATATTTGCATAACTTACATGTTAGAGTATTGCTATTTTAATTTCAACATTTGCATTATCAAAATAACAAATAGGCGAGACATATCTCTGTGTTAACAGTTTATTTTTTTCAGACTAGTAAATTGCAATTGTTCAGTGGGTTGAATGAAATTCTGTTTTACCATTCACCACCTTGCAAACTCTGCAAACAGTATCTGTACAAGAATATATGCTTTGTACTGAAAGAAGAGATAACTCTTTCCAAACTTCTTGACATGTAAAGAACCTGTACCTTTTCACAACTTAGAAAATATGCCAGATTATATTTTAGTCAATATCATATTAAAAGGAAAACAAATAGCTTTCAAACACTGCCAGTCATAGTTAAGCACATTTATTAAAGAAAAGGTTGCTTGACTAATTGGTAGTAAAATAAACTTTTTACATGATTTTAGTGTTATCTGTAGGTTGGCTGCCATAGAGAATTCATTCTTAGGATATACATCAAAATTGTATCCACTCATACAGAAAAAAGTTAGTAAACAAATGGATGCCATAGACAGTGTCTCTTTTGGTAAGTTTATAAGTTCATTATATAGTGTTTTACCCAACACCACAATGTTGCAAAATTAAGTTTTCTATAGTACATGTAGTATAGTAATACATATGTGATACATAGAAAATGTACGATAAATATATGTACTGCGTCAGAAAAATATAAAAAAAAAAGAGAGGCAAAAGATACCAAAATGACATTCAAACTATCAAAAATAAATTGACAACACTATACTGTGGATTCATTTATATTTGTGGGTATCAATTTTCGTGGATAGAGAAAAAAAGGCGTTTCGTGGTATACGTAAATTCGTGGATCGCTGATTACAAAAAGAAAAAAAAATTCAGATACGTAATTCGTGGATTTCTTTTTAATTTAGGAGATCATTTAGTCTCCTTGGTTTGATCAATAATCAAACAAACAAAAAAGAAGGAATTCATTGAAAAAGTTTTGAATTGTAAAAATCCTCGCTTGGTCATTCTAGGTTAAAGTGTTCATTGAAAACTTCAATTACAATAAGTGACAGAGACAACTAATTATTTGTTTGTTTTACAATTTATAAATTCTTGTTGGAATTTTATAAGGCATTCAAAACTCTATGATTGAAAGCTCATTTCCCTAATCACGATATAATAAACAGTCATATAAGTAAAAGGTGTGAAAATAAATGTTCCTGTCATAAACAATATTACCTACGGACAATATCCACGTACTTAATCCTATTGATTTTTAATCAACAGTAAACCACACTATGACACGGTAATTAACAACTTGCAGTTATTTTCCATGAACAGTTTTATTCAATTTTAAAAAGTAAATTATCACTGATATTCGATATATTTATTATTGATTTAATGAAAATACTTGTATCTTCTTTTAATAAAAACATATGTTATGTTACAGTGTTTATCGATAGTCAACACTATACTAGAACTGCATAACATAACCGGAAATAAACATCCGACTCCATACACATTTCTCGGGATTATTCTTCCTTGAATTCTTAAATTCGTGGTTCGCTGTGACCCACGAAACCCACGAAAATTGGTATACCATGAATAAAAATGAATCCACAGTATCCAAATATTTTGTATGAGACTTAGAAACTTGGGAAGGGTAATGTTTATGGAGCTTCATGATGAATACAAAAAGTTGATTTATTAGTTATTATAATAGCTTCACAGCCATGGAGTACCTAGAGACCTTATATTTTTGGAATCAGCATAAGTAACCAATGATGTAACACCGGAAGTGACATTGTGTAAACCAGTCGTAGCAAATTATCTCCCTTATTCAAGTAAAAGAAAATAGTAACCATATGTTTTTTGAATTAGTGTAATGTAAGCTGTCATATGACACCTGAAAATTTGTTTTTCAAACCAGAGGTAACCAATTATCTCCCTTATTGCAAGCAAAAGTGCATGTATTTTTTGGAATCAGTGTATTGTAAGCATACATATTGTTTAAAACTTGAAATAGGAAATTCTCTCTCTTTTTTGAGTAAAATTATATATAGAAACCTCATATTTTTGGAATCAGTGTAAAGTTAGCTATCATTTGATAAAATCAAAATAAGCTGATTTTCTCCTGTACTAGAAAGATTCAAAAACCTATGTATATTTGAAATAAGTGTAAGCTAAGCTTTCTCTTAATGCCTAAAGTGACCTATAAGTTGATATGATTTTTCTCCCCTATTTTACAAAAAAAAATCTTTTTTAATCATATCTTTTTAGCTCACCTGGCCCGAAGGGTCAAGTGAGCTTTTCTCATCACTTGGCGTCAGTCGTCCGTCGTCGTTAGCTTTTTACAAAAATCTTCTCCTCTGAAACCACTGGGCCAAATTTAACCAAACTTAGCCACAATCATCATTAGGGTATCTAGTTAAAAAAAGGTGTCCAATGACCCCACCAACCTACCAAGATGGCTGCCATGGCTAAAAATAGAACATAGGGGTAAAATGTAGATTTTGGCTTATATCTCTGAAACCAAAGCATTTAGAGTAAATCTGACAAAGGGTAAAACTGATTATCAGGTCAAGATCTATCTGCCATGTAATTTTCAGACAAATCTGACAACCTGTTGTTGGGTTGCTGCCCCTGAATTGGTAATTTTAAGGAAATTTTGCAGTTTTTGGTTATTATCTTGAATATTATTATAGATAGAGATAAACTGTAAACAGCAATAATGTTCAGCAAAGTAAGTTCTACAAATAAGTTGCCATGACCAAAATTGTCAGTTGACCCCTTTAGGAGTTATTGCCCTAAATAGTCAATTTTTAACAATTTTTTGTAAATTTTTGTAATCTTTTACAAAAAACTTCTTCTCTGAAACTACTGAGACAAATTTAACCATACTGAGCCATAATCATTATTAGGTAAACTAGTTTAAAAAATTTGTCCGATGACCCTGCCTTCCAACCATCATGGCCGACTTGGTTAAAAATAGAACATAGGGGTAAAATGCAGTTTTTGGTTTATATCTCTGAAACTAAAGCATTTAGAGCAAATCTGACAGGTGGCAAAAATGTTCATCAGATTTAGATTTATCTGCCCTGAAATTTTCAGATGAATCCGACAACCTGTTGTTGGGTTGCTGCCCCTGAGTTAGTAATTTTACAAAAATTTTGCAGTTTTTTGTTATTATCTTAGATATCATTATGATATCTAATATCTAATACTATTAATTATGATTTTAACCTTATTTTACATGATTTCCAAAGCATCAGTAAATACAGGTGAGCGACACAGGCTCTTGAGAGCCTCTAGTTTGAAGTTCATTTCCACTTAAATGATCAACAAGTGTGAATTTGTAGGTGGAAAGAACTTTAATTGCTCTCTAAACGATTAGCTTTTATTTTTTTATGCCCCCGTCATAGGGGAGGGGACATTAAGATTTACCCTTGTCCGTCTGTACGTCTGTTCATCCCGAAATTGGTTTCTGTTCTCTAATTTTAGTTTTCCTTGACCAAATGTTATGAAACTTATACAAAAAGCTTATTACCACAAACCACAGATCAATTTTGAATTTGGGTGAGGTCGCATTTACAGTTCTCTAGTTGTGTCCCTTTATAACGTTTTATGCAAGCAGAGGCATCATCTGTGTCCCATAGACACATTCTCCATTTATTTAGATTTTCATTTTGGCCCAACGATTAACAGGATTTATCCAGTTGTTACTGTGAAACACTTTACAGATTGACAGTTGTGAGTTGAAGATTTATTATAAGTACATTGTAAATGATATTTCAGGTCATTTGTTTTATGAGATGTGTACTGGCAAACAACTACAGACAGCCCACCCAACACCAGGAGCCTTGTCTGAGTGTAAAAGTCCTGATGCTGTTGATGTGAGTTGAAATCATCTATCAACTTTATTGCTTAGTATCAATGGTTATTTATTTGATGTAAATTCAGAAAATTTTGTGATTATTTAGCTATGACAAAAAATTAGACAGAATAGGTATTGCAAAACTAAAAACTTTCATTTGTATAGCATAATTTGTATGCAACAATTCCTGAATATTAATTTTTTGTACATTTTTCAACAATTGCAATGATAAACACAGGCAAACATTACTGACTTAACAGAACCCTGCATCGAAAAATCTAAAAATTGTAATGGTTTTATCACAGCTTTTTATGCCCCACCTAGGGGCATTATGTTTTTCGGTCTGTGCGTTTGTTCGTTCATCCGTCTGTTCATCCATCTGTCCAGCTTCAGGTTAAAGTTTTTGGTCAAGGTAGTTTTTGATGAAGTTGAAGTCCAATCAACTTGAAACTTAGTACACATGTTCCCTATGATATGATCTTTCTAATTTCAATGCCAAATTAGAGTTTTGACCCCAATTTAATGATCAACTGAACATAGAAAATGATAGTGCGAGTGGGGCATCCGTGTATTATGGACACATTCTTGTTTGTAATATTTTTTACATGTAGAAAAGCTAGCTTTGTATTTTGTTTGCTTTTTTCTGTTGAATTTGACCTGTAAGTATAGATTCACTGTCCAACATATTTTCCAACAACACCAAAATTTAACTCCCAAATGTTGGCGTGAAAATTCTGATTGAGAACATATTATCAAACAAGTTGATGTTGGTATGGAATGGATATTGCATATCTCTAAAGCCCCATTCACATGTTACCGGAGAAAGCGAACGGACGCCGAACGGATAACATTTTTTCAATTCGTTCTTATCCATTAGACGTCCGTCCATATCCATTTCATGTCCGTTTTATCCGTCGACCTCTGTTCTGTCCGGTGGAAAATTTTGAGCATGTTCAAAGATTTGAACGGACGTCCAACGGATGAAGTGTCTGTTGAACGTCCGGTAGGCGTCTGTTTTTTACGGTACTCGTCCGTTTCGTTTCCTTTTTCGTTTTGTATCTGTTACACATCCGTTGGAGGTCTGGTGGACCAATTCACCAACGGACTTCTACGGGACGTATAATGGATAAAACGGATGATGAACGGATGTGAAACGGACATAAACGGAAGGATAATGGATAAAATGGATACGTACCTAATGTAAAACGGACAAATGCCAATTGAAAATTTCGCATCAGAAATGCCAATTATTGGTATGTCAGATTTCTTGAGTGTCATGAATGTCGGCTCAACTTCTGAATCATGGTCAGGCGGCGTTATTGGCATTTTTCTCTGACATTTTTATCCTCTTCCTTTTCCACCCCTACCCTTTGGCAGCATTTTGAAGAATAAACTAAAACCAGTTACACGGAAACTTTCTAATTATTTAAGGTCATGTGTATGTGATTTACATGTATCATTATTGTTCGCCTTTAAATTTCCGCTTATCTTGTTCATCCGCTTTATCCGGTTTGCTTGTGTTAGGTGTCTGTTTTATACGGTACTCGTATTATTTGGTCAGTACACCAACGGACTCCCAACAGATAAAAGTTTTGTCAACGGAAAACTTTTTTTTCATCTGTTCGGCGTCCGTTCCAGCCATCCCGTAAGGTGTGACCACAGCTTTACATATGAGGTGTCCCAATTAGGGTCAACACACCAGATTTCAACAAGCAAACACAAGCTGAATGGAAAAATGAGAATATATGCTCATATGAGTGTTACATAGCAAAGGAAACTGGTACCACACAGCAGGGGTTCCTTGGAATTTTTTCCATCAATTAGAATGGTTCATTTGGAGGCCAGGGGTATAAGGGGCCAATGTCCAGGGGCAGCACCAAGGTAGGGGTCCAGGAGGCAAAGACCCCATTAAAAAAATGGATTTATTGGTTTTGGAGAGACTTAAGATGCAATTTCCTGGGAACATTTTTTTATTATCTCAATAACTTTTTTAAAAAGAGTTAATTTTGTTTTTGTTGAAAATAACTCTTTTCTTCACTGTTCTCCAATGCTGAACAGCCTTTGTATGTCCAACAGCCTTTGTATGTCCATTTATAAGTTTAAGGATGTACTTAGGTGAAATTAAAAAAATCAAAAATTTAAAATTGATACTATAAGTCGGAAGAGCATTAGTTAATGAACAAAATAAGCTAAAAATATTGATAGGTCATGGAGCTCCTTTTCGAGATATTTGATTTTTAAAATATGGCGGGAAAAGGTTGACTCGGACTTTTACCTTATATTTGCATAGGTATTATTTGGGTCTCAAATCAAAAGAAAAAAAATCAAGAATCTGCTTAAATTTTGGTAAATGACCTTTTATGAGCTATTAAGACTTATATGAAAAGATAAATGTGTGTTATGGGGCCAGAAATGTTTTACCTTGTATCGTATGGAAAAAAACCAAGGAGTCCGAACATCTGACACAAATTCCAAAACCTCACCTAAGTACATCCTTAAGCATTTACTACAAGAATCATAGTTGATATATTTTTTAGATTATAAAACATGTAGTTTATTGTGTCGCCTGCGACAGAATGCAAGACACAGGGATTACAAGGTGGCGTCGGCGTAAGCTATTTGTTTAAAGCTTTACATTTCAGAAGGTAGAAGACAAGGATGCTTCATACCTTGTATACAGATACCTTATGCTATGAAGTTTCAATCTGTCATATGTGATGTCCTTGACCTCTTTTTCATGGTTTAGTGATGGACTGCTTGAAAAAAAATTACAGTTTTTTTAGTAAAGTGAAATACTCACTTATTATGAGTAATAGGATAACTATGTTTGGTATATGGGTTCCTTGCAACCTCTACAGTACTTGCCAATTAGGTAGGATTCATCTGACCTCGACCTCATTTCATGGATCAGTGATCAAGGTTAAAGTTACGTGGTAAAGTCCCTATCTCAGATACTATAGGCATTAGGTCAACTATATTAGGTGTATGGAATGATTGTTATATGTACATGTCAGACTGGCAGGTTACATCTGATCTTGATCTCTTTTTCATTGTCAATATTAATATTTTGTGGTTTGTTCTGTTTCTCAGGTACCATTAGCAATAGGACAACTATATTTGGTGTATAGAATGATTGTAAAGTGTACATTTCTGTCTGACAGGGATCAACTGACAGTGACCTCATTTTCATAAAACATTGATAATGTAAATTTTATATGATAGTTGTTGTAAAAGCTTCATATTACAGACTTTTTAAATGAATTCAATGATAAGCAGAACAGGCAAGACATTTCAGTGTGTGTACTCATGTCTTTAATTTTGATGCTTCAGTTATTGTTCTGCAAATATTTTTTTTCAAACTGTTTTCTGTCAAAATAAATTCAAGATTTTCTTAGATAAGAGAATTTTATTTCTTCTAATTGATTTGTTAGTTTCCTATATATATCAATGAGAAAAAATCAAAGTGCCAAGAAGTAGAAGATAAATTAAATATCAATATACATGTATAGTGTTAGCTCGTTCTGATAGCAGATACTTTTTCAAATCACGCCCTTGTCCCTGGACATAGCTGTGTTCAAACTAGGCCTTTGAGACTTATTTTGTTTTCACCCACATTTCCAGTATTCTTGGAAATTGCAGGTGATCAAAAAGATAGAGTTTGTTGGCCCTTTTGAGAGTTTTCTTAATTTTTTGGGTGGGATGATGTGAGTGGAGTAGATTTAAACACATTGATGGCCAATTGATATTCAAATCAAATGCTGAAATGATTTTATCAAAAAGATGTTCTGGATTCTCATATTTCATCGTTTCTCTTTAAAAGGAAATTGGAGATATTCAGAGTAACAAAATATACCTACATGACAGTTACCCCATCTTGATGATGATGTTCAAGTTTGTTTTGTTAGGACCGGGCGCTCATTGTTACATAAGTAAACTCCATTAGTATTAATTTATTGCGTCATTTCAACCCCTTTGCAAAATCAGAATGGGACATTTCAATAAGTATTTCGCCAATGGGGCAGGGTGCGTTCCCAAAAATGATCTCTGCAAACAGGGATTAAAAAAAAATGGAGCTCTATTAGAGTAGAATTTATAATTTAAAGGATCTTAAAAATGGAAATGTCTTATCTGTTTATGAATCAAGGGTAGATCATAACCAACAGTATAATTTTCTTTGTAGTAAGCAAGTTGTATTATGTCACATAAGGAATATGAAAGTTGAATTCTGTTGTTGTTGTAAGGAAGCATTATTCCAATTACTCTTGATGACACATTAAATTTTCATGTTATTTTGTAAGTGTTCACATTAAAATGTGTTTAGTCAGTTGTCACAGTATTTTCATCAAAATGCTGCACTATAGTCAAATGGTATTGTTTTTGACAAGTTTTTTTTTAGCCCACAAGGACTTATAGGCCATGTACCTTATTGCAATCTTTTGTCATCATCATCATCATCTGTCATCCTCCCTCTTTCATCATTCACTTTTAAAAAAATCTTCTCTGATGAAACTACTAGGCCAAATGTTGCCAAAAGTTACCTGAATGCCCAGTAGGGAATCTCGATTAAAAATTTTATCTGGGGATTGACCTATCAACAAATTAGGCCACTGTTGTTTAAATTTCAGTTTTCTTTGTTCAATATTTCCCATTCAACATGTTCAACAAGTACATAATGAATTTCTGATCTTCATCTTGTTTTCTCCGTGATACACCTTACAATTGTAATAAGAATTACCAAGATTGTTTATTTGACAATTAGGCTACAGATGGGAACATTTTAGGTTAACAGACACATAGAGTTGATTTAACATAAAAAGTCAGATATGAATAAAATTTTTGCCTGAATGTCCGATGTTCTTTTTATGTAACATCAGAGATGTTAGTTGAGTAATAGGGGAATAGGTTAAAACAACAATAACATAAGGATGATCTTTATCCAGTTTGGTTTCAGTCAAAAAGTGTTTTTTTTTTTAAATGTTTACAGACCATAGACAGACAGGAACAATGGATGCAAAATGATGGCATTTTAGCTCAAACTTGCCGTTTGCACTAATGAACTAAAAATTGTTGAGATATTCCTTTATTTCAAAAATTACATGTGTGTGATGATCACTGACTATCAACAAAGATGAATATCATAAACTACAAAATACATTGTTCTATGAAAATAATTATATTTGAAACATTTTTTACTTATATTGTACGTTTAATTCATCTTTTAGTTATAAGACCTTTTCTAACACTAAAGAGAATGTAATTGCTGTAAAAATATATTTGGAAATAAAATTACCAGGGTCTAGACGTGCATTGAAGGAGAAAATCTCAGGTCATAACGTGTATAAACTTTTTTTTAGCTGAATATAAATATTTAGGGGACATTTTTTTATATTTTAAATCTAACAGTTTCCAAAACATGTTCACATGGTTATGTATTAACTAAAAATAATTGAAGTGTTTTATATTTAATTTTTCATTTATACATATAAGAGCCATCAAAATATAACTATTTCAATTCAAGCCAGGCCATATCCCCTCTTCTAGTTTTATTGAGATGCGCAAGCCATATTTTTTACAGTATATTAAGGTTATGTATCATCACTTTACATAAGAATCATAATGAAAATAGAGGTAGTTGGTATCATAATATATAATTTAAGCATTCAAAGGAACTAGAGATGAAAAAAATAATTTTCAAAATATTAATTTTTTAATTGTTCTAAGGTTAAAAAATAATAGAAAGTAATATTCTGATATGTATTTGCATTTAATTTGCCTTAGATTTAATCATTTTACAAAAAAAAACCATAAATTTAAGGAGTATATTGTGAAAGGTGCCAAAAAAGGGGAAGTAACTCAAAATTTTTTGTCAAGCAACTTTGAAATGCACAAATTATTTATGACTTTATGGTAAGGTAATTGGTGTTAATTAACAGTGTGTTTGACACATAAGCTGTCAAGTAAAGCCATGCACTTAATGGGTCACTTAATTTGACAGTTAACACAGCTTGTTAAACCTCATGTCCAAGATGAATTATGAATTTGCTATTATTTCAAAGGAGAATCACTTATTAAATCAGTCTAACGGCTCAAGAATCCGAGTTAAAATGGGCCATTTTCCGAATTTCCTGGCTATTTAACAACCCGCCGTGTATTTTAAAAATCCCGGGTGAGAGGTGAAATTCTCGGGTTTCATCCGCAGGATATGGGTCAGTTAACAGGTATGAATTATCAAATGAACATTTGAATTTTGGTAATATATTGATCGCTCTCTACAAAGAATTTGTCATTATCAGACATCTGGAGTTCTTGTGAATTTGGACCTTAATAAAATAGTTTTTTTTTATTTTCATTATTATTATGGGTAACTGAGAATTTAAACCAGGCTCCGTGTTGAATGCCTTACTTCGACCTATAATGGTTTACTTTTACAGATTGTGACTGTGATGTAGAGTTGTCTCATTGGCATTCATACCGCATCTTCTTATATAATTTAATCCTAATTAACAAAATTTTTACTGATCTTTTTAAAATTGTAGCATTAAACATGGGAATTCTCAGGGGCAGATCAACTCAGTTTTAAAAAAATCATCTTTGCTGTTCAATCAGCTACTTTTATCTTAAAACATCACAATGACAGGGTCACACTCCAATGATTCCAGGTCATGAACTTTTCTGGCAAATAATATACCCACTTCCTGATTTTTGATATACAATTGTCAAAGGGGGAAACAATTAAAAGAAATTGAAAAAATATATTATCAGGGGTCCCCTACCGTCTTTGTAAACATTCCTAGATCATAACATAGATCTGACATTTCAAATTGATACAAAGATGTTACTAAGCTAAAGTGATCATGTTTTATGTATTTCGACTAAACCACCAAGTTAAGTTAGTTTAACACAGATTATTTTAGCCTTTTTAATTTTATCTTCCCCCCATGTGTTACATCCAATCCATAAAACTTCATTATTGTCAATATCAAGACTGAAAGGTAATTCTATTCCGAAAACTTTTACGTCATTGCATACAATAACCTCTCCAGCAGGATTTAATACATGTATAGCATGCTTTCCACACTCAGAAACTAAAATCATTGCTGTAGAGGTTATTGACACATCTGCTGGATAAAACTTTACTCGATCAGAAATGATACTATTACATCCATTGTAGGTCCAATGGAGTTGTCCGCCATAATCAAACATTACTACCCTACCCTCACGTTCATTGTTTATAATATCTACAACTACTATCCTATAATTGAAACTTTTGATTCTTTTAGGCTGTGTTAACAGTCTCTGGTTGTCCTTATCATATTCAATAGTATGTTGTATGTCACCATTCTGGTTCATAATCAGAACTTTTCTGTGACTGTCTTTGGTAATATGAAATACATCGGGACTATATTCCACTAACCCTACTGTTATCTTATTGTCTTTAGTTACATGAACACATGTAGTTCTTAAGGAAGAAAAAGACTTGAATGAAGTAAATCGTCCATCTTTGGTATATAGTTTTAGGTCACTTTTTTTAGATGACACAAGTATTTCATCATCGTTATACCTTGCCATATCAAACAATTTTATCTGAATTTCTCTCTCTACTTTGATATTATTAGTTTCAAATTTTATTTTTTGTATTTTCTTACTATTGGTGCTTCCTATAAATGCTGTTTTGTCACTACATAGTAGTATGTTTGTCACATTTTCAATATCACTGCGATAAATGTTTTTAAGTTCCATGGCTGGAATAGTATAAATGTCACCCAACACCGACTGACTTCCTTTTTTCAATTCTATATTTGTATGAATGAACTTTACTTTATTTGTTTTGATTTTTTTACATGAATATTGGGGTAATGCCTTATCTAAAGTTTTACTTGTAGAGAAAATGTCTATGGCTTGATGAGACTGCAGTGCCCGCAATAGATTATTCTTCCTAGTTTCCAATTTCTCCTCATTCTTTGTGATGGCTAAAAGTTCTATTTTGATAATATTTTCTGTTGGTTTCCATTTTGCTTCAAGTTCTTTTAAGAGGTCTTTAGCATGTTTTGAAATGACTTCTTTCATGTCTTTCTCAGTTTGCAAAATTAAATCTCTTGTTTCTTGGAAATTGTTGTCACCATTGGAAAGCTTTTTTTGTAGTTGTTCCTTTTCATAACTAAAGAGTTTCAGATTGTCTTCTGATCTTTTTATTAGTTCCTTCATTTCTGAAATTATTTCTTTATACACTTCATCAAGGGCTTTGTAGTCATGCAATTTATGAGTCTCCCTTAAACATTTGGAACAAGATGGCTCACTGCAGTCTTTACAGAAGACAAAACATTTTTGATTGTCATGGATTGTACATACCATGTTTTCAAGGTCAACTTTACGCACTGAAGTGGCCAAATCCACTGTTTCAAAATCTTTTAAATTTATGATTTCATGTTCCATAGATGCCTTGATTTTATTATGTATCTTTGAACAGCACAGTTGACATAGAAATAACTCACAGTTAATACACTTCCATTTAATCTCTTTCAATTCTTCACAGAACTGACACGCAGCTGGAGTCTGTGCTTTTCCTGGTAATGACTGAGAAAACTCCATTTTTATAAGTATTTAGTGACTATGTGTGATTAAAAATATATTTGACTTCCTCATTGTTAGACGATTTTTACAGATAAATGATGACAAGGTCATACAATACATTTACATGACTTAATAAAATCTATAAAAAGTTTTTATCATACAAATATTTAAAGGACTGATAAAAGTAAATGTGTAGTAAACCAATGAATAATTTGAGGACAATGATTGCAAACAAAAGATTTAAAATGAAAAGGGGGTATAAACATAAGAAGCATTGGAGATTGAATTATTGAGAATTTTTCTATTATAAGGAAAGAAATCCTCAGTTTTATTCAGACATTTTTTTGGCTTCCCTGACATAAAAGGCTATGTTAGCTATTGCCATCACTGTTCAGTGTGATATATCAAACTGTACATGTACTATGCCTTTAATTTTTACAACTTTGACATATTTCAACAAGATACTTTTATTGTAGACTGATAGGAACTCAAAATGGATAATACAAATTACTTTTCAGGAAAAAAAGAACGATAACATGTTTGTTAACTGTTCAGTCTGAATCCCTACTTAACTATTCATACTTTCAAGCAAATAAAAAGTAAAAAGTTAAATGAGAATATATACTCATATGAGTGTAACAAAAAAGAAAATGGTACCACACAGAGATTAAAAAAATTGTGAGCTCTATTAGAGTAGAATTTATAATTTAAAGGATCTTGAAAAAAAGAACTGTTTTATCTGTATCTGAATCAAGAGAAGATCATTACCAAAAGTGTAGTTTTTTTGCAGTAAGCAAGTTACATTACGTCACTTAATGAAAATACAAGTGGAATTCTGTAGGTGTCTGTAAACCTGCATTATCAAAATTATTTTTGATGATACATTTAATTTTCATATTTTGTAAGTGTTTACTGGTACATTAAAATGCATATAGTCAGCTGTTACAGTATTTTCATCAAAGTGCTGCATACTAGAGTCAAGTGTTGTTTCTGAAGATGTTTTTTAGCTCATCTGGACTAATAGGCAATGCGAGCTATTGCCATCACTTGTCATCTTTTTTCCATCTGGCCATCCATCCATTTTCGCACACTTAATAAAAAAATCTTCTCTAAGACTTCTTGGTCAAATGTTGCCAAACTTTACTTGAATGCTCCTTATAGGGAATATAGATTAAAACATGTATCTAAGAATATGATATTTCAAAAATGGTTACTGTTAATTGAATTTGAAATTTCTTTTATCAATATTTGTCATTCAGGTTTACTGACTTTTCCCATTCAACAAGTGCATAATGATTTTCTCAGTTTCATCTTGTTAGCCACATTACAAACACATAACATAGTGTTGCCAGACTGTATCTCCCTGATACACACCACATGTGGTATGAATTACGAAGATTATTTATTTAAGATAGGGCTGCAGATAAGAACTTAAGTGTTGTAAAGACACATATAGTTAAATTTACATAAAAAATTCAGAATATAAGAATATTTTTGCCTGTATTTCCCCAATGTTCTGTTTGATGTAACATCAGAAATGTTAGTTGATTGACAAGGAGAATAGATTTAAAGTACGAAACCCTAAGGATGATCTGGATGTAGTTTGGTTTCAGTAACAAAAAAATTAAATGTTTATAGACAAACGAAATACAGGAAGGATGGATGCAAAATGATGGCATTTTAGCTCAAACTGGTCTTTTGCACCAGTGAACAAAAAAACTGTTGAGATATTTCATAAATTACATATGCATGTGTAATGATCACTGACTATCAACAAAGATGAACATTATTAAACTACAAACTACATTGTTCTATGAAAATAATAACATCTTTTAGTTAAATTGATGAGAGAGAGAGAGCAGAAAGACCTTTATACAGGAAATTAGAATTAAGCCGTTTAATTTGCGGGAAATTCAGGAATAGCAAGTTTTTTTGTTGGGAATTTTGGACTTTATTATATTGTGATATGGGAATAGACACATTATTTTTTGAGGTTATTTTTTTTATTTGGTTTACATGTTAATCACTCTCTACAGAGAATTTGTCATCAGGAATTCTTGTGAATTTGGACCTAAATATTATTATTATTCAGGGTGGCTGAGAATTTAATCATAACACCAGACCACCCTACATGTATGTTTAGATGTCAGCTAAAATACTAGTGTGTTTTTAAACTAATTTAATCCTGATTAATGATTAATGATCATTTTGTTTCGTTTAAACATTGGGAGTCTCATGTGCAGATCAGCTCAATCTTTAAAATATCAACTTAGATTGCTGTTCAATCGGCTACCTAGATAAAGATCTTATTCTAGTGACCAATCAGACCAGGTCATGAAAGTTTTCTTACCAAATAATATACCTGCTTCCTGCTTTTTGAAATACATTTGTCAAAGGGGAAACAATTCAAAGAAATTGAGAGAACTATATTATCATGGGTCCCCTACCGTCTTTGTAAACATTCCTATATTATAACATAGATCTTACCAGTTTCAGATTGATACAAAAATGTTCTAAGTTTAAGTGATAATGTTTGATGTATTTTGACAAAAGCCTCCAAATTAAGTTAGTTTAACACAGATTATCTTAGCCTTTTTAATTTTGTCTTTGTTCGAGGTGTTACATCCAATCCATAAAACTTCATTATTGTCAATATCAAGACTGAAAGGTAATTCTATTCCTATGACTTTTACGTCTTTGCATACAATGACCTCTCCAGCAGGATTTAATACATGTATAGCATGCTTTCCACAGTCAGAAACTAGAATCATTTCTGTAGAGGTTATTGACACATCTGCTGGATAAAACTTAACTGATCAGAAATGATAGTATTACATCCATTGTAGGTCCAATGAATTTGCCCACCATAATCAAACATTACTACCCTACCCTCCCATTCCTTGTTTATAATATCTACAACTACTATCTTATCATTGAAACTTTTGATTCTATGAGGACCTGTTAACAGTCTCTGTTTGTATCTACCATATTCAATAGTTTGTTGAATGTCACCATCTTGGTTCATAATCACAATTTTTCTGTGACTGCCTTTTGTAATTAGAAATACATCAGGACTAGAATCCACTAACCCTACTATTATCTCATTGTCTTTAGTAACATGAACACATACAGTATTTAAGGGAGAAAAGGACTTGATTGGAGTTAATTGTCCATCTTTGATATATCGTTTTAGATCACTTCTTCCAGATGAAACAAGTATCTCATCATCGTTAATCCTTGCAATATCTTGTACTTTTATCTGAATTCCTCTCTCTACTTTGATATTATTAGTTTCAAATTTTATTTTTTGTATTTTCTTACTATTGGTGCTTCCTATAAATGCTGTTTTGTCACTACATATTAGTATGTTTGTCACATTTTCAATATTACTATGATAAGTGTTTATCACCTCCATGACTGGAATAGTATAAATGTCACCCAACACTGACTGACTTCCTTTTTGCAATTCTATATTTGTAGGAATGAACTTTGTGTTCTTTGCTTTGATTTTTTTAACTGAATAATGTGGCAATGACTTATCTAAAGTTTTACTTGTAGAGAAAATGTCTATGGCTTGATGAGACTGCACTGCTTGGTATATTTTTTTCTTCCTGGTTTCAATCTCTTCCTCATTTTTTTTTATGGCTGAAAGTTCTCTTTTGATAATATTTTCTGTCGGTTTCCATTTTGCTTCAAGTTCTTGTAAGAGGTCTTTGGCATGTTTTGAAATGACCTCTTTCATTTCTTTTTCAGTTTTCAAAATTAAATCCCTTGTTTCTTTGAAATTGTTATCACCATCTGAAAGCTTTTTTTGCAGTTGCTCCTCTTCATTACTAAAGAGTTTAAGATTGACTTCAAATTGTTTTATTAGTTCCTTCATTTCAGAGATTATTTCTTTATACTCTTCATCAATGGCTTTATAGTCATGTAATTTATGAGTCTCCATTAAACATTTGGAACAAGAGGGCTCACTGCAGTCTTTACAGAAAACAAAACATTTCTGTTTGGGATGGATTTTACATTCCATGTTTTCAAGGTCAACTTTACGCACTGAAGTGGCAAAATCCTCCTTTTCAAAATCTTTTAAATTAATAATTTCATGTTCCATAGATGCCTTGATTTTACTATGTATCTTTGAACAGCACAGTTGACATAGAAATAGTTCACAGTTAATACACTTCCATTTAATCTCTTTCAATTCTTCACAGAACTGACACACCGCTGGAGTCTGTGCTTTCCCAATTGACTGGGAAAACGCCATTTTTATACTTCTTCACTGACTACTTGTGATTTAAAAATATATTTTACTTCCTCATTGCAAGATAATATCTGCAGGTAAAATGATAACAGGGTCATACAATACATTTACATGACTTGATCAATACTTCAAAAGTTTTTATCATACAAATATTTAAAGGACTGATAAAATTAAGTGTATAGTAATTAAACTATTGAATCGTTTGAGAACAATGATTGCTAACAAAAGATTTAAAATAGATCAATTTTATTCAGAAGGTTTTTTATTTAGCTCTTCTGACATAAAAGATTTTGTGAGCCAGTGCCATCACTTGTCAGTGTGGTTATTTGTCAATGTTACCTATTAAAATAAATTTTGAAACTTCTCAGATAAATGTTATCCAAACTTTACCTGAATGTTCCTTGGAATTTTAGTTTTTAATTTGTAGAGGAGGATTTGATTCACCATCCATTGACATTGTGGCCGCCATTCAGTGTTTCTAAAAATAGAACAAAAGGGTGAAGCTGCTAAGATGGTTTATTGACCCCTTATAGAAGTAATTGCCCTTGAAAGACAGTTTCTAAGAATAGAAATTTATGCTTTGTTGGTTATTGCCTAATTAACATAAAACCCACTGCATTAATATCTTTTGTGAGATAATTATAGTCTCAGGCAGGATCTACCACAATTAGAGCTCAACCACTGCATGTACCAATTAAGAAAACAATAATTTTATCAATGATTAAATAAACACCTTTTGAATATCAATGATTACAAAGTCTAACCAGAGCAAACGACAGTTACGTTTTATATCACAATTAAACACATTTACAAAAAATTTATATAATTATAAGAAGTAGGCCATGTGTACTTGATTGTCCGTATTAATATTAATTGATATTTCACTCAAATAGTAATATAGTGCAACATTTTTGTGAAGTATTTTAAAAATGGAGGATTTCGGTAGCATTTTTAAATATATTTAATAATAGTAAGGAAGCACATGTATATGTTTTGGTAAAACATGTGTGTTTGTTTACATCAACACATGTTTTAGAATACCTGTAATGTTTACAATGTATTCGATTGGATGAAATTCGTCACATTGCGAATTTAAAACAGGTATTCTATGTATCGTAACGTATGATTTTGGCTCGTGTTTCTCGTGCTTGCTGTTTGATATAAATTAAATGTAATGTTATTATTCGAAGTTCTGCCTTACGCTGAGTAGCATACTCCGTACACTACTGCCTTGCCTGTATTAACCATGACAGACCACTGTTCCGAAGACGAAGACGAATTACTACTACACGAGTCTACAACTCCTTTCGTTCTTAACACAGAAGCTGCATTTCCTAGTTTGCCTATACCAGTACCGTCAACAGCAACCCAGCAAACAGCGCCACAGCGTCAAATAAGTGACAGCACTTTTCAACTTTTTACGTCGTACTTTGATTCTAAAATATCTGCGCTGAAGAACGAGTTAGTGTCGGGCAACGACTCCATAGCCACTAAGTTGAAAAAGGCAGTGTCTGTGAAACTAAAGAGTGAAGGTAATCAAATCCAATTTACGTTCAATTCCTAAGTCCTTGCTGACCTACATAAGCTGCAAAAACGTTTTTCGAAGGAAGATTTTGTTTCTATAAATTTAATTTCTGGACTTATCTTAAAGTTGAACAAAAGAAATAAGCTCATCAGAATAGCCGATAAATCTCCTGCTGGATGGACCACAGTTCGTGAGTACGAGAGTGCCGAAACAGCATCAGATTCAGATGACGAGAAAAGACTCTGACAAGCTGAAAGCAGAGATCTCAAAACCATCAAGGAGAAGAAAAATCGTACTAAACCTTACGCTAAGCCTCCAGCTACTGTTTCCAGATCTCCTACTAATACTGCAGATATGCCTCTTCAACAGTACAACCAGCCACCCTTTCAGAGGAACAGTCGCCGAGAGGCGACTTCCTATGACATGTGTTATGAATGCCACCAATTTGGACACTGGAGGACAAACTGTCCCAATAGAAGCAGCAAGCAATTTACACCAAGGAACAACCCAGCAGCATAAGATAAAAGATAAGTATCTTAATTTAGTAGATGAATATTTGTTGCATGAGCACATGAATATACTTCATAACATGTTAAGTATTTTGATAAAGTTGATTTTTCCAAATTCGCCAAAGGGGTCAAAAGTAGTTTATCTAAAAATGTAGCTTTTTGGGAGCACATTGGAGCAAGCAAATTTATAATTAATACTATAAAATCAGGTTATATGATTCCTTTTGTGAGTTTACCACCTCCTATGAAATTCCGCAATAATAAATCTGCAGTTGATAATACTGATTTTGTAAACGAAGCTGTTCTTGAACTTTCGAAAAACGGATGCGTACACGAAGTACCATTCCAGCCTTTTGTAGTAAATCCATTAAGTGTTGCCATTCAAAAGTCCGAGAAAAAGAGATTGTTATTAGATCTATCTGAATTGAATTTATACGTTATGAAAAATAAAATAAAATTCGAAGATTGGAAAGTTGCTCAACAATTTTTTAAGAAAGATATATACCTAATTAAATTTGATTTAAAATCTGGATATTTTCATTTGGACATCTGCAAAGAGCAACATACATATTTAGGGTTCTCTTGGAACGGAAAGTTTTATTGTTTTTCAGTTTTAGCTTTTGGTTTGAGTTCAGCGCCTTACATTTTTATACCCCACGCAAATTTTTTGCGAAGGGTATAATGTTTTGGACCAGTCCATCTGTCTGTCTGTCCGTCCGTCAGTCCATCAGTCCTGTTTCTTGTCATCGCAACTCCTCTCAAACCACACAACAGAATTTCATGAAACCTTTTCAGATAATAAGGACATACTAAGTAGATGTGCATATCGACAGGAATTTACGAATCAATTTTTTTCCCAGGAGTTACGCCCCTTTGAACTTATTTGCCCAATATACTACTGCAACCTTTTGTCATTGCAACTCCTCTGAAACCACACCACAGAATTTCATGAAACTATGTAGATAATAAGGACATACTATGTAGATGTGCATATCGACAGGAAATTACGATTCAATTTTTTTTCTAGGAGTTACATGTACGCCCCTTTGAACTTATTTGCTTCAATGTACTACTGCAACAGTTTGTCATCGCAACTCCTCTGAAACCACACCACAGAAATTTCATGGAACTTTGTAGATAGTAAGGACATACTATGTAGATGTGCATATTGACAGGAAATTATGATTCAATTGTTTTTCCTACACTTATTTTATTTCTCCAATGACAATGTGGGGACGTGGCTCACGAAGGTTCTTTAATTACAAAATATTTACGACCTATGGTTAAATACTGGCGTGAAAACGGTGTAGATATAATGCTTTATCAAGATGATGGTTTAGGTATGTCAGAAGGGTATTTAGAATGTCAAAATATATCTGAATTATATTGGAATTAGCTGGATTTTTTTTATAAATGAACAAAAATCTATTTTTGATCCAGTTCAGTGCTTGGAATGGCTCGGATTAATATGGGATTCGAAAAGCTTTAGTTTAGCAGTGTCTGAACGTAGATTAAATGATGCAAAAGAATCGCTTGACAATATTTTGAATAAATTTCCCATTATAAGTGCTCGTCAGTTAGCACAATTCACAGGTAGAATTATTTCTATATCTCCAGTTATGGGCAATGTCACAAGCCTAATGACAAGGCATTTATATTTTGCAATTGAGAACAGAAAATCATGGGATGGTAATTTAAATATTGCTTACACTGAGTGTGTATTAGCAGAGTTGAGATTTTGGTCAGACAGTTTGACAAATCTTAATCAGAAGAATTTTGTGAATGACACCTTACCAAACATATATAGTGGTGTATTCAGATGCTAGTAATGTAGCACCAGGTGCTTTTACTGTAGAGTTGAATGAACGTTTTTCATTCCACATGGAGCGAATATGAGAAAAACATGAGTTCTACTTGGCGAGAACTAAGGGCTATTCAATTAGCTTTGTATTCATTTAAATCTGTTTTAAAAAACAGTACTGTCAAATGGCACACTGATAATCAAAACTGTGTAAAAATAATCAATAGAGGTAGCACCAAGATGCATTTAAAGTGTTTTGCATATGACATTTTTAAATTTTGTTCAAAGGAAGGAGTCATTGTACATCCAATATGGGTACCTAGATCAGAAAATTGTAGAGCTGATTTTTTGTCTAAAATGATAGATATAGATGACTGGCAAACATCTCTGGAGTTTTTTGAATTCATGGATAATTTATGGGGTCCTTATACTGTTGATAGATTTGCCAATTTTGCTAATACAAAATTGAAGCGATTTAATTCAAAATTTTGGAATCCCGGGAGTGAAGCTATTAATGCTTTTACACAAAATTGGAAAAATGAAAATAATTGGATAGTCCCTCCTATTGATTAAGTTACTAAAAGTATAAATCATTTAGTACTCTGTAAAGCCGAAGGTACCCTGATAGTACCAAAATGGCTGTCTTCATCGTTTTGGACTTTATTATTGAGAAGAAACATGGAATTTCGTCATTATGTATTGGAAGTAATTGAATTTTCCAGTGAACAATGCATATTTCTTCAAGGGAACAACAAGAATTCCATTTTTGGCTCTAAGAATTTAAATTTTGATATTTGAGCTGTTAGGCTAAGAACAATGTAGATAACTGTTTTTGTTTTACTGTGACATACACATGAAACATGTTGACAAGGCTATAGAAATGATAGCGAGGTCTTTTTTAGAAATCTGACAAGGCTATAGTACGGAGCAAGGTCAGTAATGATTATATATTAAACGCATTTGTCATGTATTATATACTTTTTTATTCACTATCTGTTTGAATTTTTACATTTTTCAGATATTTTCAGCGTTGGTAGGTGGTCATCAGAAATTCTTTCACCACACCATCCATTACAAAATTTAGCAAAGTGTCTTCCAGAATTTTGTCTACACTCTAGAGCTGAAAACGCTCAGAAGAAGTACAGGTACGCCTTTAACAATTTTTGTAGATGGTGTAATTCATTTAATCTTAATTCTTTACCAGCATCAGACTATGATGTTTCGTTATACCTGATTCATTTATGTAAAAAACACAAATCTGCATCTATAGTTGAAGGAGCTTACTATGCAATTAGTTGGTCACATAAACTAGCTTGATTTGCCGATCCTTGTAATTCTTTTTTATGTACATCTATTAAAGAAGGAGTTCATAGGTCAATCGGGCATTACATTGTAAAAAAGAAAGAGCCTATTACACCTGAAATTCTGTACCAGATTGTACAAAAGTACGGTAACAAATTCAGTACTTTAAATCATAGAAGAATCGCCTGTATGTGTCTCTTAAGTTATGCAGGATTGTTAATTTGAAAAGATCAGATATACAGTTTTATCCTACTTATATGTCTTTATTTATCGAAAAAAGTAAGACTGACCAGCACAGAGAAGGTAGTACAGTATTGATTTCAAAGACTAGTTCTATAACATGTCCGGTATCTATGTTACACACATATTTATCACAAGCTAACATAGCAATCGATTCTAACGAATTCATTTTTAGAGCAGTAACTTTTCGTAAGAAAACAAACACTTATGTTTTAAGAGGAATTACTCCTCTATCTTATACAAGGGCTAGAGAGTTGTTGTTAAACACTCTTGGATCTTTAGGTCTAGAAAAATCTAATTTTGGTTTACACAGTTTGAGAGCAGGTGGTGCGATGGCTGCAGCCGCTGCTGGTATAAATGGCAGGTTATTCAAGAAACATGGAAGATGGGCATCTGAAACTGCAAAAGATGGGTATGTTCAGGAAAACATATCAGAAAAATTAACAGTTTCTAAAAACCTTGGCATATGACCCCTCCCCCCCTTTAATTTCGAAAGTATGCTACCCTCACAAGGAGAGCTCATTTCTGATACATGTGTTGAGTTTTATTGCATAAATAATTTATGTTCGTTTAAGTCTGGCCAATCAGAACATAAATATATTTAATAATAGTATGGAAGCACATGTATATGTTTTGGTAAAACACGTGTGTTTGTTTACATTAAGACATGTTTTTAGAATACCTGTAATTTTTACAATGTATTCCATTGGATGAAATTCGTCTCATTGCAAATTTAAAACAGGTATTCTATGTATCGTATGATTTTGGCTCGTGTTTCTCGTGCTTGCTGTTTGATATAAATTAAATGTAATTTATAATGTTATTATTTCGAAGTTCTGCCTTACGCTGAGTAGCATACTCCGTACTACTGCCTTGCCTGTATTAAGCTCCCACCCACCCACCCACCATCATCAAGACCATCTATTGTTTTTATGTGGAAAGTAATGTTTTACTTATAATGATTTATTCAAGTTGTATTTCTTGTTTTGTAGATTGGTGTATATTTGTATGTATTAATGGTTGGCTGACTGTGATCGAGCCTGTATGACTGTTTTTATACCTAATTAATAACGACTGAGAATAAGCTGTATTGCGCTTAAAAATGAACTTTGAAACGAACTGTTTGATTCATATTATATATTGGTTAATAAAAAGTATGCTACCCTCACAAGGATAGAGCTCATTTCTGATACATGTGTTGAGTTTTATTGCATAAATAATTTATGTTCGTTTTTTGCATTGCACAACAGCAAGAATCTTTCATATAACCAATTTCGAGTTCTTTGTCTCATTTATTCAGAAACCTATAATATATCAAATATTTAATTACAATCCAAATTCAGACCTGTATCAAGCTTGAATATTGTGTTCATTTTTGCCCCAACTGTTCAGGGTTGGACCTCTGCGGGCGTATCCAGCTGCGCTCAGCGAAGCAGTTTATTTTAGCTTAAATACACTATTTCTTTTATTAAAATGCATTAGAAAAGGAATAACAGTACTGTAGTTGAAGAGTTGCTAATGTCAAATGTGGATTCACATAGCTGAGTCATAATGAACTGCATTTGCCACAGATGAATCATCAATTAACAATGGAAACTCTTAAGCGTGATATATAAACTAAAATATGAATCTTAAAAATGTTGAGAGAAACAATTGCTTAAAGAAATTTTTATCTGATTTTTATTGGCTTCTCTTTGCATTTTGGTAAGATATTACAGTACTGATTGAGTCAAATGCTGTGTCCACTTTTCTTTGAATCCAAATTGGTATCTGATATCTAGTATCTCAGTAATCTTGTATCATGCTGCAACTTTTAATGAAGGCTTTTATTTTTAATATTTGCAAGTGTTATCTGTTATTTGAAATATTTAAGATTGTGTTGCATCCACAGCTATGTATTAAACCTATGTTTTGCAACTTTCTTTTCTTTTGTATTGATATTTAATTGTAAAAACATTTTTAATTCATTGTTCATTAGAAGTAAAAAGTTTAGTTTAGTTCTGTATTTTGATTACAGGTTTTAAATTATATATTTGAAAATAGAAGTGGAAAATATCCATCAATCAAAGAGGTATGTTACTTTAAGAAATAGCTCTTTCATGTTATGCTCTATGCTCATTTAATAAGGGTAGTCAATATCTTTAAACCCAGTGTAAGTAAAAAGAGAGGCAAAAGATACCAAAGGGACATTCAAACTCAGAAGTCGAAAATAAACTGACAACACCATGGCAAAAAAGAGAAAAAGACCAAAAGATAAACACCAGTATACAAAACACAACATAAAAAACTGAAGACTGAGCAACACACACCCCACCAAAATCTGGGGGGTGATCTCATGGAACTTACATACCAGTGTAAGTAAGGTGTAAGATGTTGACAAATATAATGCCTGTCAATGTTAGAATGAGCATATATATGTAGAGCATGTCATGAAAGAATTATTTCTATTCTAATAGGAAATTGCAAAACTTTTGTACTTCAAAAGTGGACCTATAAGACACGTAGAAAGGAAGCCATTTTGTTTTGATAAAGAAAAAACATTTTTGAAAACCCCAGTTTTTCGATTAAAAATGGTACAAATATGACTTGCTTGCTTTTAAACTGATTTTAGCCGACATCACCAACAGAAATGTCCATTTTGATTTTTTGGTGTGTGTTCAATATACAACTGATGTTACAATTTTAATTTTGATATCAGGACATGCATCCCTTGTTTTATTGGAATATATAACATGGCTTTGTTTACAAAGCAAAAGAAGTGTACATGCAATACAAATCTAATAATATGCTTTGAAAGTATAGTTAAACCTATGTTATTGAAGCCATGGTAAACTGAAGAACTCTTTCACTAAAAAAGAATAAATATTATCACTTTGGTTACAATGGAATACCCTAGTTTCCCAAACAAATAAAATGTGACAGTTTAACATGTAATAGAAATTCTGTAATTTCACTCCTATGTCATGCAGCAATAAGTGTGTCAAGATGCTTTAAAAAATTGAATCTATTATTTTTTTATGATTTTAACAAAATAATGTGCTATTTATGTTCATATTCATGTTTAATTAATTTATTTTTTATCTTGCAGATTTCTGAGTTAGACTTTTTTTGTCATGAGAAATTATTGGAGTTAGCCAAATTTAATCCAGCACCTGTAAGTCTTTTAAATTATATAACTTTTGATTATGATTAGTCCATGGCAAAATATGAATCAGTTAAAACTACAATTTTTTATCTTTTACAAAACAAATTTAATATATATTTCAAATTTCATATATAACGTCAAAGTGAATAATTAATTTTCAGATTTCTATTTTTTTTCTGTTACAATTTCATATTTTTTATTCAGGTTCAGTGATCATATATCTTATGGTTCAGTGGTCATATAGTTCCAGTACAAATTGAATATTTAAATTCTTAGCCACTCTGGCAACACATGTTTATTTGCACGGCACACTGTACTTTGGTTAGAAATAAATTTGTTTTATATACATTTGTAGATCAGCTACTCACAACCCATGAAGTCATTACTGAAAACAGTAAAGAAAGGGCGACAGATTTCAAAGTAAATATTTGTTGTCACTATAAGGGTTTTTGTTGAGCCTGCGACTTCTGTCGCAGAAAGCTCGACATAGGAATAGTTAACTAACTACTAAAAAGCTTTATATTTCAGAAGGTGGAAGATCTGGATGCTTCATACTTTGTATATTGATGCCTTATGTTATGAAGTTTCTGTCTGTCATATGTCTATTGTCCTTGACCTCATTTTCATGGTTTAGTGACTACTTGAAAAAAAAGTAAAGATTTTTTGTGATGTCAATTTCTCTCTTATTATGAGTAATGGGATAACTATATTTAGTACATGTATGTGTGTACCTTGCAAGGTCCTCATGCCTGACAGACAGTTTTCACTTGACCTCGACCTCATTTCATGGATCAGTGAACAAGGTTAAGTTTTCGTGGTCAAGTCCATATATCAGATACTATAAGCAATAGGTCTACTATATTTGTTGTATGGAATGATTGTAAGGTGTACATGTCCAACTGGCAGGTGTCATCTGACCATGACATCATTTTCATGGTTCAGTGGTTAAAATTAAGTTTTTGTGTTTTGTCTTTTTCTAATACTATATGCAATAGGTCAACTATATTTGGTGTTTGGAAATATTTTACGATGTACATGTCAGTCTGGCAGGTTTTATTTGACCTTGACCTCAATTTCACGGTTCATTGCTTAGAGTTAAGTTTTGTGTTTTGGTCTGTTTTCTTAAACTATAAGCAATAGGTCAACTATATTTGGTGTATGGAATGATTGTAAGCTGTAAATGTCTGTCTGGCAGGTATCATCTGACCTTGGCCTCAATTTCATGGTTCATTGGTCAATGTTGAGTTTTCATGGTTAACTTTGTTTCTTAGATTCTATAAGCATGATAAGCAATAAGTCAACTATATTTAATGCATAGATTAATTGTGAGGTGTACATGTCTGTCTGGCATAGTTAATCTGATCTTGACCTTATTTTCATGGTTCAATGGTCAATGTTAAGTTTTCCTGGTCAAGTTTGTTTCTTAGAAACTATAAGCAATAGGTCAACTTTATTTGGTGTATGGAATGATTGTAACTAGGTGTACATGTATTTCCGGTTTGGTTTATCTGACCTTGACCTCTTTTTCTATGATCATGTTAAGTTTATGTGATACTTGTAGTAAAGCTCTATGTCTAGGACTATCAACATAAAATCAATAGTCAGTAAAGCAGGCGAGACATTTCAGCCTGTGCACTCTTGTTGTATACTTTGCATTGCAACATTAACATTGAGGACAAATAACCATAACATTTAGTTTAAGGATGTTAACTCCTCTTGTTTTTTTAATTTTTGCCAGTTATTCAGAATCCTCTGGTTTTATCCTTGTAGTGCCATTATTAAAATATTTTGCTCGCTAACCCCTACTTTTCTTTTCATATTTGAAAATCACAGTTTTTGAAAGAAAAAAATGTTGAATGTATGAACAATTTAGAGAGAATCACTGCCTGCTAAATTTTAAATGGATTATATCTCGAAAACAAGCACACAGACCCTTAATTTTTTTCTGCTTTTTTAGTTCCTTTATTTATATACTTTCAATTTATAACAGTCTTTTTAAAAGCTTGTTATTTTGAAACAGAGTAGCGAACATCCTTAAAAACCTTTTTAAATGAGGATAAAATTAAGAGGTTTGAGTGCAATTTAGAACTATTGAGTGTCAGTCAAAACTAAATATGCAAAAGTTTCTGCATTTGAATACGTTGAAGGCTATTCTTTTAGACTTGTTTTTAACAGGAAAGATCTGAGCTGAAAGTTAAAAGCTTTAAGATGTATACATAATTTTGCAGCTATGATTATGCAGAGAAAGAGATGTGGGTTATATGAGACTGCAAATCAGCACATAACAGACTAAAAGAAAAACAAAAAAAATTAAGTTAAATTGAAGATTATATGCTGAAACCTTTCAAAGACAAATTAAGTATCACTTAAGGTATATCTTCACGGTGTTAAATTTGAAATCAGTAGTTTCGGTCATGAAGGGTCATACTTCCAGAATAAGCAGCTAACTTTATGAGGTTCTTCATTTTCTCCAGTGAAGAGAGCATACTGATTTTTACAGAAAAGCTGAACTTCTGCAAATTTTCATATTTGTTTTCATATGATGCATTTAATTTATAATTTCAGAAAGTCCTCCTTAAGAAAAACGACATCCATAGAAAAAAGTACCAAAGATGCTAAAATGCACTCATCTTCAAAATCTTTATCCAAGTCTTCAGCTCAGCTCACAAAAGCTCCGCCTCCATCCAAAGCTCCACCCCCTCCATTAGCTCCACCTCCACCTCCACCACCTGCTAAAGGTCCACCACCACCACCAGCAGTGAATGCTCCAGCAGCTACCAAAGAAAGAAGTGCACTTTTAGGAGATATCAGACACGGAAGGAAATTGAAGAAGACCACAACTAATGATAGAAGTGCTCCAAAAGTTTAAAACTGTGCCATTCTCATATCTGTTAGACATTTTATACATGTTAGGTTAATCAAATTTTATAATGATTCAAAATACTTAAAAGGAATATTCCTAAAGGTACTCTCAAAATTGTTGAAAACTATTTGCATAAGTTACTTTATTGATACTTGGAAAAACAATTTGGCTCATACAACTTTGTCATCCTCTTGTTTTAGTATTGCATGTGTAATATGTATAAATTTTATTGTATATCAGGTATTTTACAATATGGAGTAAAATTAATGGATAGCTACAGTAACAAAAGGGGATCTAGGACAAAAGCCCTCATAGGGTTTGTATGGCTTTTAAAAGTAATTAAATGAATGTATTCTTCCTGATGATCTACAATTAAAGACAAATTGTTAATATTGTTGTATCAAGTTAGCTTTGAATTAACTAATAATAGTACCACACAAAAAAAAATAATGTTGTCTTTGCAATGAAAGTAACAAAAGAATGAAAATATTAGATAAAATGAAAAAATAACTACACAAAGAAAAATGAATCTTAAAACAAACACTTATTTACTACCGGTACATGAAATTCCTAAAATACTGTCACTTTTAACAGGGGGCTTTTGTCCTGCTCCCAACAAAATTATGTTAATAAGAATAACAATACATGCTCAAAAGAAAATTTTGAAAATTAGCAAATTATAATTACAGACTATTTTAGGAGTTATAGTCCTTACTTCCTTAAAAGGGATTTGGGGGGAAACAAGGGGGTTTATGTTTTCAAGCTATCACCATTCTAATGATTTTAATGGAGAATGTTCTAAAAGTCTGTGTACCTTTGTTTGTCGGAAAAGAACTTATTGTGATATCAAATATTGTGCCATTTATTTATTTTAAGCTTGTATGGTGCTTCAGTAATTATGATATATGTTTTGTTTAGTTTGTTTATTAAAGTTTATGATTTGTTTGAATTGATGTAATTGATGTAGTTTTGTGTAGAAAAATGAATTGATGAAAAGTTTTCATATAATGCAAAAAATTTAAAGGTTGAATATATCATTCTGTATAAGATGGAACTATTTTTTTATACTTTTTTTTAATAATTGTCAAATTTTAGGTGAAAAAAGAAACTGTGTTACCCAGTCGATTGAAATACAGGGCCTGTATCCCTGCTTTACTTATAAGAATTTGACATTGCTCCTGTTTAAGAGAGCTTTCAGGATCCTCTGGTTTTGTCCTGATGAACACACACTTTTAAAGATATGAAGGCTGGAATTTCATTGGCTGATATAATAATTACCAGAACAGAAAGTAGAACAAAGTGTTGTCAGATCCTTTAAAGCAAAGCCTGGACACAGGATCCATATTTTGATCAGATTGTGTGTTACCTTTTACTAAATTAAATTTATTTTTGTATTACTTCCACATATGTTCCTTCAAAGTCATATGAAGCAATGATTATCAAAGAGTAACACTTATTAAAGTGGATTCTAGTCTATACCATTCCTCCTGTTTGAGATGAACTGTTTTGTGCATGGATATAAAGCAACTACAAGATGAAGAACCGCGATTATTTTCACAAAAAACCTAATATGTCATAAACATGTCAGTCTAATTTGTGATCCATATTTTTTTTAAAAACAACAGAATCTACTCCTTTCAAGGATGTTCGCTACTCTATTTCAAAATAATAAGCTTTTTAAAAGACTGTTATAAATTGAAAGTATATAAATAAAGGAACTTAAAAAGCAGATAAAAATGAAGGGTCCGTGTGCTTGTTTTTCGAGATATAAGCCATTGAAAATTTGGCGGGAAATGATTCTCTCTAGATTTTTTATACATTTAACATTGGCACCTTTTTTCTATCTAAAAGTATGAAAAAATAACAAGGATTTAATAAGATTTTCAAAGATGGCATTTTAAACTATATTTAATCAGATTATGAAAAGAAAAGTAGGGGTTAGTGGGCAAAATTTTTTAATGGCACTACATGGATAAAACCAGAGGATTCCGAATATCTTGCAAAAATTCAAAAACAAGAGGAGCGAACATCCTTAATACTGATGGCCATATCCTTTTATTTCTTTCCAAATGAGAAGGACATCTCTTCAAATATACAGAAAAACTCATATTAATACAAAATTTCCCATTGTACTTTAGAAGGACAAAGTGCTACAAGATTTTAGTGAATTAAAACATTTTGTACAAAAAGTATGAATCAATATTAATCTTTTTTTTATAAATACAGAGCCAATAAGGGCAGAGTCTTGGTAGTTTGTTTTAGTTATCATCTACCTTATCGAAAAAAATTATTACCAAATCAATATGAAATTTTTGAGGAAAGAACTGAATGAGATATACACTCTCCCTGGAACCTTTGAATTGAAAATCTTTGTTTAGGCTCTAAAGTTTTTGTGACTAAAATTCCAAATTATATCATATATTCAGTTAAGATAGTTTTTCTCTTCTGTAGAAATAAATGCCAAATTACACAATTTTTCCCATTTAACTTTTATGTGTGACCTCTGCCCAGAGATAGAACAAAATCTCAAATTATTTGTCGAAGTTGCAAAAATAAATTTTAAATTATTTGAATAAGTAATTAGAAATGAAGTTTCCTTTATTTGATCTAATCTTATTTTTAAACAGAATAGTTTTACGTAAGAAAATATTCTTTATAAATAGCTATAGGGAACAGTTATAGCAACATCTTTCAAGATCTTCTTTTTTCCGGGTGGAGGGTATTATGAAGCATGTTTTGCAAGAACACAAGAATATTTAATAGTATATTTTATTTTGAAAAAATACAATGAGAATTCTTAGTCAAAATTAGTATACAGTTTGTGTGATTATTTGTCCTGTTACAGCAAAGTCCAGTTATTTGTTCATCAATTTCAATTGATGGCAACTTTTGCAGCTGTATTATATCTATAGTAAGGTGTATAATCATGCAGGTGCACACTTTAACATTGCATATACAGAATAGCATTTTTGATTTTGATACTGACTTTATCAGTAAGAATATCAAGCGTGCCCGTTAGAGCGAGCTGATATTCAAGTTGATAAAGTCAGTATCACATAAGAAAATGCCATTATTCTTTATATCAGCAATTTGTCTTAACAATAAGTTTTTTGGTTGTGAATATGAAACAAAATGAAATAGTTAGGAAAACTTATTTTTATGTGTACAAAATGTTGTGATAGTTGTTCGGTTGTATGAATTAAGTTGGGCCCATTTCAGTCATAAATTGACGGAAAAGGACACAAACATGTGAAGTTGCTGCAGTGTTACGTGATGTCATTTTTTAATTAGGGCCCAGCCGAATGGCAGACGCCCTAAAGTGATCAGTCTGTCCGTCCGTCCGTCCGTCTGTAACAAATCGTGTCCGCTCTATATCTAGAGAACCGTTATGATTTCAAAGTTTATACTTGACATGCATATTAACCAACACCAGAGGGTGTGTCATAATATAATGTACAATTTCTTAGGTCAAAGGTCAAAGTCAAAAACTTTGGTTTTAGTTGACAACCCCATGTCCTATGATAAAGATTGTGTCCGCTCTATATCTTGAGAACCGTAATGATTTCAAAGTTTATGCTTCATATGTATATAAACCAACACCAGACGGTGTGTCATAATTTATGTACAACTTCCTAGGTCAAAGGTCAAGGTCAAAAACTTTGGTTTCATTTGACAACCCCATGTCAAATGATAAAGATACAAATTTTTTACCACACATTATTCACAGAGGAGCCACAGAGATGGCTCCCATCTCAATGATATCTAGTTGTTTCAAGTCTCAAGTCCTATCCATGATCTAAAAAAATATTGGGCAGTTGGATCAAAGGGATAATGTACAAACTGCTGATAAATACTCAAGCCTATTACTGTGCCAAGCACATAACTGGGTCAAACACAATACTGGGTACACAAGTTGTCTTGTATATGTATATTTTTGTATACTAGTATGTTGAAATGTTGTGGTTGTATTATGCTGATCTCAGCAAAACCATTTATCTTGAAAGTGGCCCATTTTTTAAAAGCCTTTGTAAGAACTGATAGCTTGAAATTAAAATTGTTCTGGAATAATTTGGGGGAATCAAAGTTTTTATAGACATCTGAGCAATTTTCATTTCTATGCTAGCAGTTTATAATAGGTCTTATAAAATAGACCTCCTGTAAGAAAAGTGGTCAGCCTTAGGATTTTCTTTAGTATTAGAATCTGTGATATTTTACTGAAAAGTTGTGAATGGTTCGACTGTCGTTCTCTGTTCTTTGTTTTGTTAAAAAATGACATGTTTGTTTTAAGAATTTTTATTAAAATTATGTAAAGATATATTAATTATATTTAATAAATTTATTGAAGTTTTAGATCTTATGTTTTATAAACCAAGTGTTTGTTTTGCTTTAAGTTATAACTGCAACATTTAGCAAAAATAACACAAAAAGCTAAGGAATAGCGCTTTTATTGCTGTTCTTCATCTCAAAGTCACAGTGAGGCCTTCAACACGGAGCAAAAAAAACTCTCACACTCACTGCAAGTTTAAGGCAGCCCTTAGCACCGGTTTGAGTGGAATTCTTTGCAAAATAATTTCGGATAGAATTTGTTAGATGTATCACTACTAAATCGGGCTAAAATGTGTCAAAAAGAACATACTAGATAGTAGTACATATTAAAACAAAATAGTTTCTATGCATAGGTGTAAATATCAAGCTATGTAGAATATATTTGGTCAGTTTAGGTATCAAATGAAAGGTGAAGGACTGGTGATCCTTGTAGAACACATTTTGACTGATGATTTTGAATAATTCAAAAATTTATGAATGAATTCTAAAATTGAGTGCATATATTGCCTGTTTCTCAGATATGAAGTACTTGGTTTGGTGTATCCAAAGTTCCGGTAAACCAGTACGGTCTGGTGTGTAAATAACGAAATATTGATCCCACCCCCCATAAATGCTTAAAGTGAAAAATTTTAATGTGGAAAGGAATGGGGGCCAAGAATAGGTGTGTTTCTTCTTGAAATTTTTGTACACAAACTGGTCTAAAATTGAGAGAGTCCCTAATCAAATGGCAAAATCAAAAGCACAAACACATCAAACAAATGGACAACAACTGTCATATTCCTGACTTGTTACAGGCATTTTCTTATGTAGAAAATGGTGGATTGAACCTGGTTTTATAGCGCTAAACCTCTCACTTGTATGACAGTCGCATCAAATTCCATTATATTGACAACGATGCGTGAATAAAACAAACAGACATAATAGGTAAAAATGTCAAAATAGGGGTACAGCAGTCAACAAATATTTAACAAAGAAGCACAAAAAAGCATATATCACATTTAACAACCTTGTTCATTGCTTACTTATTTTTGTATTTTATTTATGTATGCCAAATCAACCCATAAAGGATCGAGGGATTTTAAGCACTGGGACCGAATCGTAATTTTAACATTAACTCTGGCGTAGAATCGTGTGTTTGACGTCAGAATGTAAACTTCACACCGGTAGAGATATAAAATAATTTTGTCGTTCAAAGTATGCAAAAATTATAATAGAACAATAACACAATGGTGGGATGTTTAAAGTACAGAGACATGTCATATGTATCAAAGAAACATAAAAAGTCACACAGACAAAGCACACAAGTAAAAATGAAAAATAATACAAACAACACAATGACGGGATGCATAAGTACAGAGCCACGTCAAATGTATATCACCAAAAACAGACCAAACAGTAAAAGTAATATTTATAAAGACAAATAAAAGAACACTAATAACACGTTATTAAGATGATAAACAGGGTCAGTACGCAGAATCTACTTCAAGACCATCATCTATTATTTTGAAGTTGATACGGAATATTTATCAACAAGGTCTTGGTACCTTCTGATGAACTTTTTTAGAAAAAGGACGAGATGTTCTTTGACATACCCCTGCATGGTTCATCAACTTTTTGCTCAGACACTGGTGACGTTTTAAAAAGTCTGAGTAGGAGCTGCAAGCTCTTGCATACCGAATAAGTTGGGAAATGTATATCCCATATGCAGGTGAAGTTGGTATATATATTGCTACTAAGGTGGGGGAAATTGATAATTTTAAAATTAAAATCGTCTCGTTTGTCATAGATTCTGGTACTGAGATGACTGTGTATGTCAAAAATCGAGGTATAAGTCTAAAAATGAAGCGGAGGAAGCCGTGTCTGTTGTTTCTTTAATTTCTAGTTCTGGGTGATATATTAATGGAATCCAATCAGAAAAGTTCGGATTGTTAATGGAAAGAACATCATCAATATATCTGAAAGTGAAATTAAATAATCTGGCTTCTTTGATCTTCTTGTTTTTGACAAGTGTCTGAAGGAAATCCGATTCATATGAAAATAAGAAGAGGTCGGCAAGGAGAGGCACACAGTTCGTTCCCATAGGAATGCCGACAATTTGTTGAAAAAGTCTACCTCCAAATTCAACAAAAATGTTGTCGATAAGAAACTCCAGCATACTGATCACTTGTTCCTCTGTGTAGCATGTTTTACCCTTTTGTTCGCTATTAACAAAATATGCCTTATGGTATCCCACACAGGCGCTTGGGTATATGATACAGAAATTTTTATGTTTAATTTTTTTTTTTATTGATTAAAATATTCAATTTTCTATATTTATACTACATATCTATCACAACTGCGCATGTCTCACCTAGTTTCGAGTGATTTTACCAACTTTGAGACAAACCCCCATTTTACTATCCACACTAAGAAACTTAGTGTGGATAGTAAAATGGGGGTTTACCAACTTTGAGACAAATTTACTTTCCACACTAAGAAACTTAGTGTGGATTGTAAAATGGGGGTTTGTCTCAAAGTTAGTAAAATCACTCGAAACTAGGTGAGACATGCGCAGTTGTGATAGATATGTAGTATAAATATAGAAAATTGAATATTTTAATCAATAAAAAAAAAATTAAAAATAAAAATTTCTGTATCATATACCCAAGCGCCTGTGGTATCCCAAAGTAATAAATTTATAGCATATGCTACCATTTTTATGTTGAAAGGCAATGTGGATTATTTCTTTCAATTTCACATGGGGAATGGTGGTATACAGGGTTGAAAAATCAAAAGTTTTGATAGAACTAATTTCAGAAAAAGACAGAGATTTAAAATTATCCAGAAGTTCTTAAGAATTTTTAAGAATCCACATATGATTAATACCACTACGCGAGTAAACAGTTTCACAGTATTTCTGAAGACCCTCTTTCACTGCACACAATATTTTAGTCAATCTAATGGACAATTCTTTGGTGGAACATACAGATGAGCAGGCAATGTACCGTTGTTTGTACGGAATTTTGTGAAGCTTAGGTATCCAATACAAACAAGGTAAGTCCTCTGATTTGTTGTTCAATGTAATGTTCATTGAAGCCGTGAAGGACTTATGATTCGCCAAAATCTCATCCTTGTCAAATGACATGTCTTTGTATGTGGGATTACCTGAGTGCTCATTTATTCCTAATTCTTTTACAAGACATTCGATTTACATACAAAGACAATATTATTTGAAGCTTTGTCTTCAGGAACAACAACATACTTATCATGAAGAGATGATAAACATTTCACAGCCTCTTTGTCTCTGAAAATGGACTTTGGTCGATCATTCACACAGTGTTTCAACTTATGAATGCGACGTTTTATCAGAGACCTGATTGTTTTGACCCATTCTGACAAAGTGTACAGTTCAGCTTCAATCTTCTCGTTTAGCCCATGCTCTGGCGTAGTCCTCAATGGAATCCATAATCATTTTGAAGTCATGGTTCCAATTGATGTGTTAGGGTTCTCTAAACTTAGGACCATGAGAAATCACCTTTCAGAGATTTTCATGTTGAATTATATTAAGATCCCCAGTAATAACATGGCCAGAGGGGCTGTAATTATAAGGCGAGTGGGAACAGTCACATGTAAGAGGGTTTTTTAGGTATTGTTCTAAATCAAGGTCCTGCAATGCTTGTTTATAGTTAAATACTTTGGGTGCAATGGTTTTGGTGTAACTGTAGGATACAATAGGAACAGACTAATTTTGAAAATAAATAGGAATTTTAGATGGTACCTCCTTGTGATGTAGAACGTTGCAGATGTTAATTGCATCAGTTCCTCTATTGGTAAAGTGAACAGGAAGGAATTTCCTCTTTTCCTCATGTAAAGGTTCCGATCTTACTGGTTTGAAAAGACGGAAAAGAGTTACATCACAAATTATACTGACAAGTCTGTATATTGGAGAAAATGTATTAATGCATCCTTTGTCAAGAGCATAATCTCTCAAACATTTAAGAAAATTAACAGGCAGTGAAAAGGGAATAGTTCTAATGTAATGTAACCCTAACGGATGATGAAGATGTGAAAGAAGGTCATTAAAGCTCCCAGAGGGCGATCTAGATTTGGAAGACTTTTTTTTACATTAGGCAGATGGTAATGTTTTTGCCAATGACTACGTTACGTTGTTGTCGTAAGGTAGTATCAAATAAACTCATTACACTAACATCACTGCAGGCTGGACTTGACAAATTTCCTACTCCTTTGACATTATCATTGCAACCAATATGGCATTGCAATACCTAATTCCCTTATCCAGAAATTTTCTCTATCTTTTCGGAAAGGATCGAGTACTTAGTACAGGGCAATTTGTGTGGTGATAAATTTTCTCGATGATGCGTACTTTCATAGATAAAGAAGGATCATGGTCCGGTTGATTAAAATGGTTATAATCAAAGAACCCTGAATTGCGGATCTTTATTATCAGACCGGTGTTGATTCATCCTTTTACGCAAAGTTTGTCGAGTTTCACCAACATAAAGTAGCTAGCCCACACAATTATCTCATGGAACGATCTTAAGGCAGAATAATATTTAAATGGAAAAGAAAAAAAAATGGTTCAGTTAGCAATATAATTTTTTCATGCTTAGGTCAGTTTCTCATTTACTCTTTGCAGAAGTCTGTTAACATGAGCAATGTACTTCTGCTTTTAGTAATAGGTCAGCAATGTATGGTCTTCAGATTCGTTGTAAGGTGCAGATGTCTGTCTGAGTCGCCTGACTTAATCTATATTTTTATGGTTCAATGCACAATTTTCATGATCAGTGTCAAGCTATAAGGACATTAAGTTTAGTGGCTTTGCCGGGTCAGTTTCTAGGTTTCTGCTGGTAATTCAAGAAATATATTTGGTCTATAGAATTGTTTTAAGTTTTATCTGTCTAGCTGAGAGGTTATTTACCCCCGCCTCGTGTTCTTGTTTAAATGAGCATGTTTGGATTCATAAACAAACATGTCCCCATGGTGTTCACTAACTTTTGATTGGTTGGACTTTAAGTTTCTCAAGAACAGCTGAATCAATTTAATCCAAATTAATCAGATACGTTCCTGTGCAGTTGCTGAACAAGTGTTGTCGTTTTGATGCCAATCGGAAATTCAACTGGCTGCCAGCTGAGGTCAAAATTTAAATGGCTATTGAAAAGAACATATGAAATATAAACAAATATTTACACATGCCCATTAGAAGGTACTTACCAAGTGGTATCATTTTGGACTTGATGAAAAGTCTAGTATGGATTCAAGGTGCCAAAAAGGGGGAGCAATTGGTCTGATATTCAAAGATCATCTTTTAAGAACTATTAAACCAATTCAGAGACATATATACATGTGTATAAATATATCTGACCAATTGAACCAAATTTGCCAGTTATGTTCCTGTAAAAGTCCTTAATAAGTGTTTTTACTTTGATGGCAACCAATTTGAAATTAAATATGGCCTTTAACAGAGGTCAAAGATTATAGTTAAACTCTATGGGCAAATATCTTCTGCTTTGCGTTCAAAACAATATAATACTGAAGAAGGTACTTTCCAAGTTTTGTTTCTTTGGTCCTGATGTAAGATGCAATTTGGCTTCTAGCGACCAAAAATTAAGTATTTTCTTTTTTATGAACTTCTGAATCAATTTAAACGAACCTGGATGTTTCTGCATGTTAAGGTATGTAACCAGTGATGTTACCTTAGACAAGATCAAAGAAAAGGCCACCAGCAGAGGTAAATTTTTAATTTGAAACATTGTTGGAAGTAACATTTTGTTTCTATCTAAGAACGGGTGAAAAAAATTCTTTAGACAGTAATTACTTGCCGCATATGTTCGTACAATTTGTTAAAGACTATGTTTTGGTATTTTGGCAGAATACACCCAAGAGAGGGATTCAGACTACTAGTATTGTTCTGGTTATTTGATCAAAGTTCAGGTTTGACTGCTTTTGCAAGTCACATCTTTTCTTTGTCTTTTTCCATACCTTTGTAAAAAGAACTCCCTCTAAACACTATTTTTTACATTTTTTTTTTTTTTTTACTTATTTGTTTGATTTTTTGTATGCCCCTCCAACGATAGTAGTAGGGGCATTATGTTTTCAGGTCTTTGCGTTCGTCCGTCCGTCCGTCTGTCCCGCTTCAGGTTAAAGTTTTTGGTCGAGGTTGTTTTTGATTAAGTTGAAGTCCAATCAACTTGAAACTTAGTACACATGTTCCCTGTGATATGATCTTTCTAATTATAATGCCAAATTAAAGTTTTGACCCCAATTTCACGGTCCACTGAACATAAAAATTATAGTGTGAGTGGGGCATCCGTGTTCTATGGACACATTCTTGTTTTTATTTATGTTTTTTAATTGTTGTAAAGGATGAAGTATGACACGTGACATTATAAGGCCACTGAAGTTACAAATATATCAAATTATGCGGGACTTTCAAAATTAGGTTGATTCACAATTGATAAATGAACAGGATAATAGACGCTTCAGTGCAAAAGGTTAACTTATGAGATATTGATGGCGTCATAAATTTGTTGAAATTAACATATTTGACAACTGTTCATTTTATGCACAATTCTTGGGCAAAATAGAAATGTGAAACAGCCGTAACCCAAAAAGATATTTTACACCCATTTATGTCTATGTAAAATATAATTTGTTGCAAAAATATCTGTTTGGGTAAAGATGTTGCTCATAACTCTAACTTTAATCACAAGACCTCTAACTGAGGATTATCCCTATTTGGCAGTTTTTGCAGTTTTGCACTAAATTCAAGAAGTTTAAAGCATTAGTGCAAATATGTTAGGCAAAACTCAAAACTATGAATATTGATATCTGGCAGACTAGTATAATATGAGCATCTGAAGGGTGTTATTTTGGTAGATTTATTATACTTTTTGATTTTTTTGTTTCGCATGCGAGGAAAGTCGCAAAATGCGAGACAAAGGGATTACAATCCGGAGGTGGCAGCGATGGCTTAAACTATTTGTATAAAGCTTTATATTCTAAAAGCTAGAAGACCTGGATGCTTCATACTTTTGTATGCAGATACCTTATGTTACAAAGTTTCCGTCTGTCATATGTCCATTGTCCTTGACCTCATTTTCATGGTAAACATTTTTTTTAAACGTGAAATACTCTCCAGGGCCGTAACTAGCCTGTTTTAGAGGTGAGGAAACATATAGTTGCCGAGTGGAGCGAGGCAAAACTTTTCGGCGAGAAGCTCTGGAATAAACTCGTGCATTCTAAGCGTTTCCCGGACCCTTTCTTAATCTAAAACGCAAGTTTTGTTTTAAATAATTATTTTTTCGACAATATTCTGGTCTCAAAGCAAAATATAAAGATTAAGTGTAAGACTTTTTTAGTTTTTAGGGACAATATCAAAGGACCGATATGTAGAATAGAGCAAAAATCGTAATTCACATAGTCAAGTGTGTGGCTGGTGTGGTGTTTTTTTTTTTTTTTTGTTATTGAGTTTTGGCTTGCAGAAAAACGTATTATACCTGTCAATTATGTTGGGTTTTTTTTCAAATTAAGTCAAAATTATCATTGATGTAACTATGTGAATTCAGTTTTTATAACACATTTCAATTACAACTTGATGTAGTTCCTAATTGGGATAAAAGGGTACCCTTATGCAGGTTAGACTCTTTAAGATTTCCACATCGTCTCCGACCGTTTATCAGTTCGCCACTGAGACGTGTACAGCCACTAATAGTTTTTATTTATTGTACATTCTTTATTCAAAATACATAATTTATCTGAGGAAAATAATTGTACTGTCTGAGTATGTTTCTAGTAAAAAATGGCCGTTTTGCGGAGTGCAGAAAGATTGTTCCATGGTGGATCATGTGGCATTATTCTGTAGCTGAATGTATCCTTAGCAGGAATTGCATTAAAATTTAGTCCTTGATGGTCTTCATGTTCAACGATACCGAATCGCCGAGGTTTGAAATCTATCAAAAAACCAACGTTTCTACCTTGGTCAAATGATGGCAAAATCTGATGATTGGTTATTTGGCTGTAGTATGTCGATATGACAGTAACAGGCTTTGAGGATGTATGGTTATTTTTATCACGGGCATTAGAAGAATTATCTTCATGTCCAAGATATCTCGAATTTGCGCAATCGGCTGTTTCACTACATGTATCACTATCTCGTGAAGTAATATTATTTTTGGAACTTGATTCATGATCTGAAGCCATTGAACTGTCCGATGACATTGCAAGATCTAATCTGATTTGATCCAATGAAACGTCACTTTCATTTTCTGTAGGTATGGAAGTCGTAATGTTGTCTAAGTCTTCTAAAATCTGTTCTTGACCGACGGACTGTTCACTCTGTTGTTTTGCTGACTCTCTGTTTGTTTTTTTGTCTAACAATAGATTAATATCTTCCTTGTTTCCAACAGACATTTGCACATTTTTAATAGGCTTTTTGTCGTCTGGTTCCGGGTCTTTCGGTGCAAGGTCACATGATGCATGTGTCCTTTTTAATGGTATATTTGACGATGCATGAATGATAGACTCTTTATTTGGTGGAGGACTGGACTTCTCACACAGGATTTTAGTTTTAGAATGTACTAAAATTCTCTTATCCTCTTCATATCTTGATAGTAAATACTTTTTAAATCCTCTTTTGTAAATTTGAGCACTTCGTCTGGACACTTCTATAATTAGAATTTAAAACAAAAAAGAACTAATGTTGTATGATATATCAGAGACATATAATACAATTGCGAATCTCTTGTATTATATGTCTCTGATGATATCAATACTACTTCTTTTCATTAAATACTCCACCATTTTAAATCCAAAATCATATAAAGAGGAACTGTTACAGTAAAAATAAAGGTCAAGTAAACTTACTCGATAATAATTTGATAATTAGTCACACACTAGTCTCTTAACCTTTTTTTTTTTATATTTCTATATGTTTTACTTTAAAAAACATATGATATTCGATTGTTTTATGTCCTCGATAGTAGCTTGATGTATATATACAAAATAGAATTCGGCACAACGTGTGTGTTTTATATGTGTGCATGCACCCAAGGAAAACAAGATGCAATTTATATAATTCCGGTACGTAAAAAACGAGTAATGGATAATCCAAAAACCGTTTTAAAAGCCCCACGGTATGGGAAACGCCACATTACATGTACTATATGCATATTCCCGTTATATTCAATATAATTACTTACCGCTTTCGGGATACTGATCTATATTCGCAGTACTTATTCTAACTTCCTCTAACTTCAACTTCTTCACTGGCCCAGACTTGAAACTCTCTGCACCATCGACTGGAGACTGGTCTCGCTTTTTATTTTTCTCATTACTCACTGCTTTTGCATTCGATGTCTCTTGTTTGGGTATTTTTAACATAAGATATTCAGGAGTAAATAGTACAGGTGGCGAAGCAATAAAATCAAGTTCTATCTTTTGTGTATTGTCATTCTTATTACGCTTTTGTTGTAACTTTCTCTTTTGGGACTGTGTATTCTCTTTCTTATGATATTCTGCCGCTTGTGCATTTGGTATCGTCGACCTTTGTTCGGCATGTTGAATATCTGCTGTAGCAGCCTGACCTGTACACCTTATCGGTTGTGTAAACGGTAAAGCATATATACTTCCATTTTGTGTTGGCGTGTGTTGAAGTTTCTGACTTGATAGTGAACTTGTTTGAACTTCAGTCTGTTGGTTTTGTATCTGTCGAGCAGTCGGTTGGTTATTTAAATTAGGATGATAAATTTCAATACGATTTTTTCCTTGTTGTCCCCTTTCAATCTTTGCATCCTGCTGGTAATAATTATCTTGTGTTAGCTGATGGTCAGGGTAAAAACTTTCATGTTTCTGTCCTGACTGTCGAAAATCCTGTTGGTCATCTCTATTTTTGTTGAAACTCTCGTGTTTGGGTTGCAAGACTTGAACACGTTCTTCATTAGCTTTGTTTGGTGGATATTGTTCGCGAGAGCCAAACAGTTGACTGCTCATGTTTTGAGGATATTGTAGCTGTTGATCGACTATTTTCGGTGGATATTGTAGCTGTTGATTAGCCATGTTCAATGATGTATATTGTAGGTTTTGATTACCCGTGTTTGGTGAATAATGTAGCTGTTGACTAGCCATGTTCGATGAATATGGTAGTTGTTGATTAGCAGTGTCATGTGAATACTGCGCCTGTTGGTTAGCCGTATTCGGTGGCGTATATTGTTGTTGTTGATTAGCCGTGCTTGGTGAATAGAACAACTGTTGATTAGCCATGTTTGATGAATATTGTAGTTGTTGATAAGAAGTGTTTGGTGAATACTGAAGCTGTTGGTTAGCCGTTTCCGTTTGATATTGTAGTTGTTGATTAGCCAAGTTAGGTAGGTATTGTAACGGTTGGTCAGTTGTGTACGGTGGATATTGAAGCTGTTGATGTAGGTTCTGCTGCTGTTGATTCGGCATGTTCGGTGGATATTTTAGTTGTTGATAAGGATTGTGTGGTGTATATTGTTCGTGGTTAATTTGTAGATTCGGATAGTTATTTTCACGCTTATTAGGCTGTTGACCGTGAATCTGATCTGGTTGATGAACAGAATGAAGGTATTGTGATTGAGGTTGTATTTGATGGACGTTTTGTGGATTAGCTGGCTGTGGTGATGGACTTTGATAATTCATCGTTTGCGCATTTTGTTGTTCATGTACAGATTTATATATTTCATGCTGCCGTATTGGTTGTTTGAACATAAGGTTTACCCGGTTTCCTGGTTCAGAAATTTGCTGACCTCTCTGACTTCCATGAAAATAGGAACGATTGTCTTCTACCTTTGCTGGCTGAGTTGACTTCAGTATACCATGGTGTGGTTTACTTTCATCATTATGAAGATTCGTTAGTATTTTGTTCTTTTCAGTTGACATATCATCATCGTTTTGTACTAATTTATTCATATTCCATTTAACATTATTTTTTGGTGTCTTTGTCGGAGATACTGACTTTGTGGGAACTAATGATTGTTCTATATTTTCAGCAATTACTAATTTGTGTTCAGGGGAAGAAACATTGCTCTCTGGTTGTGGCGAACTGTTGATAAACGTTATTGGTTGTTGCCGAAGATTTATATTCTGATCTTGAAAATTTCCAGCAGTATGAACTTGATATTCAGGAATACCATATTGGTTTTGATCTGCGGTAATAATCCGGTTTCCGCGAGATGTAGCGATATTAACCGGACTTGTTTCTGATTTTTGAAATTGTACAGTATTGTTTGGTATTGATATTATTGCGCCTACATTGCTTGAACTATATTGTTCGCCTTTATTGTGTAGAGACTGTGTTATATCCGATAGTTGTGATGTCTGTGTTTTAGGAGAAACGTTTTGCTGTAGCTTCTTGGGAGGTTCTTTTGAAGAAACTGCAAGAAAACTTTTCCAATGATCTATCATGTGTTCCGGACTCCTGCCTTTAGGACTCTGCTGAACATTTGAACTTCCAGCTGTAGGTTGTTCAATTTCTGTCTGCTGACTGTTTTGTGTAGCTTTAGAATTGGGTTTTACAATATTGACATCTTTAAAAACCGCCTCTTTACCTCCGGACATTCTGAGAGCTTAAAGTTTATCATCAGCCCATTGCTAGTTTTTTGTCTTGACGAATGCTTTAAACACTCATCTGTGTTACTGATTGCACTTCAGAAAAAAATAAAATGAGGGTTATCTATAGCAGCAACCATTTTAAATTACAAACAGTACAATTTTCATTGGTTAATCAATATTTACATTGTATTAATTTACTTGGCAACTGTTGAAGACCGTATGTTGACCTCTATTCGTCTTTTAATTTTTTTTTCATAATTTGGGGTGTTGTATCATTAGATTGTTGTATCCTTGGCGTATACGCCTCATATTTTCTTTTACGCATGATGTATACAATGTCAAACTTGAGAAATATGATTTTGAACTATTCTCGAAAGTACATCTAAAAATCAAAAACTTAACATACGCTGCTTTCAGAGGGAACCGCCAATAATTGATAATGGTTTATGAGAATCTTAACTAGAGAGAATCTAAATAGGACAGAGCTTTTTATATCCAAGAGTGATTAGCTACGGACAGAAAGATAAAAAGAAGAAAAAGATAACTATGATAAAGGAGATAAACTTTTTCTAAATTTAGATTCCGGGTGTCCATCGATGCAAAAGCTTACAAAAAAAAACATGTAAAATTGTTTTTTTTAAACTCGTCTTCAACAGCAATTATTTAGCACCCAAAAAATCGTAATAAATATATAATGACAAAATGGATATGATACAAGTAGGATATTGTAAGCATGTAATCATATCATTTAGACTCCTTAAAATTCAATTCCACAGGCAAATTCTGCTTTAATCCTGTGAGTGAAACAAAATGCAAGGGGAAAATTGCTAAATATATATTTGGTGGCTGCAAAGTTAATGGTCCAACTAAACATACCAAATGTACCATTCGTGTTCGATTCTGATCATATACTTCATAATTTACAGTCCACCAAGTTATATTTTTGTAAAGATACGCATCAAAGCAATATGCTTATAAGTACTTACTTGGATGCATGCAGTTAACATAGATCTGTTAAAGTAGTCCCATGGCAACGTTCTCGTCATATTGTGACGTCGCGTCCCGTCTTTCATGTCCGTCCTGCACGTCGGAAAGAATTTGAAGGAATTAAATTTATGAATTATTTATTTTTTAGACGAGAAATCTAGCAGCCTTATTTATACAATACAATTTACGAAAAACAAATATGACAGAAATGAACCAACGACAACCGTTGAATTACGAAGCACAAACAAACCAACTAACATAAAAAAATAGGCACAAAGTACCGATAAAAGAGTACTCGTAGCTACTGAAAGCTAGTTCAAAGCCAATTTCAACTGATAAAATAAATAATGTTTTCCATACTAAAGTATCAATCAGTACACATCCAAAGGAATTAATGTAAAGACTTCATAAACAGTCTGAGAAACGCATGACATTGTGTAATGCCAAAATATAAGTAAACAGTATCGACATTTGCTATTTTATTACCATTTTATACGGGAAACTTCTTGATGCGGGTATATATGTATACTGTTTTAAATATTGATTATTTCATTTAATCGATTCTAGTGTTATTATTTTGGGGACAATTCAAGAAATAAAAAAAAAAATTAGCACGTTAAACAAAACTTTGAATGATATAAAACAATATACGATTTTACACAGCAACAAAAAATGTTACATCGACTCACGACAAACAAAATCTAAACTTTAATAGTCACAATTCAAACAGAAAGTCGACTTGAATAGTGCTTATTTGTTTTCAAAGGGGATTTTTACGAACCCCACGACCCCCCCCCCCCTCCATTTCCCCGCCTGGCTACGGTCCTGAATGTACGTAACCTTTGATATTCGTAGATAACATGTCCACCTACGTTACGGTCGCGGTTTGCCGAGAGAAATTACGATGGAGTAAGGAGTAATAAGATTTGCATGAAAGAGGCCCCTCATGGGGGTGTCCAAGTAATCACATAATCACAATTGTTTTGCAAATATAATCACATAATCATTAATTATCTTTTTAAACAAGATAATCAAATAATCAAAAATACAGTCCTAGATTATCAAATAATCAAATAATCATGAAATATTTGGTCTGGTAATAAAATAATCACTATAAAAACGGCCAAGTAATCACATAATCAAAAACCCAATGAGGAGGCTCATAAAAAAACCGGTGAAATATTTTGGCAAACTCTCTCATTCGTTTTCCCCATAAAAGTACAGGATGTGTTGCCACGTTTTACATATAATGAATTGAATATATATTTTAGGTGAAGGCCTATGGCACAACAACCCAACAACATTTGTTACCAGGTTACTGAAACGTTTTTAATAAGCTATAGTCATATGCATGATCCGACTTTTATGATATATTCTGATAAATCGTTGTAACAGTTGTAAACAGAAGAATACAGACTCGCATATTAAATCAAGGAATTGTATATTTAAACTTTCTGGGTAACAGTTCATTTTGGGGTCCTCTTCGCGATCCGCGTTTAAACTATGTCGATTTCTTTGAAAAATCAGAGACAATGATTGGGAATTAAACAACAAAAGCCCCTGCTCAAGTGCCGGGTGTTGGTTGCAGCCTAGGATAAAAACAATATATGTACATTGTCGGAAATATAAAATGTATTTGTACTCGCTACGAAACAGGAGAAAAACTATATACAATTCCTTGGCATAATGTAGTAATACAAATATGTTTATTTCGAGATAACATCAAAATACCGTGAATACGGTTAAGTAAAAAAAAAAAAACTAAAAGCAGAATAATTTGGTTAAAGACGACGGACAAATTTCCAAGCAGTATGAAGGTCTATATGTGGTTTTTAGAATAGATCACTAGGGGGCGAAGAAAATAGAGAATAGTGGAAAAAATAGGCTGAAAAAAGAATAGATAATGACTAAAGGGGTTCTTAAATATAATTAAAGAATAGAGAAAAATGTCAGGCAAAAAGATAGAGAATAGATAAAACTGTCTTAGGTATACTTCTTAATTGGAATAATAGGGTTTTCATTTTTTGACTTATCGATAAAAATTTTAGGTATTATTTTTTAAACTGTAAATTTCTTTTCAAATGAATCTTCAAAGTTGGATTCAGGTTTTTGATATTTTTCTCCAACGTTTCATATTATTGGCTAATCTGTATTGCTACTACCAGAAGGCAATATTCGAAAAATAAATATCGAAATTACGAGAAATGGCAATATTTTGGTCATTATACATATATATATATATAAGCAGTAAGATACTTTTAGCTATAAAATCTAAAAAAAGGGCGGGAAAAATTGAAGTTTTTGACCAGAGTTACTTCCCCTTAATTCCATAGCGACTGCCAGGCGTTGAAAATGGCGGCGTAAACTTTAAAAACATACACATCAAATGACAATTCTAATTTGAACAGAAGAAGAACAATAAATATTGCGAAATGGCTGCACTGTTGAAGAGTGCTGCGGTTGCCTCTATAAACAGGGGACAGCCAAGTTCTTTCTACAGCAAAGACAAAACAAATCCAGTTTTCCAGTCGCTGGACCAAGAAATCAAAAAGTTTATGGGTTATATGCGCAAACGAAATAGCCCTGGCTACAAAAAACCTGCAGAAGAACCATCATCTAGGGCGTTAGTATTAGGTTTTAATGTAATGTCAATTGCCAACCAATTCAGTTATCATAGATATGCAACTAGCACTAGCAGGTGCTTCCCCTTGCATATGACTATGAGGGATCTGGGTATGTCATATCCTGATTTGTGTTTGCCAAAGTTTCTGTTTGTCCTAGGTCTGTTCGCCCTCATTTTTATTTCATTTTGGTGACATGTTGTAGAATTGTTTATTATATTATTTGAATAGCCTCAGTATGTATTGAAGTTATAGAGTGTTGAGATTTTGTAAACATGTTTGCAGGGGATGCTTAAAAATACATATAATTTTTGCTCACTGATTTTGCACAAAATGCAATATTTATGTTCTATTGCTCCAACCAGATAATTATTTATTTTGATTTGGCAAATTGCACTGAAGTCTTCGGAATACAAAGCATAAATTTTAATATAAGACAACTGAAGACCAATTTTACATTTTACTTATACACCTTATCGCTATTTGTCCGCCATTACTGGATATCACACAGGTTCCCGTAAAATTTTGACGTCATAAAACAAAATATCTGATGCCACAATGGAAAAGTGATTGTTGTTGACGTCAAAAGTTCAAGCGGCCGGGTCAGCCGGGAATAGCGATAAGGTGTATTCCAAGCTGACTAGTTTATTTTCATTATTAAACCACCAAGAACAATTTATACAAAAATCAGTGAGATTGAAGTGATAATCAGCATGTTCATAATTAAAATAAACAGTTATTAGAATTAATTCTAAATAAAAACAAATGTAACAATCATGACAATGAAGCCAATCAATGCTCGAAATCAAGCAATTCATTTAAAATATTTCCGTCTTGTTTTTATGAATTTTGAGATAGATATATTTGAGAATATAATATTTAGCAATAAATATCTGCATACATTTTTGTAGTTACATAAAAACCTAAATACCATTAATATATTTAAAAAGATAGGGCGAATAGACTATTGGCATGATGGGTGAATGAACTAAGGGCGAACTGAACCGATACCGCATTTGATTTGTAAGTCGTTGTAACTGGAAGTCTTTCACAAAATAAGATGATGACAAGAAACTAGGTGATATTTACAGTTGTTAAAATGAAAGTTTGGGAGTTGTGGTATTCTACTTAAAAAAATGGCTATATTTTATTTCTACTTCCTCGTCCTACAGCACATGCATTGGATGACTACTTCAGTCATAAGTACTGGACTTGACTTGAAAAACAATATTTTTATTTATATATATAGTTTTTAATTGTTGATTCAACTTGTAGATCTCAAGACAAACATGTAACATGTTGAGCATCATTAAAGAGCTTAATATTTGAAAATTATTTATTTTAATAATATTTGTTTAACCTTTAATCCAATCGGTTGTTGGAAATGAAGAATAAGATAATGACCATTTGTAGGGATAATCCAGTAAACTGAGCATTTAATTAGAACTGTTTATTTAGTAACTAAAGTCTAAATCAATTCTACGTTTTTTAACAGTTATCAATATTTATGTTGAGATTTGTCTATTTCATTGTATTTTAATTACACATGACAAGACTTATGTCTAATGAATGTTAACCTGTGTAAGTTGAGACAGCTTCTTTGAACAACATGAACAACTGATGGTTTCATATTGCATTCACCTAATTGGAAGGCTTAAGTTGTCATGTTCCTGTTCTATTAAATGATGTGTATAGATATTTTCTTTCCTATAAAGCTCCATAAACATGATAGAAATTTTCAAAGAAACAACACTCCTGCATATATATATATATATGAAAGAGGGATTGAAAATACTTTGTTTTTTTTTTCTTTTAGATCAGACACTCTGTTTGAATTATGGAACAAATATGAGCCAAAGCTACCAGAGATTTATTACCAGGAGAAATTGCTGCAAATGGGTGATTTTCTGATGACTGTGCGGGTAATTTAGAGTTTTATAAAAATTTATAACAAAAGAAAACTGATTTCCCCCCCACCAATTTAGAACAGGTAAAACAGTATCATATATTTTTTACCTCAATGTGTTATCAAAAACCTAAAAGATCATCTATAATGCTGCTATTCAGTTATTACTATATCTATTACTATATGACTATAGACAGTTTTAACATAGAAGAAAGAAAGTGTCCTTGTACACTAGATCCTGTAAAATACTACAAAATTATTCATATATCAAAACAATATCCCTTTTATTATGTTCAAAACTTTCTTAACATCCAAGAATAGAATCAGAATATGCCAGTTGATTTTTTTTAAAGTTCTAATAGGGTGGAAAACCACAGATAAAATACACATCACTTCTCATCTAACACTTTTTATTGGTGTCAAAAGTCTGGTAGCAGAAAAGCAAAAATTGGTAAATTTACTATTTAACTATTTATTATAAAGAATTTTATATTTTAGGAATACAGTTTAGCATTATGGCAGTGCTATGACAGGTATCTGTTACATTTTGGTAACATCAATGTGGAGGAGATCACTGATGTCGACATCTTTAGAATGACTTTTTTTCCAGAAGGATTTGATAGTGAGAATGCTGGATTGACAGTAAGTCTGAAAAAGAATACACATTTAAAAAGTAAAAGGAAAATATATTATACTCTTAATCAAGTAAATCCAAAAAGGAAGTACTTATTACAACAAAACCATATCCTGTAAACATGAAATATGTTCGTTGTTTGTTTTTTTACGATTTCAATGCCTTAAATTTTTTCCAGGAGAACATTTTTGTTTGATGAAATACCTATGTAGTAAAAACTGTATTGATAGGGCGAAGAATTTGGGAAAACTACATGACACTTTGACAAATGTATAGATTGAAAGAGGAAAGAACTATTATTTTCTACTTTTGGTACAGGAGTTGGAACTTAGTAAATATTCATCAGTTGTGTATTGATCCAAGTTAAAATCAAATAAACGCATTTTGAAGATTTCCACCAATGTTTTTGGTGTAAAAAAGGGAGTAAAAACATTCAGTTTAAGTGCCAATCTGACTAAGAATCAGGCAGTGGTGAAAACATGACAAACAAAAACTCACTCAAGTTGACATTAGTTTATGTTCAAAATGTATAATGGTGCATGAATATAACATTCGTTTCCTTTTCCTGTTCTGGTAATTACAGATATAATTTGGTTGATATGCACCAGAAATTAACTATTAAGGGGAGCTAACAGTGTAATTTGCTATTATTCTAACCAAAATTTATCAAAAGATTTCCGGAACTACCAGACACGCAGAAACGAAAGACCTACCATTTCTAACTTAGGATGAGTGTAACTTCAAAATAGGATGGTTAGGTCCGATGGTTTTTTTTCGGTCATGTTTTGATTTTTTTCAAAATTGCCTGATTCTTACAAAGACTGGCACTTAAGAAAGATAGATAACAACATTACCAAAGAAAAAAGATGAACAGACAAACAAGTCAACAAAACATTACATAGTAAACTAAAGACTGATCAACACAAACAACACTTCATTTTTTTTAACTATAAAAATATTATTTCGTAACTATTTGCATGTGCATATGTTACTATTTATTAGTAGTAATGTTAACTTTTCTACAGAAAGAGGAATTTTTTGTTAAGCAGGTAAATTTTTGCATAATTTCAACGTAAAGCTTAAATATTTTTATACATACTGTATGTTAAACAATTCCTTTAAACAGATGAAAAACAGAGTTGTCTCCTGTTTATGTGTTTTAATTTTAATATTTGTCATTTTAAAATACATGCTATACAGCATACCCAGAAGAATTAAAAGTATTAGTAGATTTTATATTCAATTTGTATACAAATATATATATATATATATATATATATATATATTAAACCTGCCTCTGAGAACATGTTTATTATTGTAAAGAATCTACAAACAGATGAAATGGGAGACAACTCACTCTCACCAAGATTTTTTTTAATCTGCATGATACAGGTTTGTTGTGCATAATAAATGTTTTCATAAAACATTTTTGGTAATCACTGCTGCAGTAAGAATTCATATTTTGAATGTATAACTTAATTTAAAAAACATTATATAATAGATAATTTGTAATTTTAATGGAAATATTTTAAATGGATTAATAAAATGACATATGCATGTTTGATGTGTTATTATATTTGTAGGTAGATCTCAAATGCATGTTTATTTGTGTGGTCAAATTATATTTAACAATCAACTTAATACATAACTGCACAGTAACAAGTGAAGACTGACATCCCATACACCAAGACAAATAAGCATGCAAATTAAAAAGACATAGACATATGAAAAAATTTCAGGCCTGATCTTTTCAAATAGGTTTATTTATATATTAACATATAATCTGCATGAAGCTAAAGGACAAACAAATTATCAAGGTTTCTCTTATTTCTTGCAAATGGTAACTGCAAAATTTGATGGAATTTTATTTCATTTCTCAGTTGTTATCTTAAAGATATGTGTTGTACAATATATTAAATTAAGTGGAAATTGCTTCCTAAATACCATTTTCAACATTTACAAGTTAGTGGAAAGATAGTGTATTATTTTTTAGTGCAGCAAAATATGTCTAAAACAAATCCTTTCTGAATCCAAGGTTTAAATACTGTTTAGATCAGACATGGCAGACATGGTTGGTTTATGCCTGTCAAATGACCAAAGAAAATATGTCCCTTTCTAAGAGTTTAGTTGAGAAAGTATACTTTTTCTATTTCAAGGCATAATTTTTAAATTGATAATCTACTTAGAAAGGTTGCTTTATTGTAAATTGATAAATTGGATTTGCATGTTTCAATAAAGTTTTGAAATTGATACTTTTACTTTTTCAGTTTCGTGCTTTAATGGGGAAAAGTATAAGCATGTACCAAACAGTTCGTATGGTTGATCCAAAACTTCAAAATACACAATCAACAGACAAATGTGTACATATACTGTCCTTTCTTAGACTTGTAATGCAGGTTGTACTGCCAAAGGAGTCATTATGTTGGCTTGTTTATAATGGTAAGTAATGTAGTAGTGATAAGGTCAAGTTTTTTCTTTATTATAGGATACGTGTCCTAATCACTCTGTCTGTGCTGGGCTTCCAAAATTTGTCACCAAAAAATCAACAGCAATTTTTTTTTCCAAATACAAAACGTTTGCCTTAACTCCCTCTAGTTGGATTTAGACCTTTGAATTTCAATATACAAAACTTCTGATATAAAACTCTGGTTCTCTGTACTTCCAGTGGACACCAAGTGATTTAAATTGTTGAATTGTAAACGTTCAGTTTACAGGTAAAAAAGTATGAGGATTTATAGAATAACATATGAAATACTCAGATGTTGAAACAAATTATTTGAACCTTGTAACTGGATGGAAACTAGCAAGCTAGCAAACACTTTGATCAACTTGAGTACGATAGTTTGGTGGTCATAGTCGTTTATTGTATTTTTATTTTAGAAAAGATTTTCTATGCACATTTCTGAAGGAAAACATGATTGCTTCAAATATTGTGCTGTATCTGTAAATGGTTAGTGACATAGTTTCTACTTATTTGTGTATTCTTGAATAATGTTATTTGAAATATTGATCCATTTATAAAAAGTACTTGATGAGTAATTATTTTTCTTGTTCTGACACTTTGTATTTTTTTTTTATCCTTAATAGGAACCATCCATATCTACAGTATATCTAGACATCTGATGTCCCTTGGTCATTCAGCTAGGGTAAGTCTAGAACTCGCAGAGATACAGTACATTACATTGTACTTACTATTGTCTATTCACATAGGTGCGTTTGATTTTCAACAATTCAATCAAAAGACATCATGTAGATATTATGAAGGTCTTAAATCAGTGCATGATTGTTGATAATTAATGGTTAATAAAGTATTCAAAAGAGACAGTATGATAAAGTCATAATTTTGGTTCCTTGATTTGAAAATTATAAATTATAAATCCATCAAATAACAGCATTCTGGTGTTTATAAGACAGTAGTCAAACAGATTTCAGTAATTAATTTTTTTTTGTTCATTTGCAAATTTCTTGCATTTAATGCCAAATTGCAAAATAAATCATAATAGCCTATTGTTGAGATCTTGACATTAGTATTTAGATATAAGACAAAGTCAAAGAATGCCAAAAGGGCCTAGTTAAAAAAAAAGGATATCTTTGCTGGAGGGACTTATAACCTTACCTTTAGCACAATTACAATGAAATAACAGTATAAACAAGCACCCTTACATATAAATATAGATTTGAATTAGGACACTTATAATCGGGTCTGAATATCCTGTATTACAAGTCTTTTAAAAAATAAAATGAGCAGCATATCTCATATTCTAAAAATAAATCTTAATCCATCAATCCATGTAGCAGTTCCTGTTATCACTTGTTTTGGAAATGATCCATGGAATTTTAGACATTATTGGAAAGACTTGTTCTTTTTATTAAAGCAATATATAAATATTCATACATGTTTTTTAATATAGGGGTGATGTTTTACATATTTCAGGTTTTAGAATTCCTTTTGTGGGCGTGTATGTGTATGGAGACATCTGTACCCCTGCTGTCAGTCAAATATTTACCATGGAGATCTACACTTTATACAGCTGTTTGCCAGTCTTATTTTGATTGTAAAGCATCACATCATGCTGAGGTATTTAAGTTATAACTTGAATAAATTCTTGTTAGCATAGTTAATCTGAATTGCATAGGCTTTAGTGGAAATTTTTTTATGCAGAGTTTGTAAGTTGGGTATTTTTCTGGTCATACATTTTAAACAGATCTGTTAATAATTTGTACCAAGTTTCAACAGAGATTTACAATTATCAACTAGACAACACTTTGAAAAACTTGAGATTTATAAAATTCATTTCTGAGCAACTAATATTCATGAACTGTTCCTAAATAAATCATAGTTGTTTTTTTAACTGCACACCAATACCAGGTGATCAATTTAGGCCCTTATGAGCCTCTTGTTTATATGGCATATTTTAATGAGGCTGTATAAACTTTCATTTTAGGCCTTTGCAAGAAGAGGATTAGCCAAAATTAATGAATTGAATAAATTGGAGAGTTTAAGTAGTGCTCCTGAAAGTGCTGATTCAGCAGAATCCTTCAGACAAGCCACAGTTAAGGTGAGTAATTATTTATTTAAAGAAAAGCAAAATTTTCTAATTGTTATAAAGCAAAAGTTGCTGGTCTATAATTGTATATGGACCAGAGTGTAATTAAAGAAAAAAAAAGCAAAGAAAATGACAGAAATAGAATAAGACTGACACACAAGCAAATGAAAGAAGTCACTTTTAATTTGACCTCAGAAAGTATCATTTGTGTAATAAAATAGAAAGAATTACTGGAAAACCTTTTTATCCCATGATGACAAGAACATATGCTTTTCATTTTCTACCTTGTTTGATAGCACACATGACTATTGGAGTGTCTGGTTATATACATGTATGGATGTAAAAGGAATTTATGAGTATTGAATTAAAGCAAACTTAGGAACAAAAATGGTGATACCTTTACAAAAAGTTTTGTAAAATATTGTATTTCAGATGGCAGTTATGGTGTTTAAAAGGTCTGTGTATGAAACAAGGAGAAAACCAAAAGAATGGCTGAGACCAAAGACAAGAGCTAACTTGGTAGAGGCAAAAAATATGCCATGGCCAAGAACACCAACAGAGAGATTATTAGCTGATATGTTTGAAGGAAGTGCTTCCCAGTTTCTGTGCATTCTGGAAGCACTGAATGATACTAATCGTCGTATATTGCTAACATCCCCACCAGCTGCTGATAGAGAAGTAGAAATCCTTGACGTATATGCAGAATTGTTTATGTCTGGACAAGAGATCTTAGCAGGAGGTGGAGGATTGAGAGGAGCCTCAATAAAACCACAGAGTCCATATCACCTTCCAGCATTAGCCGGAGTAGTGTCTGACAGGTCATTGATAGAGATGGCTACTAAAGGAGAGGACGGAGCTACTATTGATGGGGCTATTAAACTTGTCAAGATGGCCTTCTGTTTTGAACAGTGGGATGTATTTGATGGATTGATTGAAAGTGTCTTGGGATACCTACGGGTAAGGTGTCCAGATTGTTATCATTAATTTGATGTTTCAGATTCTGATAGATACAGTGGATTCATTTTTGTGTATACCAATTTTCGTGGATTGAGGAACAATTGTCTTTTTGAAGATATTTAATTTCATGGTTTCGCCAAAGTTTGCTTACAAACCTATAGAAAATTTAAACTTTGTTGAAGATATGAATTTGTGGTTAACCTTTACCAATGTAATCCTCAAAAACTTGTACCCCATAAAAATAATGAATCCACAAAAACTTTTTGTTGTTGTTGGAAATATACTATTGAAATCTTTTATTTAAAACACTCAGATACTTTTATACGGAATAAAAAGCAAAATTGTTTAGTTTTCCAAAAGTTTGTCTGAAAATTGCACAATTTTTGGTCTACACTGAGTATGGTGAGTCCAAAGCATAAGTTTCAAGGATCCCTGCAGAAACACAACTTGCCAAACAAAAATTTGATACTTAATGCATTTCTCTTTAAAGCTAATTTTTATCCCATAATGTTTTTAACAGCTGCTTGGTGAGGAAAAATTTGCCTGGGATGAAAAAGCTTTAGAACTGCTCCTTGCATTTGAGAAATTAAACCCAAGTAGACGTCACAAGCGAACTCTTACATCAATTGTTGAAGATGATAAAGATACGAGCAAAGATCGGGAAACTAAGGATACCAAAGACTCATTTAAAGAACATGAAAGTGGATTTGGTGGAACTGGCACAGGGATTACAATACAGCAAGTACCATCTTCAAGGTCGATGAATGTAAATGACGAGATGATACTTGCAGCCGAGTGTCTTCTATCTGTGATCAATGGACCTTTTCAGCCTTCCGGAATTGAAGTAGACATAATCGTTGATGCTGCCTTGATTCTCTGGAACAAGACTAAAAATGTTTTCCAGAAACACCAGACTGGATCTAGCGACAACCCTAAGTACCTGACGAAAATGGAAAACCCGAGCAAATGGGTGTTTCTACTGGATGTAGTACACAAGGCCTTGTGTTGGTGTGGTATAAGTAGTGTTGATCCTGCCCTGACTGCTGAGGTTGTTCTTAGACTGGCTCTTGTATTAGAGAGTAGTGCTAATATTGACGAAGGTTTGTATTAATTCAAAAAATTTTAAAATCTTTTAACATCCTTTTAAAAGAAAATTATGTTGCATATTTTGTTGTTGAGATCATGCAAAAAAAAATGATTGAATGTTTATTTATTTTTTTCCAAAACTTAAAATCAGTTTGACTATTTTTTTGTGAATATTTTAAGAAAGATTTGCTTTAAAGTGAAATTCAAGAAATTATGATTTATTTACATCTGTCTGGCTTAGTTTGAAGAATAGTATGAAAGGGTGTTGTACTGTTTAGAGTACATAGCAGTGTCCTGTTCATTTTGAAAATATGAATTCAAAGGACCTTAAATTGTGTATTGAAGCAAATAAATTATAAATTTATTTAAAAAAAATATATATATTCTTGAAAGAACAAGAGCTTTTATATTTTAATTATCTGATGCAATTAACCTTGCTGGGACAGAATGAGAAAATCTAAGGTTAAGTGACCATACTTGAGCTTTTTCAGTGCAGCAATTTTGTTTCCAACAACTAACAGTTTTATTAATTTAAATTGAATTAACTGTTTTCATGAATAATGGGTTTACACATGAATGTTTTATGCTGTAAATATGAATTTCATATTATGTTTACCTATTATTTACTTGTTCATTGATGTTTTTTTCAGGTGATTCTTCTGGAATAAAAGAGTCATCATTTTCTGACACACAGCAAACAGATGGCAGTCAGTTATTGGTCAGTCGTACGTCCATGTTATCTATGTCAATGATCAACATGAATCCACGTAACCAGCTTCTACAGGCTCGTGACATACTAGAGTTAGGGTTACAGAATGTGGCTTATGCCAGAAAGGCTAGTGCCAAACAGGATGGCACAAACATAGCTGATGTTTCCTGGGCTAAGGTATTTTCTATGCTTGATATTGAATCATTGATTTTATTAAAAAAAGTTAAGTATTGAAGAAGCAACCCAAGAATCACTTGTTTATCGAAAATAAAGTTATGTATGTCATGTGCACCTTAGTTCTTAAATGATGCCAAGCTCCAATTCTGTTTTGCAAGCTTAAGATTGATCTTGAAAATCTGAAAATCAAGTTAGCAGATGAGGTATTTTTTTATCTGAATTTTTGAGACTCATTTATAAAGTTCTTCAAAATTTGATTTGAACTAAGCATGTTTTAAATGATTTCAGATCAAAAAAATTTTAACCATTATTGTGTGTTCTTTAAGACGACAGCAGATTTTTTTCTGTTTTAAATCAAGTCAACCATTTTTTCAATGAAAGGCATTAACGTATTGAAGTACTACACACACAAATAAAGTTTTTTTAGATGATAAGTTTGATATTTAAAGGGTTAAGAAAACCTTGTAGTTGCTGCTAATACATATGTTTAATTTGCCTTTTTTGCCTTCAAGATTTGAAAAGTTTATGGTTTTATTAATCATTTGAGAATATGAAATACTAAAATATTGAATTCAATTCAAATATGTATAGGAAAAAGTGTAGAATAAGAAAAATACAACATTACTTTTCATGAGTTTTATCATAAGACATGAATATGATGTAGTTGATTAGTAAAACTTTTCTGATCGAGTTGAAATATGTACAAGTATATGATATTATTAATAGCTTGACACTGATATGGAAAAATGTCCCACTATGATTAGGGACGATATAGAAATACAAAGTATTGCTGGCAGTAATGCCAGTACTCTAGTAAGTATGGAGTGACTTCCCCTTAATATGTCAGGCAGACCCTCTAACAGGTCAAAATTCTGGAGAATTAACATCCCCTTTGATAGGAAATCTAACAGTCCTCTTCCAACTGATGGGTTCATCTTCAGTTATTACTACACATTTGACATCAAAGGGCAAAGAAAAGATTTTTTTAGCTTCTGAACACCAGCCTCATGAATTTATTTTATTTTGAGAATTTTTTTTTTCAAATTGGGATTTCTTCTTTTTTCTTATGTTGAAATATCAGTAATTGTTCATTTAATTTTGGGGCCGAAAATTTCAAAAGTATATTTTTCTATCTTAATGTATTTTTTATAAGAAAAAAAGTTAAGTCTTGGTTTATTTTATGTTTTGAAAATTTAATTATAGTGTGAATCTAAAAATTTATTTTGCATTGCCTAAAATGTGTAATAACAAGATGTTAGTGGAAAAGTTTACATCTAATATGGAGAAAATTTGTTTTTAACTTTATTTTGTTATCTTTAACCATAAATGTTCTAACAATGGTACAATGAAGTGATATGTTTTTGTATGTCGGTTAGCTCTTAACACATGGTGTCTTTCTGTTGATAATGAACTAGACACTGTTTCAATGTGATTAAGTTTTGTTATTGTTATAACAAAGTCTTGTTCAATCCGTGCACCATCTTATGTTGAAACTTAACTTATATGTGTAGATATAAAACTTAAAGAGACCTAGCTACATTTAAACAGCATTGTGAAATTCTAGCATTTTATTTCCCCAGATTTAAAAATCAAAACCGACAACATTTTCTGTTTTGATTATTGGAAATTAGTGTGAAATTTTATGGCTCAACTTCAATAAGATATTTAAAGGAGGAGATAGGGTAAGGCCACTTTTTTAGTCCTTTTTAACACAAATTAAAAAAAAGTATTATAAATCTACCAAATAAAATCATTCAGATGTTCACACGTCATCAGCCTTTGAAAATAACAGATATCAATATTTCTATTTTTGAATTTTGCTCTACTTATCTGTTTTACATATTTCTTGCATTTAATGCAAAACTGCCAAAAAAGTCTCAGTTTGAGATTTTTTTCATTAATATTATGATATGAGTCCTTACATAAAAAAAAACATTTTGCTACAAGATATCTATAATAAAAAGATGTTAAAATGAGTATAACAAATTTTTGTGTCTGACTTTTTACACATATTTAATCAGGAACATAGAAATAATATGAAACAAAAAGTTTTTTTCTAAAATCAGTTGACACGAGACTTACCGTTTGGTTCTTCTTTTAACTTCCATACAATATCAATTAAATAAACCTGGTTGCTCAAAAGAGTTTTGGATGATTGTTGTTTGCTGAATATTCAGTGGCAAATATTTCATGGATAATCAAGACAGTTTTGGATTTCTGGGGCTTGAAGTGACTGTAAAATAGTCAGAAGCGAAAGAAAAAGTTATTTTTTGTTTTAAGGACTTGAATGAAGATGTTTTCACACCAGACCCTCAGACAAGAGAGAATACAAAAATAACAGATACAAAAGAAGAAGAAGCACCAGGACCAAGAACAAGGGAGCCTACCACAATGACCGAAGCTAAAGATGATGATGCACAGGCCAGCAAAATGGACTTAATACCAGAGAGTATGAGAGGGTCTGCCATGGCAGTATGGAATACAATTAAAGATCTCCATCTAGAACTCATCTTGATGTATCATAGGGTCAGCATAAAACTGACCAGTTTGGCCCCTGAACCAGCACCTAAGAATAATCAGCCATTCAAAAGAAGAACTTGTTCTAAAATGGAATATGTAAGTTGCATGAAAAAATTATTTGCTGAAACAATAGATTGTCTCAAAAAGGGGGTAGGAGATCATGAAACAAAGCACACAGACCAAGAATATTGCAAATTATATTACAAGTTACTTAATATGAAAGGAAAGCTTGTACCACTTTTTATTAATTATAGCCTTTTAGGCAGCTTGTTGCTGTATTTCTTATTTCTGTGGATTTTGAAAGTTTAGTCATAATTTTAACAGTACAAAAATTTAATGTTTTTCAATAATATAGATAGACTAAGTGCATAAAAGATTATAATTTAATAAGAGTATATCTTTTATAAATAGAATCTAATATTCTTGATATTGTGCTAGTACAAGATAAGAAAACCTCGGACACTCTGGGGCAAAAATCCTTGTCTTCAACAATGCTTGTCTGGTGAAAACTGAAACCTAATCTATGGATATTTAAGATTTTTTTTTATATTGCATTTTACTGGATTTGCCTCAGTTTCTTGCATGTTTTAGGAAAAATCATAAGATCAAATATTTCGCATAATATTAAAAGGAGTACACATCATAGTTCATGGATTATTAAAATACATGTCTACTGAAAAAAAAAAGTTGTTTTAAATTTAATGATAATTACCTAATGGAGAAATTTTTTTTTAGGGAGAGGATGGAGAAATGATGAGTAGTTATGTAGAGAACTATGAAGAACTTTTAACCAGGTGTAATAAAAACCAGTTATCTAAATCACTTCTGCTGATGCAGAGGTCACTGTTATTGAGTGATGGTGTAGGATATTCAAAAGAACAGAAAAAACTTTTAGAGGTATAATATCTTTGAGAGCAATTGATTTTTATATGTATCTTCCAAGCCAAAAAAAAATATTAGTAGGTAAAATGATTTTGATTTCCTACTTGTGTTATTTTTTTTAGTTCGGTTTAATTTTCTTTGAAACTGCTTAAAGTTGAAATAAAATGTCAACTTTAAAATGGGTTGTGAAAATAGAAAAAAAGGAAAGTGAGGAGATGAGAATCTTAATTTATTATATGATGCCTACTTTTTTGCCCATTACCAGTTAATATTCATTTTGATAAATGAAATGTGATTTTGGTTGTTCTAATAGCTTTTCATTGGTTTAAATTTTCTTTCTTTATCAATATTCTTTTTTGTTCTTTGATTTTGCCATTGTGGCAGTCTTAAAAAAAGGTTGCCATACCTGATGTTGCTATGTAAAAAGAACATATTATGAATTTACAGAAAAATAGAAAATATGGACCATCATGAAAAAGATTCCAATTTCAATACTAAAAGGAGTATGAGCCCTGTTTGGCCCTCAATATTAAAACCATTATTTCAAGATGTGAAGAGTTTCAAGATCATACATAAACGTGAGGATGTGGAGTAGAACAATTTTTGTTAAGCCTTTTGTATCAACTATTGATCTTTTCGCCCTAAATAAGCCCCAAAAACAAAACTGTCAATGGCTTATATAATAGATATCAATAAAAATTTACAAACTTAAGGATGTTTTTGTTTCACTGATTTTACAATCTTTACTATACAGGATGCTGTAGCATGTATACAGAAAGCTCAGAATGAGGAGAAAATGATATTCACGGTCAATAATACTGTGGTTACTGATCCAAAACCCACCAAAGTACCAACAGCACCTATACTTCTATGTAGAACAGACACCATGATGATATTCAAACCCTCACCTTTTAAATCTGAGGATGGACAACAGGCAAGTTTACTTTACACCATAACTTGAAACAGTGTTAACTTATTTATCACAGTAAATATAGAAATGCATGTCATAAATAATGTCAGGACAGAATTATTGACTCGTGAGTTGATGATACCATCGGTGACAAAACAGTCCATCAGCAGCGATATCCAACCGGTGCTAGAAAATTCAATTTTGAAATCAAATTTGCTCAAGTAGCTTCGTAAAAAGATTTACTTGTCGGTTTTAAAACATCAATTCAATAAATTAAATTATAAATGACAATTTGAAAAAAAATAAGAAAACTTATGTATAAATGTGATTTTAATTTGGTATTTACTTAACATTTCATCTTTCCAATATTTTATATTTTAAGTATGCACTTTTTACATTAGTCTCTACTTTCTTGGTTATCTTGTCACAACAAGCATGACAAATGTGTGGGATACATGCTGTGTTTAAAAACAAAGAAAAATTCCCACAATGATTTACAGAACAAGATTTACAGCAAACTTCATGAAACATCAAATCAATATCAAGCAAAATTAAAAAAGGATTTCTTTTTTTTCAATTTATCATTTATTTTGGTAGGTTCTACTGTTAGTGATAAAATATTTGTTGGACTTTATTTACAATTATGGCTTTACCTATAGAAGATATGTTTTTTATTTAAATGGAACATTTAGATTTTGCAAGTATTACAATATTGTAAAAACTCAAATATTTGTTCTTATTTTAAGATTTGTATGTTTTCATTTTCATTATATTTTTTAACTTTATTTTGAAATACATTTGTTGTAGGTTTCATGGTACAAGTTATTCGCAAGGTCATCATCTGGAAGTAATGTCAAAGTGAGGCTCAATGATTATTTCTTGCCAGGAACTGGAGAATCTGTAAGTTTCTATGAAAAAGTATGAAAAATGAAATAGAGAAAGATATTTAAAAATTTCTTTGGTACTTTTAAATCGGGATTCATTTAATTTTCTTATTATTTTTCATGCTTTATTAATTTATTAGTGACTGTGACAAATTTTTAAGACAGAAGTTATCAGACCAAATATATCTTTATTGATAGTTGATAAATATGTGTAGAATCTATTATTCTACACATACTATTTACCATAATTATAATTTATATCAAATATTTTTTATTATCACTATCTTCAGTATCAATTTATCTATTTTTCATCTTTAACAGGTGCCAAGCAACCAATCTGAACTGAGAGTATCAGGATTGAAGCCAGATGAGAAATATGTTTTTGCTGTAGCAGCTTATAATTCTGATGGACAGATCATAGGAGGTGGCATTGGAGATAGCTCTAAACCAATCTTAGCATCAAGTCCCCTACCTGTACTGATGACTTGGGCTTTCCTTAGTCAGGTAAGTGTTTTAATTTAGTTCTCAGATAATTGGGCAATGGAAAAATTAAACTTCAATGTCAACAAATAGAAAAGTTGTTATTATAATAATAACTTTCATACAGACTTAATAAAGATTTGTCATCACTATTCAATCTGGGATTTCCAAAAAAAAAAAATGAGGTATGCAAAACTTTTACCAAGAGATCATTCAAATACTTAGACACCCAAAAAAAATACACATAAATTTTATGACAAACAAAAGGCTTGAATGGAAAATTTATAACGAAGATTTTTTTCTTCTCATTGTTTTGTTTTTGGCAAACAAAAAATCATGGTAGTAAAAAGGGAATTGCTTTGTCTTAAATGTGAGAAAATAAATATGTTTTTAACTTGTATTGAATCAGAAATGAACGGGATGTTTATATTATTATAACAGAATGAACTTTACAAGAATAACAAAATTTCATATTTTGGCAAATTAATTTCTACTACAATGTTTAGTAATCACATCAATTTAGGATGCGGGGCCTCGATGGCTGAGTGGTCTAAGTAGTTACTACTGTAATCACTAGCCAGTCAATACTGAGGTTGTGAGTTCGAACCCTGCTTGTGCAGGTGCACTCGTCTCCAATCTTAATTGACAAGGATTGTCAGTTTTCCTATCGAAGGTCGTGGTTTTCTCCGGGCACTCCGGCTTCCTCTACCTATAAAAACTGACCGCCACAAAATAGCCCAAAAGCGGTGCTAAAAAGTGGCGTTAAAACACCAAAAATCAAAATCAAATCAATTGAAGATGCAATAATGTTGGTAGTTAAAGATTTGCAATAATGAATGCATATATTTAATTTGAAAATGCACTATTAATATATGTACAATTTTATTGTAGATTGCCTACCAGGTTGGATGTTATGACATAGCCAAACAGGCCTGTAATGTTCTATGGGACCATTTTATTGCTGAACCTCCTGAACCACAGAGAGTGACCTATAATACACAATCAGAGGGAGCATTTGCTATAGATCTGATGAAGTAATCCTGATTTTCTATTTTTTTTGCTATTTTTCAAATATGAATGAAAGGAAATGTTTTGTTAACATCAGTGATAATGCACGTAATAACCTCCTCCCAACATGTGGCCTTCAACAATAGAAAAAGTGTCAATTTACAACTGGATATTAATCAGACAACAAACAGTCAGTCACATAATGCACACCAATAATAATCATACTGAATGTTATGTTAAAATGTTATTTGACACACAAACAAAAAAAGAAAGAATTAAAATCAATTATTAACAATTGCAATTATTATATAACACTGAACAATATTTTCTTTTTTACTTCAGACATGTTATACTGGATTATGATTTTTCTGTTATTTCAGATTAAACCAGAAAGTTGTATGCCTGACTTCCCCTGTGTTGTTACGACAGTTCTTGACCAGTATCTTCATCAATGTAGATATTGCTGTAAGAGAGGGACAACTTTTCTGTGATGTCATCAATGATAGAGGACCTTTACTTAAAGGACAAGTGAGTAATATAGAATTGAATTATTCAAAAGGTCATTTCCTCATTGGGTTGCTGCCTCATTGACACATTACCCCATATCTCTTTTTATTCATAAGAACATTTCAAATGCATGCAATATTTCATAATATATATGAGATTGTTCTATTTTCGAAATATCCACATTATTTGCTTGATCTAAAATAACTAAAATTAGGGTTAGTTTAGTAAAGCTCTATACATGTTGGACATGTAAAGTAAAAGAAAACTATTCAATTTTTGAAATCTATAAAAAATAATTTTTTGCTGTTTGACCTGCCCATCATGTCAAAATTTTGGAATGGTAAATTAACATCTTTAGTCATTCTGTGAAGAGCCAAGAAAAATTCCAACAGAACAGTGTATAAATTGTTAAAGAATTAAAGAAGGAAAATCATTTGTTCTTTAACTTTGTTAAATTGATCCTCTTTATGGAGTGAAATATTCTGTTTGTCTTCATTTATTATACCCCTGCTTTAAAAAAGTGGGGTATACTGTTTTACCTCTGTCTGGTCATCCATACCTCCATCCATCCGTACACCCATCAGTCCGTCCATCTGTCCCATGAATATTTTTTCGTCGCATCATTCTCAGGAATTACATCACAAGGATTTCTGAAATTTGGTTTCGGGGTTTATATAAGTCAGCTATACCGTGTGATGCGTTTTCAGATTCATCACTCAACAACTTCCTCAAGTATTTGGCCGGGGGTATCATCAGTGAGCAGTAGCTCGCAGTTTCAATTGTTTGTTGGAGTAAATGTAGCTGATCTTGCAAAAAGTGGTAGTATTCAAAAATCTAATCTTGACACCCAACTGTAGTAAGACAATATTTAGTCGTCCTGACAGTCAAAGTATGGTAGGTAATCTATTAAAATTGAAAAGAATTCGCATTTTACTGACATTTTGATGAATTGACTGCACAATCTTAGAATAGTTGACAGATAAGAATGCATAAATAAACCTGGCAACTCTCATCCGGAACCAAAAACAATTTCTGGTTTGAAATAAAAAAAAAAACAAAAACCTAAAGGAAAATATTAAGATATCTTGAATCCACATTATTTCTCTTTACTTTATTTATATTTGAGTAAGAGGATTCGGAAAATGATTTATTAAACTTTATTACTTTAAAGAACCTGTAACCAGTAACATTAAAAAAGAAAACAAATGATATAATATACAATAAATTGGAAGCTTTAGAAAATTGGATTGTTGCAAGTGTAAGCATTTTGATACAGGTAGTTATTGTATATTTGGCACAAAAAAAATATTCCCGTATTAGTAAGAAATTTGACACAACTTTCATATTACATGTACAATGTTAATCTTGGTAGGGAGATGGATTTAAATAAGAGCACTGCTCTTGTTTCCTAATCCCAATTTTTTAATTACTTGTATATTTCATATTTATTTACTCTTGTAGCTATAGCTGCTATTCATAACAAATTCTTAAATAACATATATTTATACTAATTTTGACTTATTTTTACAGTTAAGAAGACTAAAGGAATGTGAGAAGATGATTGTAGCTATAGAAATGGCTGGATGGTTGAATGAAGCTAACTTAGCTTTACAAGGTGTTGTTCAGTGTTATGGACTGCTAGCTCCTCTTATATTCTACAAGATACCGTCAGTGGCTGTTATCCAGGTCAGATACTTATTTAATCTTAGGTGGAATAAAATTTATTTAGTTCCTGTCACCAGTCATATAAAAGGGTCAGCCAGTCAGGATTCTTTTTTATTTTTTTATTTATTTTTATATTTGGGTATTGACAAATGTTTCCACCAAGTCAAATCCAGATTTGCGTATATTGTAATTTATAATATTCTGACAACTTTTCACTTGATTTTGGTCATTCTTATTACAAATTTGAGTGAATAATCCAGCAGAACTAAGATTTGTAGTCTACTCATACAGCATAAATCTCTAATTCTTGAATGATTTAATTGGAAAGGCAATTCAATTTTTTAGACTCAGTGATCAAACTTTGGGTTGGTAGGGAGGCTTGGTCATATAGCTATATAGTCGTTGTATGGAAACTTTATTGTACTAATATTTTATAATGGGTTGACAGCCTGGGCCAATCGGGAGAATAGTTGCACTGTTTTGAAGTTTGAGGATGAATGAATTTGCCTTCTTTAAAAAAATCAATGATTTTCTAGTTTACAATTATATTGCAATTAAAAGATTGTTGGATTCCTTTTGCTCTTATACAGACAGCTTATTACCTGCGGAGTTTGTGCCACTCTTTGAGATTGATGAATCTTTCCTTAACATTTAGTGGCAAATATTTCATGCAAATTCAGGATGGGCAACTGAAAATGGAATATATATAAGTTAAAAAAAAGGTCAAGGCCTTCCTTCTAGAAATGGTTTTCCTGGAGGCCTTCTTGTTTTGAAGTTTTAAAAAACAAATGAATATTTCCACCTTTTCATTTGTGATCATTTAAAGCTAATAAGATTTTCATGTAGTTATCTTTTTCCCAGGTACTTCAAAGATGCCATGCTGTTCTTCAAGAAATACCAACTGGTTTGCGTCAAAAGAGACAACAGAATATAGCTGATAGTTTACATCACATGACAGCCTGTATTACATATCACATGGCCAAGGTAAGATCCTGTGAAAACCCCTTAGTTGGAATATATCTTTATTTATTGTAGACATTTTTATGCCCCACCTAGGGGCATTATGTTTTTCGGTCTGTGTGTCCGTTCGTTCGTTTGTCAGTCCATCCGTCCATCTGTCCAGCTTCAGGTTAAAGTTTTTGGTCAAGGTAGTTTTTGATGAAGTTGAAGTCCAATCAACTTGAAACTTAGTACACATGTTCCCTATGATATGATCTTTTTAATTTTAATGCCAAATTTGAGTTTTGACCCCAATTTCACAATCCACTTAACATAGAAAATGATAGTGTGAGTGGGGCATCTGTGTACTATGGACACATTCTTGTTATACCAATTTTAAAAGAGGAGTATGCACAGACTTCTGCTTTGTGTTTCAACATTTTTTAAGAAAAAGATTTGTTATAAATATATGTTCAGAATTTTTAATGAAAATAGTGAGATTTTTGTTGTTGAAGAATTTCTAAAAGTGCATGAAAGTAAAAATATAGACACCAGAGGGTAGAGTTCCCTGAAAAACCTGTAAGTAACCAAACATCTTACTGCTGGTTGTCTGAGATTTCTTGGCAGCACTCTTGTACAATTTACATTCTTACAATGATTTCTTTTGAATGCATCATGCTGAACTGTGCTTGAGACTTTCTTACATTCATGGAAACTATTTCAGACAATCAGAATAAACACATTTAAGAATTTCGTGGTTACAGATATACCACATATTTAAATGCTCAACAAATTACAAATTTTCTATAGGAATATATGCATTAATTTTTAAAACACGAAATAAAATATCCAAGAAAGTAAAAGTTTACCTCAATCCACGAAAATTGGTACACATGAAAATACATGAATACACAGTAGCTGTATTATCTTTCTATAGGTATTGAGGTCATGGGGTCAAAAAGGTTTAGCCAACAACTTTAATGAGGCTGGTAAGAAATTACTGGCTTTAGAAACAGCTGAAGATGAGAAGAAAGATAGAAAGAAGGACCAGAAAGAACAGCCAGATAGTCCAGATAAAGATAGACCAATTGACCAGATTGGGGACAATGAAGGGGAATCTGCTCCACTGGCTAAGATGAAGAAAAAAATGAAGAAGGCCCCTGGGGCTGGCAAGGATGACCAAGATTCAGTCATGAACGAGGAACTTAAGGCTCTTGTCGCTCATATGTATAGCCTTTCTAAACAGAGTAAGTTGATTTAAACATGATTTTAATGATTGAGTAGGTTTGCACTTATGTAGCTCATATGTATAGCCTTTCTAAACAGAGTAAGTTGATTTAATCATGATTTTAATGGTTGAGTAGATTTGCACTTGTGTAGCTCATATGTATAGCCTTTCAACACAGAGTAAGTTGACTTAATCATGATTCTAGTGGTTGAGTAGCTCAGTGCATTTGTAGCTTATATGTGTAACCTTTCTAAACAGAGTAGGTTGATTTAATCATGATTTTAATGGTTGAGTAGCTCAGTGCATTTGTGGCTTATATGTGTAACCTTTGAAACTGTGCATTAAGTGGTGATATTTTTTGTTTGAGTGTTTGTTTAAATGGCAAAATGACTTTTTCAACACCTCCAAAGATAACATGTTAGTCCCATATAAACTGCTTTATTATGTTGGACATCAAATTAAAAGTGATGAGTTCACCCCTGGTTAATATTTAGTGGTGTTCTAGTTGATTCATTCTTAAGTGTTCTGTGTAGGGTTTGTGAACTATTGTTTGTCTGTTGGTGCTATCTTTTTTTTTCTTACTTTCTTGTTTTTAATTGCCACATTTGTACCCTCTACTTGCGTTTTAAACCACGCCAAGAAAAATTTCATTGACCAAAGTCCTGATTTGCAATATGGTAATGGAAATTAAGAATTTTTGGGATTTGACAATTAAAAATAAAGATCAATACAGTCAGCATTGGGAACACTCTTTGGTGTCTAAATAGCAAATACTAAATTTGTTTGGCAATATAAAAGAACAAGCTGTGTTACTTTTGTTTGAATAGCTTAAGTCAAGTACTGTTCATATTATTAAGTATCATTAACATCATAGAAGTTTAACTCCTCTAAAAAGATGCAGAGTGCATTGCATTAGCATAAATTTCATGGCTTTTGTTTTTGTTTGTGTGAATTGTTATGGAAATGGAAGAGTTTTTAATTTTTGTTTTTTATTTATTAGTTTTATACGCCCGTTTACAGGACTATTATGGTATATCGTTACCCGTCCGTCTGACTGTCTGTCATCAACATGTCGGACAATAATTCAAAAACGCTTTAACCAATTTGCATGAAACTTTGGTGAATTGTTTATATTTATTGATAAGCGCTCCCTTTCGATTTTTATAAATTTCAGATTTTACGTTTCTGAGTTATGGGGTTTTATTCATTAAAAAAGGGGGATTTTCCAGTTTCAGACAATAACTCAAAAATGCTATGAGCAGTTATTGTGAAACTTTGGTGAATTGTTTATATCTATTGACCTAAGCTCCCTTTCGATTTTTATAAATTTTAGATTTTACATGTCTGAGTTATGGAATTTTATTCATAAAAAAGGGGGGAGTTTCCAGTTTTCGGACAATAACTCAAAAGTGCTTTGAGCAGTTTTCATGAAACTTTGATGACTTTTTTATATCTATTAAAATAACCTCCTTTTAGTTTTTTTTATAAATTTCTGATATGACATTGAGCAGTTATGGAACTTTATTCTTTGAAAAAGCGACGGGCATATCATGCGCTCATGGCACAGCTGTTTATTTTATTTTTGGTTACTTTTAATTGGGTTTTACTGATATTATTATTATTTATATATATGTCGCAAAGTGAGACCTAATATGGAAAAAGTAAAATAACAACAAAACCCAACTCTATGGGGCCAAAATAAAAATACTGTATGTTTGCCCAAACGCGACCGACCCAAAAAAAACCCGCCGACTCAAATTCTTTTTTTGCCGTTTTTTTGAAGATTTTTTTTTTTTTTTCGGATCTTTTTCGTGTCCGCTCCGTCATCGTATAAAATTTAATGTTCGTCGTCTTTGCGTTTGAAAGTAACTGTGAATAAGATTAAAAGAAAGCTTGTTAGAGACGCAGTTAATCGATATTCGATGTTCTCGGTTTTTATCTTCTGATTTAACGAACGGTTACTTCTGCTTTGGCGCCGGCTACTTCAAAATTGTCAAAAATAATATTTTCACAAAGTTTTCATTTTTTACCAAGTCGATGAAACATTGATAATTAAAGAAATTCAGACATAAACGATTCATTTTCTGAAGAACAGAGATTTAAGCATTGACTTTACAGTGTGAAGCAGATTATTTAATAAAAAGACAACTTTTTATCACTTCATTCACTTCCGGTACTTGTTACACGAGATCGTACATCAATCTAACTTTCGGCGACAAAACAAGTTTGTTACTTCATTTGAACGTGATAAAAATTGCCTCCAGTAAATGTTTAATCCATTTATAGTCCGAGATTACTCTGACGTCATTTATTGCATTAAAAACGTTATATTCCTTTCCAAATAGCTTGTCAAACATCGTTTATTTTTGTAAATTTTCTTCATCCGCCATTAACTGTTTTCTAACTACGGATCGGAAACGGACCAGCTATGACCGAAATCCGTATTTTTACAATAATAACTACGGACGCATGAATGGAACAGCTGACAAGGAAATTGATCCCAAATGGAAAAATTGCGCATTCCACACGCATTAACAGACTATTTGTTAGATTTACTTGATTAATGTATATAATTCCATATATATGGATTGTTTCAAAATATTGATTAAACTTGCTTAATTAACTCTGGGACTATAATACTAATATCAATATATATGGCCCAGCTTAACTTTGTATATCTTTTGATGAGAAACACTGAATTTCATAAACATGATAAACAAGATAGTTTTTTAATTGAATTGTGATTTATATATTATAATTTCTTTTATCTTTTTGTCATAAAAAAAAATCTTTTTAGTGCTAGATATTTAGTTGGTAGTTTCTCACAAGAACCTAAACTTAAACAACTTTGAATTTGAACTTTTACTTTAATTGTATACTCAGATATGAATTGAACAATATAAAAAGAACATTATTTACATATGACCCTTTGTACTATAGGAAGTAAAAACCAAACATTGTAGCACAGTGTGCAAAGGAGCACTTCTCCCTATCAGTTTCAAAAAGAGAAGTCACTTCTCCCTATGATTCTGAAGTAGTGTGAGCCCTGCATGATTATGCATTTAAGGATATACTTAGGTCAGGTTTTGGAATTTATGTCAGAAGTTTGGACTCTGGTTTTTTCCTACGATACAGGGTAAATGGTTTTTTCCTACGATACAGGGTAAAATATTTTGCCCCATGACCCCCATTTTTTTTCCATATATAATACTTCAATTAATAACTCATAAAAGGTCATATACCAAAATTAAAGCAGATTGTAGATTTGATCATTTTTTCTCTTTCCATTAGTTTGCTTCTTAACTTAAATGCTCTTGAAGTCTTCTGACTTATAGTATCAATTTTAAATTCTACATTTTTCTAATTTCACCAAAGTACATCCTTAAAGAGTTCACCTTTTTGCCTGCAACAGTCCAATTCATCATTTGCTTTATTGTAATAAGTATGTGAAATTATTAATACTGAGAAATAAAAAAAAATGTCTATGGGTTCGAATTATTTGAATAATTGCATGTCTACAGTTAAACTAAAAATATTTTCAACTAATAAGATCAAATTTGAATCTTTTCCTGAATGATCACCATGTCTTACAGAGTCATCCTTCATCATTTTCCTCAAACAACTTCAACTACTTGTTAGCTGAAAGTCTTGTTATAGTGATAATAATATTTATGTGATCAACTTTATAGAAAATATGTGACCATCTTGCTGCTCATTTACCTTATCATCATTAAAAAAAATTAGAGTTCAGGAGCCCCCAGAATGCAGGATTTTTGCACCATTTTAGAAAAAAAAAACCCCTCGCCGTAAAGAGTTCACCTTTTTGCCTGCAACAGTCCAATTCATCATTTGCTTTATTGTAATAAGTATGTGAAATTATTAATACTGAGAAATAAAAAAAAATGTCTATGGGTTCGAATTATTTGAATAATTACATGTCTACAGTTAAACTAAAAATATTTTCAACTAATAAGATCAAATTTGAATCTTTTCCTGAATGATCACCATGTCTTACAGAGTCATCCTTCATCATTTTCCTCAAACAACTTCAACTACTTGTTAGCTGAAAGTCTTGTTATAGTGATAATAATATTTATGTGATCAACTTTATAGAAAATATGTGACCATCTTGCTGCTCATTTACCTTATCATCATTAAAAAAAATTAGAGTTCAGGAGCCCCCAGAATGCAGGATTTTTGCACCATTTTAGAAAAAAAAAACCCTCGCCGTCTTCTGACTTATAGTATCAATTTTAAATTCTACATTTTTCTAATTTCACCAAAGTACATCCTTAAAGAGTTCACCTTTTTGCCTGCAACAGTCCAATTCATCATTTGCTTTATTGTAATAAGTATGTGAAATTATTAATACTGAGAAATAAAAAAAAATGTCTAGTCTATGACGTCCGCAATCCTTGCCTGCTACTTTAATTATTAATCCTGCTACTTCAAAACCTAGTGACATCCCTGTAAAGAAGTAAAACGTGAAAATGGCAGACAGTTTTTCATGGCTTTTGATTGTCTCTACAAAGGTTTGACGAAAAAAAAAAATATACTGTTTTAATATTTTCATGCAAATTCTGATAAAAAAAAAAGAATTTGCCTACCTACCTACCCACACCCAGTCATCATGGGTCGGGTTTGGGCAAACTGAAATATTTTTAATTGTGGCCTGGAAAATTCAAAACGGAAAGTCCCTTATCAAATGGCAAAATCAAAAGCTCAAACACATCAAACGAATGGAAACAACTGTCATATTCCTAACTTGTTACAGGCATTTCCTTATGTAGAAAATTGAACAGACTCCCAATTCCCTAACTCTTTCAAGTCATTAGAATCTAAGCAACATCATCAGAGTACCTATCACAACCTACTTTTTTTACAAAAAAAATTTCAAGATGGAGTGTACCAGTTTATTGTACGATACCAATAGCTACACACTATTATGTCAAGCAAAAAAGATTTATTTGGCCTGTTTAAAATTCTTGGAAGTTTTCGTAAATCGACAGTTGACTTATTCATGATTTTGTATGTATGCCCAGTTGTCAATTGCTAATAAGTTTAATCCAATTGAAAAAATTTCTGAATGTTGTATTTAACAAGTCACAACTGTTTAATGTGTATTGTAGCTGAGTATGAGACAGAGGGTATGTTTTATTGTGTTTTTTTTTTTTTTAATTATTATTCATTTGTTGATTTTTTAAAGCATGCAATATACAAAATGTATAATTTGGTTATTTTTTTCAAATCAGTAAGTTTTTAAATTAGAAGTTTTTGTGAGAATTAACAGTTACTATAATAATGTTTTGTAGCAATTTAAATGTTTTATATATTAGATCTGTGTTTTTCATGATATGCATTCATTTAAATATATGTTTTCATGATATGTGTTAATTAAGATCTGTGTTTTTATGATATGTGTTGATTTAAATCTGTGTTTTCATGATATATACTATTTGAGATACTGTAATCATATGTTTTAATTTAGATTATATCTGATTTAAATAATGTGGTGATTTTAAACTTTTATGGCATTAAGTTTTAGAAATATACTGTTTTTGAAGTTTTTTGATTAACTAAACTTAGTGTCGATAGGTTAATATTTATAGGTGAAACCAAACTATTTGAGAAATATTTTGAACATTTTCTGTTTTCAGTGGTTTTTGTTGAAGAGGGTATGTTTTCAAGTTGAAATTGGTTCTGTTTTTTTTCTCATATTTTACAGCAAAGATCATCATTCTGTTAACAATTTTACTTACAAGAAACATTTTTATTTCAAATTGTGGCAACATCTGTTAAAAAAATAGGAAATTGCTCAGGAGATCTTATTCTAATCTTAATAGGTAAAGTTGCCAAATTGAGCAATTTTCATTTTTGAACAGCTAGCAATAATTTGAACATTTTCTGTAGCAATCTGCAAAAGAATTGACTTGGATTAAATTTATATACAGAGGAGAAGTCTTTACCATAAGTACATTCATTCAGCAGTATATAAAAGACAAATATCATTGAGTTCTGGCATGTTGTCTGATTATTTAATATTTGTTCATTTGTTATTAATCAACCAGTTTCATTTTTTTTTTCATAAAACATGTTCTTACAACAATTATGTTTTACTGTTATTACTTTTATCTCAACCATCTGATAGGTAGGGAGGCAGGAAACACAACTGTGTTTTTACTCAATGATAAAAATATATTGGTCGTTCTTGAAGCTAAATTGGTCAAGTTCTGCATTTAAGTTCAGATATAAGCAACTTAATGTAGTAGAAGAGAAACAAAAAAATGGATATATATTTTTGTTATAAGGTACATAAAAAAAAGTGCCGTCTTAACCTATATTACTACTCGCATGCATTTTGCACTGATGTTGTGTTAAGGCCCATATCTACATTTAAAAGCCATAGATATCAGACTTAAAGTACTTTTAAAATAAAATAAAAATCACAAGTACAGCTGGTGTGGGGATAAGATATTGCTTGCAACACCTTTTTTTTAGGAGGGGTCTACAAATAGCAATTCAGGGTGTTGAAAGTTTTTTTTGTTTTTGCAGCACATTATGAACATGAATTGACTGGCTTTGAAGATCCTGTTGTCCTACATGCCTACATTGCTTACTTGCCAAGTAAATTGGCTTATAGAGAAGGTAAATATAGTGTTTAAAATATTTAAGGAGTGAAAATACCTTGTTGAAAAGAAAATAGACAAAAGTTGTTCCAGAGCTTTGTAAATATTTTTTTTTCAAGTAAAAGTTACTAGTCTTGCCCTATTTGTTTCTTGGCAGCCATCAAAGAAGATTTTAAATATCTTAAATTTATTAAGTTTTATTGAAATGTTTGTTTACTGCATTCAAGGCGTTTTAAATCAAAAGTTTCATAAAATGAAATCCATGGAAAAGTTTGAATGTTAGAGTACATATGATAATCTTAATATTATAACATTCTGAGAATAAAAGAAATCCCTTTTTGAATGATTAATGTTTTTGGATCTCCAAAAATTGAGGAATACCTAGCTTTTTGATGTACTAAAAGATGTTTTTTCTATTGTCTACTTGCATCCAGTAACGCCTTTGTTTACTTTTCCATTTGTAGTTGTGAAATTTAGGAAGCGACCAAAGTATTTAGAATATTTTGTACAAGTGGCTCAGAAAGCATTAACAGAAGGATTGTATACTCAACTTGTAGATTGGTGTGAAGAAACTACTAATTCTCTCACAAGGTATACTGAAGTTTAGAAGTCTTTTTTATTTTACTTTTGTTATTTGGTTACTATTTTATTTTTTGCGGTCCTCGGTGGCCGAATGGTCTAAGTTGTTTATCTACTGTATCACTAGCCTGTCAACACTAAGGTTGTGAGTTTGAACCCCTCATGTTAGGTAGGCGGGTATGTTTGGCTTCAATGTTAATTGATTAGGATTGCCAGATTTTCTGCTGGTTGTGGTTCCTCCAAACTAAAAACTGGCTACCATGAAATTGCCAATAGTGCTGAAATTGGTGTAAACACCAAATAATCAATCAATATTTAAACTCAAGTCTACTTTTTTCATTCAAATAGAATTTACTACTAAAAATAAAAAAGATAAAAAATCTTTAACAGCAAACATTTTACCATTTTGATGTAAACATTAAATATGTTTATGATACTGATTGTTTGATTGATTGATTGGTGTTTAACGCCACTTTCAACACTATTGTGCTATTTTGTGGTGGTCAGTTTTTATTGGTGGAGGAAGCTGGAGTGTCCAGAGAGAACCACTGACCTACGGTAGCAAAACTGATAATCCTAGTCAATTAAGATTGGAGTCAAGTGCACCTGGCACATGCGGGATTCGAACTCACAACCTCAGTGTTGACTGGCTAGTGATACAGTAGTTCGACTACTTAGACCACTCAGCCACCGAGGCCCCACTTATGATACTGCAATATATTGATATTCATTGGTGAGAAGATGCTTTTGCTACAAGTATTTTTAAATTAATTACACCTTATGTAAGAATCCTGGGTTTTGATTGGTTGATAGCCAGTGTATTTTTCACCAATTTACTTTTATCAAATGAATATCGTTCATTTTTAAACAGCGCCGGGGTATATGCAAAAAGGATATGCCTTTTTTACCCTCTCTGCCGTGGTATTTGCCAAAATATACTCTATCCGACTGGACGCTTGTAATGTCACGATCATCAATGCGTTTTGTACGTTAACATTCGGTGTAATTAAACAGATATAGCATGTTCTTGAGGGGTATTTGCGAAAAATACCAGTCTTGAGAATGAATTTCCCTCGCCTTACGGCTCGCGAAATTTAACATTCTCTCGACTGGTATTTTTCGCAAATACCCGACCTTAACATGATATATCTGTTCAAAATACTATTTATAATATGGAATATGTTAAATATGGCTGTACTATTTTTACATCTTTTAATTGGCTTCAGTTTGAGAAATATAATAATACATTTTAGTATTTTCTCATAAAGTCATAAGACAACTATCCATATTTTTGGTTAATGATATTTTATTTCACTAAAATTTTGAACTTTTTCAATTTACCGCAGGGAATAGCAGAAGCCAAAATTATAATATTAAAGATCACACATGTATATATAAAGGGGTATATAAGGGGTACACAAGGATAGAGGAATTGTAGCATTATTTTCTACAGGTTTTGTTCATGAAAAGGATTTTTTACAAAATTGGATTTTTAGGTTTTAGTAGAATGATTAAAAGATATGTAGCGCTTAATTTTCTGATCTAATTTAATATTTCAGGCGAAATGAACATTACCTTGGAATTAAGCAACAGGGACAAACAGGATCACAGGAGGACCCTAAACGATTTGCCGTTGCTATGGCAGAATATAGTAAAGACAAGGTACATTTTACAGAGGTTAAAGGGTCAAGTTGAAGTTAACTCAGCACTGTTTAGAAATCTTTACTTATTTATTGTTTTCTTTTAATTTTACAATGTATTTTATAAAGTCAATAAATAACAAAGTAAAGCAAAAATAGTTTCATTTTCTCTCAGCAAAAATGTCATCTCGAATGACTAGCAGAGTATTATAAAGACAGTTATTTACTTTTAGATATTTCATAGTTGGAGAATCTCCATGAGTCAGTTATTTGAACTATAGTTTAAAACATATTATAGCATAACAAAAAATTGTTTAGTTAAAAGACAGAATAGTTTTAAAATTTAGTGAATTTGAAATGAGAAAGATATTTAGTATTGATATTCTAATTTTATTTCCTCTCAAGTTTTTGCCTCAGGTATATATATATATATATATGTATGTGTAAAAGTGTTTGTAGCTGGGTTTTTCAGGTTCTGTGTATCTGCAGTTAGGGGCTCAATCAGGCTATGAAGAATTATCTTCCTTTGAAAAATGTTCATGAAATTTCAGTTTCTCATTTATTATTTAGAAATGCAATCTAAACCTCTACATGGAATATCATGAAACATAATTAAACATTTCTGTGTAAACAAATTTCAAGTTTTATCATGAATTTCAGGGAGTTATATTTTTTTCATATCTAAATTAAAAACCTTTTTGCAAAATTATATTCAGCAGCACTTCTTAATTATATCTTCAAAATTTTAGATTGCACTTCCAAATGATATTAAAATGAGAAACTGAAATTTCATTCAAAAATTTCAAAGGGAGATAATTTTATATATCCATATTGATCTTAAATTGCCAGATAGAGCAATATTACCCCAAACTGCAAATATAAAGAACCTGACTTGATTGTCAGTCGATGTCCTGTCTTATTGCTCTTGAGTTTTCTCCTTTTAAGATGCTTTCTGGAGAGATATTTTCTATTGTCAAAATCAAATGTCTTAATATAATTTATGATATTAATATGAGTGAATTGGCTTACTTTGTTAAAGAGACTAATTATGGAATATGGCAAAAGTTATAAATATAATATCTAATCTTTTTTTAATCTGATTGTATTTTAAGTAGTGTCAAGTTTGTTTTTGTGTGACAGCTATAGTGTAGTTTTGACAAAATGTATATTTTTACAATGTCTGAGTGTGTAGTTTATCTTAATACTATATTAATAAGAGAAGTGTAGTAATACACAAAAGATAACTTCATTAGAACTCCTAAAACGTTTATTGTTTAAAAGTTCAAAGAGGCAGTTCCTGATTTTTTTTTAGGTTGACTTAGTAATTGAAATACTAGTAAGTCAACATGACTTTTTTTTTGTGTGGCAAGAAGACACTTTCTGAGGGGTTGTTTATTGGGCTGTGTTGTATATGTCAATACATAACCAAATCTAGTTGCACTTGTAGAATAATGAACCAAATTACAACAATTTCAGAAACTTTTTTTTTCCATTATTCTATGCTTACTTGAAATTGCAATTTTCGAAACTTCCGGAAATAAGTTTTGTGGAAGAATTTATTGAATTTTCATTTTTAGTGCATTAAATCGATTTTATTAATGGTGTTAGTTCATGAAATGCTGATATCTTTACTAATTGATTCTTCAATATTTAAGCCAAATGACATTATATGTAATTTTGGTTACATGATAAGTCCCAACATTTACTGTCAGCTAAAACAAGAAAAACAATTTTTATATTGTAACTTAACAACTTAACATTATAAGTTAAATATTTAGAACCGCAGTCAACATGTCTTTTCTCCCCTCATTAAAATTTTTAAGTTTGGTTGGCTGTGGTTTTTAATATTTCAAAAAATAAGATAAAACAATGAAAAAAATATAAAAAATTGATCGAAATTGTAAAAGTTTATAAAGCAAAAAAAAAAAAAAAATTGTAAATAATAGAATGATTAACTTTAAGTAAATCTCACACATGTGTGCAGTGATCGTCAAATATTTGAAGGATTTCAGTACCTAAAGAAGAGGAACTTAATTATTTTGTATGGTATTACAGGGTGGTGCTGGAGCAGCTGATGCATCTAAACAGACCAAAATGGTGTCACAGGCTGGTACTTCTAAGGCTGCTTCTCAGCTGGCTGGCTCTAAAGCTTCACAACTTCCCAAACAGTCTCCTAATAAAGCAAAGAAAAGAATGAAATACAAGGTAAAGTGATCTTATAAGAATGACATTTCAATTATGTATGACTAGAAAACTTCTCAGTTTCCAAAATAATCCACTACAAAGGCCATAAGAAAATTCCTAGATTCTTATCCCCACCCAACCTAATTTTTAAGAGCAAATTATTTTCTTTTAATCTAATTTCTTTTATTTTGCTGGAAGTGTTCACAATTTATGGAAAAAATGAAAAAAATGTGTCGGCCAACCACAGTTTGAAAAGAAAGTTAGAAGAGAATCTTGAATTTTTTATTAAAGCTTAGAAAAGGCTGGACACTTTTTTTACCTATATATTTGATGATTCAAACAAGAAACACTTGACTGTAAAAAGGTGGATTCGTCCATTAATTTCTTTTGCCACTTGTAATACTTCAATACAATAGAAAAAAAAAGATGTATTGTATAAAATCTGGAAACAGTTCATATTTACACATTTTCATCAATTTTCAAGTGCTAAAAGTAAAGCTATTGGAGTATAATGAATTGTTTGTTATTCTGTATTTCAGCCAATGGCATCCACTGCTAGGATAGCCAATGATGTTCTTAGACAGGCTCAAGAAGAAGCAGAAGTGAAGGTACCATTAAAATTCTCACAAATTATATAATAAATAAATATGCCATTAAACAATAGACAGGTGTCTACACAACATGCCGAGTTTTGTAAATTGCAAAATTACCTATTCAGTGAAAAAATTACAATGTTCTTTGTGTTTGCTTTTAGGTATATTCTATATTAACTCATCATAGATACCAGAATACAATCTGTGTATGTTAGACCAAGGATTCGGAAATTTTTCCAGACAATTTCGGTCATTTTGAGATGTTTGAAAAGTTGGTGCCCCTTTTCAAATTGTCGATATCAACTTGACTATATTCATAGCATCAACGAACATGGCGAACTTGTATTGCTGTTTCATCGCATTTACTAAGTAAATGTCTTACCATTACCATGAAGGACAGTTTAGGGAAGGCAACAGTCTAAAATTAAAATGATTTTAATGACTCAAAATGGTTAATTTCTCAGACATGGCTTACGTTTCTTTCGATTTGACAAAAGTTAAAACCGGAAGTTTGCGATATTTTAATGTACGAATAATTCCGGATTCATTTCCGGGATTTGTTTTGTTTATCAAATTGACAGGAAATCACCGGCTTTTTATGGCTTTTTTATTTTATTACCTTTAAAAGTGTTTGAATATAACAGATAATAGTTGCACTCGTTTAATTTAGCATGAAATCAATTTGCATTTTACGATTAAATATTAAATTTGCTGAAGACAATTTCACGCATGCGTATTACATAGTAAATAAAGCACATGTGTTACTCATGAAAAAATACTTTTTTCTACGTAAATTTAGATTTAATTTATAAATCAGAATTGATGACTGTCTTTGATGAAAAGTAAATAAATAATGAATACACTTGTCGGGGAGTTTTAATGTTTTAAAGATATTATTCTGAGCTTGTGATCACTGTCAGGTGTGAATTAAAACCACAGGTAAAAAGTGATTAGCGATCATTAGCCAATGTTTCCCGGAGGCATTGATATAGATATTAGGAGGGCCCTCAGGATTATCAAACTACTGTAGTGGCAGTTTTAATTACAGGAAAGGGATTATAAACAAAAACAAGTTATCACAAGTGCAAAATGGCGACTAAGAAATCCGATTTCAAACATTGAGTCAATGAAATGACCGAAATTACTTCTGTAAAAAAATAAAATTTGTCCTAAATCCCAATTACTCGTTTAGGACAAATACTTTCATCTTAGGACATGACTGGCAAATATGACCGTTTCCAGACCCTTGTGTTAGACGCTTGTTTTTTCTACAAAAGACTCATCAGTGACGGTCGAATCAAAAAAGTAAAAATAGAAAATAAATCAAATGTTAAAGAAATTTATGATACCACAATATGTTTTCTGGACAACAACATTCTGCTCCTTTTGACCAACATATAATAGCACTATAAATATGACTGAAGATTTTGAAAATCAAAATTGTTGAATTCTGTTTTCTTTTTGTGAATTACAATCATTACATGAGTTTAATTTTCAAATAAATTCATTCTCCTGCATTTGTATTCAATTTGATTAATTTTGTTTACATTTAGGCAATCGATACTTGCTCCAAATATTTCCCAGAAATCTTTAGGATGTCACAAAAGAGGAAGAAGTTAAGGAGGTGGTGTATGGATGAGATGCCATGGCGATGTCAGGTAAATAACAAATACAAAAAGGGGCCTCAGTGGCTGAGTGGTCTTAATAGTTCCTCTAATATATCACTAGCCTTTCAACACTGAGGATTTGAGTTTGAACCCTGCACATGTCAGATGGGATGATTGTCAGTTTTCCTGTTGAAGGTCAGTGGTTCTCTCCACAAACCCAGACTTCCTCCACCAATAAAAACTGAATGCCAAATAACACTAAAGTGGTGCTAAACACCTAACAATCAATCAATCAAATACAAATACCTTCTATTTGTTTTTGTTTATTATCGTATTCACATTTGACTTTTTTGTTCGTTTTTTTATTTGGTAAATATCAGTTTTTTATATTTTGGAATTTAATAAGTACTAACCCAAATCTACTTGCTACATATTATAAACTCTATAATATAAAAAAATGTGTATAATTCTTATAATGACATTTTTATTCTGTTACTATGACATTACAGGTTGCATGCAGTTAACAACTTTGTCATTGAAAGTGTATGAAGTCATTAATTTGCATTTTATTGGGAAATAAGTCATAAATATGCAATACCTTGCTTATGTTGTCTGCAGATTAAAAATATGTTATCTTATGAAACATATATGTAATGTAATTTTAGAAGTTTATATGTATATGAATTTTGTTTTAATTTGCAGATGTCATTGATACAAGGGTTGAGTCACTTTTCCAACTTCCTGCACAAACTGGAGACCAGAGATAAAATGATGGGTGCTCACAGTAGTAATTTGTATAAGTAAGTCAAATATTTGTACTTCTCAATTAATTTTTTATGAAAAATGTCTTGCTGTTATTGTCCCTCTCTGTGGATGGTATATAGAAATCACCTTCATCCAGCTACTGTAAATTCTGAAATTGTTTTGTGGATTTATTATTGCCATTTTTTAAGAATGAACAAAAGTGTGAGTTTAAGGATGTTCGCTCCTCTTGTTTTTTAATTTTTGTCAGATATTCTGAATCCTCTGCTTTTATCCATATAGTGTTAATAAATATTTTGGCTGCTAACCCCTACTTTTGTTTTCATAATTTTACTACATATGGTATAAAAAGCCATATTTGAAAATCTTTTAAATTCCTTTTTATTTTTCATAGTTTTAGAAAGAAAAAAGGTGACAATGTTAAATGTATGAAAAGTCTAGAGATAATAATTTCCTGCCAAATTTTCAACGGCTTATATCTCGAAAACAAACAGATGGACCCTTCATTTTTTTTCTGCTTTTTTGGTTCCTTTATTCATATACTTTAAATTTATAACAATCTTTTAAAAAGCTTGTTATTTTGAAACAGACTAGCGAACATCCTTAATTGTTATGATTTTTGAAAAAGCTACATACAGATATATATCAAAATCAGAATGTTTTTATTATTGCAATACTCAAGGAGTCGCATTATTTGCATTAATAAAACCTGACAATAATTTATGAATTTACAGTAATACTCCCTACATATAACTCAGCTTCTGCGTTAAGGAATAATTTGATATTTGGTCTAGAACTTTTATTATGTCTAGGGGTACCTGTGTAATTTCCAGATATGCCTATTTGATGACAAATTTTATATTACCAACAGCATGAATTTTCTTCAGAGAAGCAAGTGAGGGTATACTTTGCAAGACATAGCATGTCACTAGTCATTGTTAAACCAATTTGTTTTATAATATAGTAATTTGTCTGAAGGTTAAATTCTAATATCAAGTGGTATCTTTTCAAGTAAATATCATAGAACATACAATAATGACCAATAAGACTTGTTTTCTAGAAAGAAATACATAGCAAGTAATGAAATAAAAATTTAATGTAAAGTCATCGTTTGTACATTTCAAAGAATTTTCATCTTGAAAAGAAATATACATTTCTATTAAAGCGGATTAAGGTATAAAAGCTTTACTATTATTTTCAGGACTAATTTCCTAGACCAAGAATGGTTTACTTTTGAGACATCTGGTACCCTAATTGTCGGCTGGGAAGGAGGACCATCAAGGAATGGTGAGCTCTCAAAGAAAGATCAGAAAGAACTACAGAGGGCAATGAAGGCCAGCAGGGAGGATCGTGTATATGAAAGTCTAGATCTAGCTGATGAGAGACCAAGGACCACAGCAACTGGCATTGAAATAGCTGCTGCCTTAGCTACTGGTAAGCAGGATAAAATCATTTGGTTCATTTATCAAGCAAATTTTCATGGACATATTGTTTCATTGTAGGTCGGTATTAATGTAGTAAGGCCTTTATACATTTGTGTTACAGGAGATTGTATGTTAATGAAAGTTACATATTTGTTGAATAAAATGAATAAGGAATCAAAAGATGTATAATTTATCTACTTTAAGATGGATATGTTACCTTTTTAAGACAGAAATTTGCTGCCAAAGCCTGGGACTTGGATTTCCATGTTTTCTATATGGACTTCAATCAGGCGTCCTACAACCCCAACAAATCCTAGAAATGGATGTCAGACGTCAGAGCAATCTGGAACTAATTTTGAGTATATAACTTTTCTAGAAATGCAACTTGGTCTTTAGTTTTAAAATTTGTCAATGTACCCAATGAAAAAAAAAACTTCAGTACTCTAGTATGTAAATATAACAATTGTTTGTCTTGTATAGGTGCTCCTCCACCGCCAATGTACTTCTTCCCACCTGAGCAGGAAGACACCCCTAGGACATACAGATCTGAGGCCAGTGGTGTAGACCCTCCTAAAGTCCAGCCTAAGAATACTGATACATTGATATTGTCAACTAAAGTTACACTGGAATCTCTGAAGAAATCCTTTGCATACTTCAACAGAGCTATTGTAAGTATTTGGTACCTGATGTTCTTATGTTTTCTTTTATTTGTGATATATCCTGAAACTTTGGTACTGTCTAAGAAAAAAAAAAGAAAAAAATTATAAGAAGAATGAAACAAATAAAACAAAAGCAAAGCAGGAACTATTCCACTAGGGCAGGAAATGCATACAAGAAAACTTCTATGAATTACTATGCAAATTGTGCAGAAAAAGTACAAGACAACTTCTATGAATTACTTTGCAAATTGTACAGAGAAAGTATAAGAAATCTTCTTTGAATTACTATGCAAATAGTACAGAAAAAGTACAAGAAAACTTCTATGAATTACTATGCAAATTGTACAGAGACAGTATAAGAAAACTTCTATTAATTATGATGCAAATTGTGCAGAAAAGGTACAAGAAAACTTCTATGAATTACTATGCAAATTGAGCAGAAAAAGTACAAGAAAACTTCTTTGAATTACTATGCAAATTGTGCAGAAAAAGTACAAGAAAACTTCTATGAATTACTATGCAAATTGTCCAAGACAGTATAAGAAAACTTCTATGAATTACTATGCAAATTGTACAGAAAAAGTACAAGAAAACTTCTATGAATTACTATGCAAATTGTACAGAGACAGTATAAGAAATCTTCTTTGAATTACTATGCAAATAGTACAGAAAAAGTACAAGAGAACTTCTATGAATTACTATGCAAATTGTACAGAGACAGTATTAGAAAACTTCTATTAATTACGATGCAAATTGTGCAGAAAAGGTACAAGAAAACTTCTATGAATTACTATGCAAATTGAGCAGAAAAAGTACAAGAAAACTTCTATGAATTACTATGCAAATTGTACAGAGAAAGTATAAAAAAAACTTCTATGAATTACTTTGCAAATTGTACAGAGAAAGAAAACTTCTATGAATTACTATGCAAATTGTACAGAAACAGTATAAGAAAACTTCTATGAATTACTATGCAAATTGTACAGATGTTGGCCTGAATATTGTCTTAGTTAAGATAAAATGAAAAAATGAATAACTGAAAAAACTGTAGCCTATTTAAATGAAATGCATGCATTATGGTTACTTCTTGACATAAGTCTTGACATACACAATTTTGTTTCATATGATTGAAACAATCTATGAAAAGATAAATCATTCAGGCATAAAATATTTTAGGTACTAGCCCATAGAGGGCAGCATTGGACATTACTACAGAATTCCTGTCGTGCTTTATGGAATTGTGCCCATACAGCCTTACTTAGAGCTGTCAGTTCTCAGCCTGGAGGAGAGGAAGGACTTGTGACCATTGATGAACTTAGAGGACTTGTCTGGTTGCCAATGTACATGGCAGCAGACAGTATTTTGGATATGATGGTCCAATTCCAAAATGTACTGGAAGCCCAAGCATTAAAGGTATTTTATTTTTCTGATATTTACAGTCATTTACAGAATTAAATTATGGTAGACAGTGAAACACTTTTTTCCAAAATTAAGCTGAAATTTAGAGTTTCTGCTTGATTAACCAAGAAAGTTTGCTGATACCTAAAACGCCTATTTAGTGACATCATAATGAAGATCCTAAGACTTTAATATCAGAAAAACGAGCATTTGAAATTTGATTATGGTTTGAAAGTTGGTTTTGTGTTATGATTTAGATTTAAAAACAACTCTTTTTTTCAGTCAAATGTGAGTGGGAGAGACGCAAATAGTTGTTGAATCTCCCCTTTTTTACATGCTTCAGGCAAATATGTCATCAGTAGCAATTCTGTACTATTGTATTAAAATAATTATTTCCACAGCAAATTGTTGAAATATCTGCATGATCTTGTCATTTTAGTTTTATTGTAATTTGTAATTCATTGTAGAAAACTTCATTTTCTCCTGGAAAAGTACTTGTTCAAATTCAAGAATGTGACAGTTATTTTCCAGTTGCTCCATCAACTAATATGTTACAGCAAAAATTCTTCATGTGTTAATCAATTTTGTTTCAAGGGATGAATTAAGATGAAATATATAGACTTTTTCAACAGCTTTGCTACTAAATATAAAAATTTTCAGGCAGAACTCAGGTAGATCAAAGAATAAGTTACCTGAATTGAGTTAACCTGAAGCATATTTTTATTATTTGAATAGACAAGATAGAATTAGAATGTTTTTTTTCTCAGTTTTTATACGCCCATTTATGGGACGTATTATGGTATACCGTTGTCCGTCTGTCGTCAACATGTCGCACAATGACTCAAAAATGCTTTAACCAATTTGCATGAAATGATTGTGCCTGATATTCATATGATGAAGACATAATCTTTCAATCAGTTTAATTGAGGTCTGGAGCTGGCATGTTAGTTACTGCTAGTAGTCTGTTGTTATTTATGTATTATTGTCATTTTGTTTATTTTCTTTTGTTTCCTATTCTGACATCGGACTCAGACTTCTCTTAAACTGAGTTTTACTGTGTGTACTGTTGTACGTTTGTTTTTTCTACATTGGCTAGAGGTATAGGGGGAGGGTTGAGATCTCAAAAAACATGTTTAACCACCGCCGCATTTTTGCGCCTGTCCCAAGTCAGGAGCCTCTGGCCTTTGTTAGTCTTGTATCATTTTTAATTTTAGTTTCTTGTGTATAATTTGGAGTTTAGTATGACGTCCATTATCACTGAACTAGTATACATATTTGTTTTGGGGCCAGCTGAAGGACGCCTACGGGTGCGGGATTTTCTCGCTGCATTGAAGACCCATTGGTGGCCTTCGGCTGTTGTATGCTCTATGGTCGGGTTGTTGTCTCTTTGACACATTCCCCATTTCCATTCTCAGTTTTAATTCTATCTATTGACGTGAGCTCCCTTTCGTTTTTTATAAATTTTAGATTTTAAGTTTCCGAGTTATGGGGTTTTATTCATTAAAAAAGGGGGATTTTCCAGTTTTCGGACAAAAACTCAAAAACACTTACACCAATTTGCCAAAAACTTAGGTGAATTGTTTATATCTATTAACATGAGCTCCCTTTCGATTTTTATAAATTTTAGATTTTACATTTCCGAGTTATGGGGTTTTATTTATTAAAAAAAAGGGTGATTTTCCAGTTTTCAGACAATAACTGGAAAATGCTTTAAGCAGTTTTCATGAAACTTTGGTGAATTGTTTATTTCTATTGGCGTAAGCTGTCTTTCGATTATTATAAATTTTAGATTTTATGTTTCTGAGTTATGGGATTTTATTCATGAAAAAGGGGTGATTTTCCAGTTTTCCGACAATATCTTTAAAGTGCTTGGAGGAGTTTTCATGAAACTTTGGTGACTGGTTTATATCTATTAAGATAACCTCCCTTTAGTTTTTCATAAATTTCTGAAAGCCGGGCGTATCATGCGCTCATGGTGCAGCTGTTTTGAATTTCAATTATTGTTCTTTATTTTTTAAATCAGTATGAAGTTTTGTGCATCTGTTATTTTCAATTAATCAAAGCAAAATGATTTTGCAAAGAGAAGATTTTGATCAAGTACAGTTGGATAAATAAGTAATAAACATGTGTAATTTCAGGCCAAAAAAAAAGCCACAAAGTTGGGAGATTATTTTGAATCATGGACAGGGGACATTAAAAACGAGAAAGGAGGAGCTAATTTAAAGCATGAAAATCCATTGGATGATATGAGTTCATTAGACATTCGTTGGGTGAAGCGTCTGATTCTTCGTGTGATAGAATTGCTATATTACGAACAGAAATGGGAGAAGTTGGTAGACATTGCCCTCAGGTTTAGTGCTCTTACAAAGTAAGTAACCTTTTTTTTTTTGAATAATTAATATTAAAGATTATATTTATTTTTAACAGCAGAAAACTTTAGTTTATCTTTAAACATATGTAAAGCAATTTCCTTGCAAGTGGACAAGTTTGTATGAAGGAAAAGTATATAGCAGGTTTTTATTATCAGAATAATGGTTCATGAAATACAATTTAAAAAAAAACCACTTTAATAATGCATGAAGTAAATGTTTGAAACCACAGTTTTACAGTTCAGGAAATGCATGTTCATAACGTTAGTTTAATAATTGATAAAAAAAGGATTTTACATTTGATAGTTCATGACATATATGTTTGGAACAACAGTTAAATAGTTTGTAAATTACACGTTTGAAACCAGACTTCCATAATTTATTAAATAATATTTGAAACCACTCTTTAATCATGAAATACATGTTTGAAACCACAGTTCTATAGTTCAGCCAATGCAAGTTCGAAACAACATTTTGATAGTTAAGATATACATGTTTAGAACCAGAATTTAATAATTCATGGAATACAAGTTTGATAGTTTGATATGTTTGAAACAGTACTGACTTATATATTCTCTTCTTCAGTGATCGTTATGGTGAACAAGTTATTCCTATACTTGTACAAGCCCAGAGACAGTTACAGAAGAAAGTAAAAAGCCTGAAGGGTGAAGGACCACCACAATCTCACTATCTGTCACTAATGCAGAAGATTGGAGGTGTAGTGACTGCTAAGGACTATCTTCACGCCCAACTACTGACACATATAGACAAATCTAACTTGTCTAAGATATCCCCTGGAGCACAGATTGATCCCATGGGACATGGGGTCTATACAAGTAGGTTTATACCTTTGATAATTAGTTAATACAGGTAGAACATATGGAATACAAATATATACACGCTAAAAATTGGTGCATCTGAGACAATTGAATACTTTGAATGTGCTATTATTCCAAAAGTCCAAATGAATGGAATTTTTTATTGTAGGTGCAAACAAAGTAATTTTAAAAAGTTTGAATATTTATACATGCTGTGGATTCATTATTATTCGTTGGATGCCAATTTTCGTGGATTTTGTGGGTACCGGTGAACCATGAATTCAAATATTCAACGAATAACAGATTTTCTTGAGGCTTATATGAAGATTTCCCCTAAACCACGAGATTAAATATCCAGGAACATGTAAGTTTTCCTTAATCCATGAAAGTTGGTCCCCACGAAAATAAATGAATCCACAGTAGTTAGTTTGAAGAAAAAAAAACAAATCAGAATTGTCTGCAGGAAGTCATTCTTTAAGGGCATACGATACAATCACATGTGAGGTAATGATGTTGCTAACGTTAAATGTTTTTTTTGCGACGTCAAACTGTGACATATCGTGAAAAGATGCATTTGTCGACTGATTTTTATCATGCAGACTGATTTAACGTGAAAACGAGTTCATGGACCTCTCTTTTTTAAAATGACATTAGGTTTGATTACGTATGAAGATTATCTGTACCAATTTAAAAAAAAAAAAAAATCACAGATGAAATTGTTTTAAATTAGGTCAATGAAGTTTTTTTTCTAAAATCATGAAACTTTGATAAAAATTAATTATTTCCAAAGAATTGTAACACTAATTTAGAGCATACTTGTATAAGGCAGATTTTCCAAATGTTTTTACAAAAATCCTCTTTTGTTTATCTTTTGAAACAAAAAGGTTAAGTATGTCTATCCAAAGGATAGAAATGACAAAAAAGAAACGAAATTTTGAGTAAATGTCTAAAATTTTGACCCCATTTATCTCTTAAAGTAGCACATGAAGGTATATTTTTGATAATATATTTGAATTGGCTATGTGAAAAATAGCTTTTATGCAAATTTTTGTTAAAAAAAATCACTGGGATGAAAACTGTACCGTATGCCCTTAAGACTCACACTTCAAATAAAAAATGTATTAGCCTTAATAGTACAGTTGATTTTAAGTCAAATTGAGCAAATGAAGATTTGCAGGAAGAATCCACAGTTATCAATTTTCATGCATTTTAAAGAACATTTTGTTTATATTGTAGGTAAAGATGGACAAAGAGTAGTGTCTGTACCACTGGACATTCCACACAGTCTACAGACATTGAGAGATGTGTTAGATAAGTCACAATACACCAGTAGGGCACTACAGCACAGCCGTAAACTGTTAATGTTATATCTAGCAGGACAGCAAAATTGTAAGTCAAAAATAAATACTTAATTGTCCTTGTGAGCTTACAAGGTATAAAAGAGGAAACTCTTATTATTTGAAATTTATATGATCAGAAGAATTGGTAAAAATAGTTTCACATTCGTATCATACCTCTGTTTGTTAAAGTGAACCTTTCTTCCAAAAAAAGCTTCAGAAATATTTTAGATATGGGATATATCCATCCATATATTGATAATTGTTTTCACTGTAAAAGAGAAGAAGAAATATACCACTTTCACATTTAAACTCATAAGTCAAAAACAAACTGACAAAGCCATGGCAAAAAATGTAAAAAGACCAAAAGACAAACAACAGTATACAAAACACAACATAGAAAACTAAAGACTGATCAACAAGAACCACACCAAAAACCAGGGGTGATCTCAGGTGTAACGCAAGTGAATGTTTGCAGTAAAAAATACTACAAGTTTTTGAATGATTGTCATTGATACTTTTCTTTAATAAATAGTTTGCAAATTTACAGTACTGTACATTTATTTCATTTTAATATCCCATCTTCAAACGAGGAGGTTCAGCTCTGCCTGTTCATGCCTCCAACTGTAACATTTTTCTGTCATTTTACTTCGTCAAAGCTGGATATATGACACCAAGCTTCATCTGGTTATACCATACTATGTGAGTGAGTGACACAATTTCAGGTTCCTTCTATGTTCTCCTTTATTGGCTGAAAACCTAAAAAAAAAAGGGGGGGGGGGTATAATTAGTGAGCAATAGTACACACTTCATTTTTTTTTTGTATTCCAGCAGGTGATGGTTTTCTGAGTAGACAGGTATCTAAAGTAGAATTCCAGCCAAACACTGCCAGACCTCAACCAACCATGCCACCAGATATTAGCCATGATGAGTTTGAATATGTTGAAGATGTACAGACATCGTGTATGCCACGATCACAGTTACCTACAGTTCTGTCCTCTTATGAGAAAACTATCGGTATGCTTTAAAAATTTCTCTCATTATTTTCTTGTTGGTTGTCATATTTCCAGATGAGTTTATTACTAGCATGTTCAGGTTGAGTGAATTAAGTAGATGAAGAGTATACTATGAATTAAGAAATTTTTGTGATGTTTATATTATTGCAATAATTGCGATCGGTTCTGGGTTTTTTTCAAAAATTAGAACTTGTATTTTATAAGTTTATGCAGCTTTAATTGTATGCAGCAGTTTCTGAAAACAATTAATCTTGCAATTTTGTCCATTGTTTAACAACAGCAATAATAAATGCACACACGTCTTCAGTTTTATATATTTCTTTGTTTAAAAAACCATCTAATTCAACAAATGATTATATACAAGGTTTAAAAAAAATTGTTGTGTGTGTTTAACAGTTCAACTTTCAATTGAAGATGGTAAATTTGTGATATAATAAATCAAAATGTTTTACTTTTTTCTGGTTTAATGAGGCTAAGTAGATAACAAAAGTCTCTTGTACATTTTGACAACCCTGATAAAGTAATGCATTTATACTATCTCTGGTTGATTTATTAGTAAATGTAAATACCCTAACAGAAAAAAATATAAGCCAACAAGAGAAAAACATATAAAAACATTCCTTCATTCTCAATTCAATTTTATGTAATTTATAGATTAAGTTAGGATTTAAATTTTTATTCACAGACATGCTGAATGCCAAGAAAGAGAAAGGGTTGGCTTCACAAGCCATGCATGAACTTGGAAATCTCCAGTACCATGCTGGTAACATTAGGTAGGGTTAATTCTTACTGAAAACACTATTTCATCAATGGTACTGTTTTTCATGCTATTGTTGATAAATAATATAGTAATATAGTTATCCACAAAAATAACATTTTGTTTCACATTGATAAGAATATGCTTTGATAAGAAAATATAGATTTAACAGTCTGGGATGAACTTTGAAATAATCTGATGAATCCTATAAGCACCATGGAATTTTACGTAGATCTCAAGCAGACATGGGGTAATCAGCTGTAATCGATTACATTTTTCAATGTAAACACATTTATCAGTTTTCATGCATTTTCTGATTACAAGTAATGGTAATATAATCGGTTACAATGCAAAAAACAGGTGTAATCATGATTACTTTGAGATTCTCAAGTCTATTTTTAGTTTTATATAGATAATTTACTGAACATTTATAATACATTTCATACATTAATATAAAATATTGTTTATTTACTTAGAGGAGCATATAAATACTGGTCAGATTCACTTGACCTGGTGCTGAACACAAGTGATGCTATCCATACATGGAGGAGATTACTGGACAGTTCAGATGTTAGTGGGGACATGCTGCAGAGGTGTGGTCTATGGGGATGTATGGTGGGAGGAGTGCTGGCCTCTAATATAGCACAGTAAGCATTCTATTTTCTCTTATTTACCACTTGTAATAGAATATTTAGGGGGGGGGATGTCAATGATATAGCAACTGAACAAGATGTTTTCCTAATATAGCCATCTAGAGGTCATCATATGACCTTTGACAATGTAGAAACACTCAGTTCATATTGCAAACTTGGAATTCTCTGAAGTGAAGACAATTTTCGAATGCATCTGGTTACCACTGTCTTTGTTTCAGTTTTGACCTGTGTGGCAATCGTTTATATATGATTTTTTTTATTTTATGGATTAAATGGCAAGCATTTTCTAGTCATTTTCTTATCATATTTCTAAGAATTGCAAAATTTATTACGGACTTATTTTGTGATAATGATTTTTATATCATATTGGACATATCTGATGGACTAGTAAATTATTCTATACTAATTTTACGATTATAAATGATATATTTGGGAACATATATATGAATCAGTGTTGGATTAAACAATCATGATTATTCTTTCATTATTGTTTTTTTACTTTCAGATACATACTGACCTCAGATTTAGGATTAAGGATGGAGTGTTGTTTTCTATCTGGATATTTCTTCAAGGTCTGTAATAAATATTCTTTGGATTTTGAGAATGACATTAACCATGACTGAGATTCAATAGAATCACTATTAATGCAAGTTCCAAACTAAATGTATGATCCAAATATCTTATTTAGATCAATAAGAAATACGGAAAATTTAGAAATTTTAATATTATTAAATCACTGAGAATCAAAATGAAATATGAATAAGACTAAGATACGGAAATATATCTTCATGTATCAAACATCTGAGAAGGAATAGTTTTTAATTTTTATTAATTCCATGAAAGAAAAGTTTTTGGTAATTAACCTGATTCACAATTTTGACAGATTTTGCCCATATATTGTAAACCAAGTAATTTCGGGAGCAATTTATTTTCGCAACTTTGACAAATAGACAAATAATGTCAATATGTAAAACTCAGATTTTACCTTTTATAAATTAAGAAAATAAGAAAATTACAAAAATAATCACCACTAAGTCAGCTTGAAAGGACTAAATGAGTTATCCATTGGAATAACTTGGTTTCCATTATATTCCTTTACAAAATATAAAATATTTCCTGTTTTTTTCAGATTTTGGCACTTTCTGTACTCTCACTCTTGTAATCATAAAGTATATTTTGTATATTTTATTCATTGTAGGCATTGTTTAGATCATCCTTGCCCCACCCCAGGGCTGACAGAGACTATGCATTGTATGATGTAGGAGAAGGTTGTGAAGTAACAAACTTAGTACCTGGAATAGACCTTTTGTCAGAGAAATTCAGAAGTGATGGCAGACAACTTGCTGCTGCATTGAGATGGGTTACAGAAGAATTAGCCAGGGGAAATCATAATTTGTTTGTAAGTTTTGTAAGAGATCTTAATGTAGACTAACTGTTTATATTTTTGTGACATTTGGGAAGAATTTGCTAGATATATATATATATGATTTGTGGGTAAAAGTGAGATTTCAGTGGTATTTCGTTCTTTGTAAGGAGACTGATCTTAGTTGGTGTTAAAAAAATTAGCAAATGAAATCGTTCATATGATTGAAATTGATATTATATAAAAAGAAACATGTGTGAGTTTGAGTGGGAGGAGATGTTCGGTAGATTGCTCTTGTGAGAGGAGGTAACAGACATCCGACTGCAGGCCTTTTGAATAAACTCTAGAAAGGTAAAAAATCCAGTAGTAATTGTTTTTTATGATTCGTTTCGGAGAAAGGAGAAGTGTATGTATTATATGATTATTTATTTTAATTCACCGAAAAATGATGAGTAGATCAGTTTAGATTAAGTAATAATGTTGAAATCAACAATAAGTTTGAAGGTTTTGCATAAATTGAATATTAATTAATGGTTCTTAGATATCAGAACATTAAGCAATGGCTGCTTGTATTTAAATTAATGCATTTAAAAGTATATTTCATTTATTAATTTTCCAGGTACTTCCACTTTTGACATTATATTCCTATTTAGCAACATTTGTATCTCGTGACCTTCAGAGGTCAGTTGATGGAAGGATTTTGAAGGTCAGAGTACTGACAGAGTTATCTCTGTTTAATGAAGCATTTATTGTTATGCAAAGACTGTTACACGGAGAAAGACTTCCACACATTGGAGACAGTAATTTCAGACAGGTGGAATCTAAAATGAGCTCTCTGAAGTATAACACTAGTAAACCAATTACAGAACCTAATAACCTGAAGGTGAGAATAATAAAATATAAACTTTTACAGCTGATCTAATTAAGCGTTGTAATTGATAAGCCTGACACATTTAGGGCCCAAATAAGCAGTTATGATATTTTCAGATGTACATCTTATCCTGCAGTTTATTAAGAAGAATAAAACATGATACACAAGCTATCAAGCATACATAATTTTTTAAGATAGGAAATTTTTCCAGAGTTCCACCCTTGAATTTTACATTAGGTTGTAAATGTAGTTTGATATGATTAGGTAAAAATGAGAACAAAAATTCTGAGACAAACCATGTTTACCATTAGTTATTTTTCAAATATCAAAAATTTAAATGCAAAATTTTAGGGTTTTAGAACACTCTCAAAATATGTTTCTTGTACTGATTTTCAGTTCAATCATAAAAACTAAGTCAGTGATTTTAATTTGAAAATCAGATTTTACATCATCCCTGTTATTTTCATGTAGATAATGGTTTTATCTGGGATTTTTATTAAGATTAAGTACAGATATCTGAATTTAATATAACCACATTTAAATATGGATACTTTTTCAATTGTCATTACTCATTCTTCTCTCAATCTTTGTAGCTGCTTGAGATGGTGTTAGATAAAAGACTATCTTCCAGTTTGGCTACTCTGTATGGTCCACACATGACTTGCCATCTATCTTTGGCCCAGGCCAACTTGTTCATTAAACTGGCAGAGACACTCCATGTTATTCCACTGATAGAAGATACACTGTAAGTATGATGGCCATAGGACCACAGGCCACTATTAATTTCCCTATTAGTTATTTATAACATTTTAGAAAGGATGAACCTTTACAGTTCACAAATTTAGCCCCTACACATCCATACCGTATGGACAAGTCAAGAGATGTTCTGAAAACGAAAAATATTAGCCTTTTGCACCTGACCTAATCACTCCTTCCATCAATATATCAGTTAAAATAAAAATTCAAAAATTTTATGTCAACTCTCTTTTTCATTTCCACCACATAAAAACTTAGAAAGGGAAAGAAAAAAAAATAAAGAAAAAGTACACTATTATTAGATGGAACATTATTGGTAGACAACGAAAATAAAGGTGTTTTATTGCAGTCTTTGGCCGTTAGGTGATTTTTTTTGTCCAATATATCTTCATTTAATATAATTTGATATAAGAATGTGGAGATGTGGTATGATTGCCAATGAGACAATTATCTACCAGAGTTGAAATACATGTTGTATAATTAAAGTCAAAGTTTGATTTAGAATTGATGGAATAGAATGTCTGCTACAAGTACATTATACGGAGAGAAAGTATATTGGTTGAATTTTCATATATTTTTTTTTATTATTCTATTCAGGATAACTGATGGTGCTACTAAACCATATACTATGAGTACCATGTCAAAAGGTGGATTAGGAAGTAGGGGAGTTAAACTCTCCACAGGCAGTGCTCAATCTAGGACTACATCAAAATCAGGAAAGTCCATAGATCCTAAGAAAGAAGATGGTAAGTCCAAGTAAAAAAGGAGAGACAACTGAAAAGGCTTCAAAATTCTTTTCATGGCCAGCTTCAAAGTTGTCAGAGCCATATAGTTTTACCCTTATTATTCAATATCATAGTTCATGAGATATTTATCTTCATGAATATTATGAAGAATTATATTTTTATGCATGCATGGAGTTAGTATGCAATAGGCAAAACACAATATCAAATGTAGGGCTATTTAATTTAAACATATTTTGGGAGGTTGAATACTTGTTTTTTTCTTAGACCGCACCAATAAAATAAAGATTTTTAAGCGTTTTGTAACTGGATGCTTGCATATCATTTTCAGAAACTTATGAATTCTATATAGTCTTTTTTAACCTATTCCACAGAACATTTTTAACTCAAAATGTAAATAGAAAGTAAATAAAAAATGAAATCGTAATATAATTTTGTCAAGTCGATTGCATTTTGATGTTTGAAACATGAAATTAGAAGTCGAGTAAAGAGTAATAGTATACTGAGGAAAATTCCACTGGATTTTTAGCTGAAAGGATCCGCTGGTTACCAGATAACTATTATCCACCGGATAACTCTTATCCGCCAGATACCACATCTATATGAATAGAGTGCAAATATTAATCCACCATTCTGCCTCTGAGGAAGGTCTGTGAAGGGCAGAAACCGGTCAGGCTATGAATCATCACCAGGCGCTGTTAATTATGTGTTTTGGCATATACTATATTTTATTATGCCCCACCTATGATAGTAGAGGGGCATTAGGTTTTTCGGTCTATGCGTCAGTTCGTCCGTCCGTCCGCTTCAGGTTAAAGTTTTTGGTCAAGGTAGTTTCTGATGAAGTTGAAGTCCAATCTACTTGAAACTTAGTACACATATTCCCTATGATATGATCTTTCTAATTCAATGCCAATTTAGAGTTTTGACCCCAATTTCACGGTCCACTGAACATAGACAATGATAGTGCGAGTGGGGCATCCGTGTACTATGGACACATTCTTATTTGTGTTGAAATTAGAAGTTCTTTAGATTCTAAAACACCAAATCATTATTTTTTTTTTATTTATGATATTGTACAGAAGAAGAAGGAGACAGTGTGCAACACAAGCATGCTAACAAGAGATTTACAGCCAGTAAGAAGCCATTGACACAGGAAGTGATTAAGGGGACACTACTGGCTATAGCTGATCAGATGGTAGGAACCATTGCTGAAGTGATACAGGAAAATGCTGAACATGAAAAACATGGTAAGTACATTTGTTTTTTTAAATATGAAGAACAGGATATGTGTGGTGCCATTTTGTCCAAGGTTACAATTGTCTTTTTGACATTGTGTCATAGATCAAATTTATTCGTTTAGTGTATGTTTACTCGTTTTTGTTATTATGTCTTTTTGATTGAGTTAAGCTATTTCAATTGATATTTTATAGTGTGTCTTTCTATGTTGTAATGTTACACTACTATTTCAGGTTAGGGTGAAGGTTTGCACCTGTCCTAAGTCAGGAACCTGTTTCAGTGGTTGTTGTTTGTTGATGTGGTTCTTAAGTGTTTCTTGTTTCTTGTTTTTGTCGAGCCTTCGACTTTAGTAGAAAAAGCGAGACATAGCGATCCTACATTCCGTCGGCGGCGGCGGCGTCCACAAATATTCACTCTGTGGTAAAAGTTTTTGAAATTTTAATAACTTTCTAAAACTATCCTGGATTTCTACCAAACTTGGACAGAAGCTTGTTTATGATCATAAGATAGTATCCAGAAGTAAATTTTGTAAAAATAAAATTCCATTTTTTCTGTATTTTACTTATAAATGGACTTAGTTTTTCTGCCGGGAAATATTACATTCACTCTGTGGTTAAAGTTTTTAAAATTTTAATAACTTTCTTAAACTATCCTTGGTTTCTACCAAACTTGGACAGAAGCTTGTTTATGATCATAAGATAGTATCCAGAAGTAAATTTTGTAAAAAAAAAAATCCATTTTTTCCTTATTTTACTTTTAAATGGACTTAGATTTTCTGCCAGGAAACAACACATTCACTCTGTGGTTAAAGTTTTTAAAATTTTAATGACTTTCTTTTACTATTTTGGATTTGTACCAAACTTGGACAGAAGCTTGTTTATGATCAAAAGCTAGTATCTAGAAGGAAATTTTGTAAAAAAATAAATCCATTTTTTCTGTATTTTACTTTTAATGGACTTAGATCTTCTGCCAGGAAACAACACATTCACTCTGTGGTTAAAGTTTTTAAAATTTTAATAACTTTCTTATACTATTTTGGATTTGTACCAAACTTGGACAGAAGCTTGTTTATGATCAAATGCTAGTATCTAGAAGGAAATTTTGTTTTCTTCCAGTTAACATTACATTCAGTCTGCAGTTAAAGTTTTTAAACATTTATTAGATTCATAAACTATCCTGGATTTTTACCAAACTTGGACAGAAGCTTCTTACAATCAAAAGATAGTATCAAGAGGAATATTTTTATTGATTTACTTCCTCATTTTTGTTGAGCCTGCGATTAACAGAAAAAGTAGGCGAGACACTGGGTTCCGTGGAACCCTTACAAATTTTTTATATAGATAAAACCGTTGGTTTTCCTGTTTGAATTGTTTTACTTTAGTCATTTTGGGGCCCTTTATAGCTTGCTGTTTGGTATGAGCCAAGGCTCCGTTTTGAAACCGTACTTTGACCTATAATTGTTTACTATTTTTACACATTGTGACTCGGATGGAGTTGTCTCATTGGCACTCATACCACATCTTCTTATTTCTATTTACGTCAATTAGATAGAAATTATGATACAAAAAACCGAAGAGGTCGACATCACATCTTTAACAATAGACATCTGTCTTAGCAATATGTCAAAATTACCTTGCGTTTAGGAAAGCTTTTGCTAAAAGCTTTTTTCTGCAAAATTTCCAAATTGTTATTTACATATAGGATATTAAAAACATATGTTTAGCTTGAAATACATGAAAATCAGAGAAATTATAAATATGTATTATGTTTTTCATTAAAAATTCATTTAAAATATGAAGTAAAAAATTACTATTGCTGATATAATTACTTAAATTTCAATCATACAGCTATATTGTAATGCCTACATCATGTACATGTAAAAAGAATAAACTCACAGGAATAATTCAATAAAATAATTTTTTCTTCTTTGAAAATTATTTATCCATCAAGATTTGCAGTCAGAAACTGCACACATTTAGTATGCAAAACCCTATCCAATACAGTGTATTAAAATTGCTCAAAAGTTAACATGAAATTTGAGGAACTTATAAAAAAAGATGTTAAACTAACAAAAAGTGTTTATACATTTCTAGGTCTGGAAGGTTTGCCTGCTGCTGAGATGGAATTAGTTGTTCTGTGTAAACTTCAACAAGCTGCCATTGCTCGTCAGAAACACCATTCTGCAATGGCTGCCAGAATTGTCATGTCGGCTCTCAAGTTACTGAAGTCCTCACGATTATTCAGAAAGAGGAAAGAAGTTATTGCCCAACCAAGGTTTGTACAGAGCTATTATATACATGTAAATGTTTGAAAAAACCTAAATCATTAAAACATGAAATTATTTGCAGCTATTGCAAGGAATTAAGACTTGTCCATTAATTCAATAAGTTCCATTTAAAAATTTCTAGAACCTTTAATCTTTCAAATTAGTTTCCTTTTTGATATGTTAATAGTAAAAAAAGATAAAATTTTAAATCTCCAAGATGAAAACCCAATGCCATTATAGGCTTGTATCTAATAGTAATTTTAATGAATTTAAATGATACTTTACTTTCTATTTTATACACTTTCCTTGAAAGAATCATATATTTATATTGAGAGTATACAGATATTGTAGATTTAAGATAAAACATGAGTTGAGAGAAGTATTACCTCCCCTGTTATCAGAATCTTTCTACAGTACTGAATCTGATTGGTTAGTGGACCGTCTGCTTAGATGGGTGTAGATTGTTAAATTCATGGATTAGTTTGATTTTACGCAAATCTTGATAAAACTGTTAAAGGATTTTGGGTTTTCTTGCTACTGTGATTTGGGCTTTCTACTCTTCAGCCTTGAACATTAATTATTGTAAAATATTATACAAGTACAGTTTTGGATATTCAAGAAATGATTGCACATGGACTAACAAAATTTGTTCATTCAGTTTTTAATTGCTAAAGAAGAAGAGTAAGTAGCAATCTGATTAATTGGATTATTGGGGATTGTTAAAAGATGCCTCTGGTTCCTAATGAATTTATTTCTTGAATATTCATTTTCATGAAGAATTTACTAGATTGACAAATTTCTTTTCTTAAACTTTTCTCCAAGCTTAGCTACTCAGAAACAGATCTGAACTCTTATGGTAGACAGTTTGGTGCCTGATTGGAAATCTGCAGTAGCCCAGCTAAGAAAAATCTATAACTGTCCAGAGTTAAATATTTATAGAACTTAAATAATTTTGTCAGCCTGACTTTTATGCACTAAATTCAGGAGTTTTTCTCAGTTTCATTGGTTTCAGGCTACTAGTCTCTCTATTACTTTCTTCTTGCCATTTAATGTGAAGGTCATTTTTATAACTACGAACATTCATTAACAGGATTGTAAGCGCAAGTAGCCAAGAGAGGTAAAAGTTTTTTACAAGCTTATATTTCACAATTATATTTATAATTCACATCATTATAGATATAGTAGACAGCTTTATAATCCTATGTTTAATAATTTAAACGCCAATCAAGGAAATCGTAGACCTGACATTAAGTTGATTACTGTGGATTCATTTATTTTCATGGATACCAATTTTTGTGGATTGAGGAACAATTGTATTTTCGTGGATGTTTGATTTCGTGGATTTGCTAAAGTCTGCATACATGTATGCCTTTAGCATATTTGTTCTTCGTTGAAAATTTATATTTGTGGTAAACCTATACACAAAAAATCCACGAAAAATTGGTATCCCACGAATAGTAATGAATCTACAGTATATTAGAACTTGTTGCTGAATATACTTCCCTCTTAATTTGAACAGCAATAAGATACTGATACTTTGATATTAATAATTTTATCTTTCTTCTGAAGAGATTTCAGTTTTATTATTTCAACAAGTTTCTTACTTCAGCCAAGTTGTCAGAGATTTCTAAGATTAAGGCTAATATTGTCCAGTCCATGCATGAAGAATTTGAAATTTTTGTTTTTACTTATATTTTATGATTAGATCATACATTATAATACCAGTTAAACTAATTTTGCCTAGTTTTATCATTGTTTTATATTTTCATATCAAGAATACATTTGCATGTTTAAATGATAGATTGAAAAATAACAAGTTTACAGTTATAACATTTGTTTGTTGTATTTATTATTATTTTTTTTGTTGACAATTTTCACTTTTCAGAAATTAATATTCATATTGCATGTCCACATAACGATTAACTGTCATTGCTTTGTTATATTTTTATGCCCCTGTCGTCACCGGAGGGGGTCTTTAAGTGTTACCCTTGTCAGTATGTACGTTCCAAAATTGGTTTCCTTTCTCAAAACTTTAGTTTGCCTCAACCAAATGTTATGAAACTTATACACAATGCTTATTACCACAAATTACAGATCAAGAATAAATTTAAATGGCGTCATTTTTACATTTCTAGAGGTATGCCCCTTTACAAATAAAAAAATTGCTGAAATTTTCGTTTCCGTTCTCAAACTTCAGTTTGCCTCAACCAAATGTTATGAAACTTATACACAATGCTTATTACCACAAAACTCAGATCAAGTTTGAATTTGGGTGGTGTCACCTTTACTGTTCTTGAGTTATGTTCCTTTATAACGTTATATGCATGCGGGGGCATCATCTGTGTCCATTCTCCATCTATTTTGGGTATGATTTGCAGTTTCAATACAAACAATAGGCGATGCGAGGTAAAAATAAAGGAAACAAACATGTTATTGTTGAAATTAATAATTAGTGCACTTCATTTTCAGTGATTTATCATAACTACACTACATGTATTATAGATACAATGGATAAGCATTGATTCTTGAAAAAGAAACCATGAGCCTGGGCAATGGTTTAAGTCGCATTGGTAGCATTTTTAGTGTTTATTACATTATTTCATTGTTTCACATTGATTGTTGTCGCATGCCATCAATTTTTACATGCAGCCACTTCCTTTTTGCAGATAGTTTGAAATTTTACAACACTTATTGTACATGGAAAATTTTTATCAATTTTTTCTTGGGCTTCTATGGAAGGGAATGATTGTTTTTATACTTGGTTTGCAGCTTAAAACTGGAAAGTGATGTTTCAACTTTTTTTCTAATTTTCAGGCCATCATCATTAAAGAGTGATGGTACAGGCAGGAGGAGACATATGTATAAAGATGTACCAGTATCTAATCCTGAAAACAGCCTGTTCCAGTATCAGAACTTCCAAAGCAGAGCTAGGCTTGATGCCAGACTCTGGCTCAACTGTAGACAAGCTCTGGTCAAATGTCTTCTAATAGAAGTTAGAGGCTTAGGAGAGGTCAAAGGTGAGATAATTTAGAAATGGGCTAGATGCTATGTTCTGGTTTAACTATAGACTAAACTGTTCTAAAGTCTTTTTTAAAAGTCAGAGGTCTTTGTGGGGTCAAAGTTGAGGTATGATTTAGAGATGGGCTAAATGATATGCTCTTGTATGATTTAAGCTTAAAGTAAAGGTTATAATTAATTTCCTCAAATTTTACATTATCAATTATAGAAAAAATGGATTTGATGAATCAGTAACATAATTTATGAACTGGAAATATACAGATGAAATGTATGATTTAAATTGCTGGTTGCGAAGCCCTGAATACAAGGCAAAGGTTGCCTTCATAGACTGATAGTCCACCAGTGCCAGTAATAACCTAGTGTTAGGAATGATGTATGATGTATATATCTTTGATATTTTTGAAGGATACAAAGTTTCTCATTAACTGCCAAATTTTAGCTGTATTTTTAAAACTTTTATTGATTTTACAGATATTTACATATGTTACTGGTATTTTATTTTTTTTCTCCTTTTCAAAATACTTACAAAATAGCAAACCTCAAAATCTTGTTATAGAATATTATATACTGTAATTTTATTTATATTTTCATTGGTATTTATTTTTGTGGTTTAAAGATAAAGTAGGTGGTCTGACTCAAGGATTATCAGTTTTCTTGCTGAAGGTCAATGGTTCTCAGGGTACTACAGCTTCCCCCAACAACACAAAATTAGCTATATTTTGCTCATGGTGAGGTAGTCTGACTCAAGTATGAACTGACAAGGATTATCAGTTTTTGTCTTGCCTTGATGGAGTCAAAAAGCGCGACATAGGTATGCTGTTTCCGGCGGCAGCGTCAACAATGTATTAGTTTGTGATAAGGTCTAGTTTAAGGTGAACCACTAGTGGTAAGTCAATGATATTTGGTATGCAGTTGTATAAGCATTGGCATATCTCATTTTCATGGAGAATATTTGGTCCTGCCCTTGCAATCATGGTCTATTGACTTTGAAACTTTTGCTTAGTTTACATGTATTAGTTTGTGATTAGATCAGTTTAAGATGAACTGTTAAGTCAATGATATTTGGTATGCAAATTTATTGGCATTTGAAAGTCTTGTTTCCATGGAGATTATATAGCCCACCACCTTATCATGGTTCATTGACTTTGAAACTTTTACATAGTTTACAAGTCAATGTTTGTGTTTAGGTTTGTTGAAAGGGAACGACTTATGATAAGTCTATGGTATTTGGTATGTAGTTGTATAAGGTAATGGCACATCTCATTTCTATGGAGATTGTTTTACCATGTACCTTCAGTCATGGTTCATTGACTTTGAATATTTGCATAACTTACATGTAAAAGTATTGCTATTTTAATTTCAACATTTGCAAATCAAAAGTACAAAAGGCAAGACATATCTCTGTGTTAACAGTTTAACTTGCTGAAGGTCAATGGTTCTCAGGGTACTACAGCTTCCCCCACAGTGCAAAATTAGCTCTATTTTGCTCATGGTGAGGTGTGTTTGACTCCAATTTAAACAGAACAGGATTTCCAGTTTATCTTGCTGAAGGTCAATGGTTATCAGGGTACTACAGCTTCCCCCACAGTACAAAATTAGCTCTATTTTACTCATGGTGAAGTGTGTTTGACTCAAATTTGAACTGACAAGGATTACCAGTTTTCTATCTGAAGGTCAGTGGTTCTCTCAGGGTGCACTGAATTCCTCCAACAATACAAAACTGGCTGCCAAGATATAGAAAAATTTGCTGAAAGTTGTGTAAAACACCAATAAGCAAAGAAACTAATTAAAGTGAAAATTTAAATTATGCTGAGCATTTAAATTTTTGGTTTCCCCATACCCTTATCATCCACGTCAAATGGTATCTCACAAATATTGATAAATTTACAGTTTAGTAACATGCAATTAATTTGCTTTATAGATCCAGAAACTAAAGTTCTACAAGAGTTGGCAGATTGTCGCCAGTATTGTATAGAAGGATTAGGTGAAGCTGAAGCATGTGGTGATTTAGAGGTTCAGGCTGATTTCCTGTTCCAGGGGGCACTGCTTAACATCATGGAAGGAAAGAGTCAAGAAAATACTATATCCTTGATTGAGGTACTTCTACGATTATATGAAAGTGTTAATAATTAGATATTAGTCAAAAGTTAAATCACAAAAATACTGAACTCTGAGGAAAATCCAAAACGGAAAGTCCCTAATCAAATGGCAAAATCAAAAGCACAAACACATCAAACGAATGGACAACAACTGTCATATTCCTGACTTGGTACAGGCATTTTCTTATGTAGAAAATGGTGGATTGAACCTGGTATTATAGCACTAAACCTCTCACTTGTATGGCAGTCGCATCAAATTCCATTATATTGACAACAATGCATGAATAAAACAAGGATGGTTGAAAGGGGGGATGCAAGAAACATGGTTGATAATGAGCTTCAAGCTAAAAAAAACTTCAAATAAAAGTTTCAAACATGTTGCACGAAAAATAATCCTTTGGTACCCTAGTCTAGGTATGAAGCAGATCTTACTGCATGTTCATTCGAAAAGATGTGATTGCTCTTTGTTTTTGATAAAGGGATACACTGACAGTGTTAATTTTAAGTGCGTTGTTTTATGCATAGTATATAATAGGCAAGAACTGAATTTAGTCTTCATCTTAATTGACACACTGCTTTTCTGAGATAAACTTTTTTTTTTTACATCACTATTCTTTCATATGGCTTTTAGAATCATTTAGTACTCAATTTTTACTGCTGATTTATGTTTTTTTTTTTATTCAACAACATATTGCACTACTGCTGTTAGCAATTTACTTCACTAGTCCAGCATTATAGTGAAAGGTCCATGTTTGTTAATACCAGAAACCCAGGGTTACTCTCTGGTAAGCATCATTATATTCAACATTAGTAAGTTATATCTATTAAAATTGTATGATGATTTCTTTTTAAAGGATGCAATTATGTTGCTGAACAAAGTACCAAAATTGTCAATCCCAACACAACAACAACTAGTTACATGTATGGTCCTGAAGACTGACTTACAGGCTGCTGAGAGAGACAATGATAGTGTGTTGTTTACTGAGAAATCATTGGTTCAATATCTCACTGCTCAACAGCTTATTCTAAAACAGGTAAGTATCTTTACAACTTGCAAACTTTCTTGCCATTGATGCATATATTGCAGTAGGAAGATTTAGGAATCCAGTTTTAGGACTTTGTGTCAGTAACTGTTAAAATTCATTAAATTCAAAAATATTAGAGGAACTCTCTAAGTTGAACTTTTAAATTAGGTCAGTTTAATAGGAACCTCTGATTTTTTTGATTTTTGGTGTTTTAACGCCACTTTTCAGCACCGCTTTTGGGCTATTTCGTGGCGGCCAGTTTTATTTGCAGAAGGAAACCGGAGTGCCTGGAGAAAACCACCAACCTTCAATAGGAAAACTGACAATCCTAGTCAATTAAGTTTGGTGTCGAGTGCACCCGCACGAGCGGGGTTCGAACTCACAACCTCAGTGTTGACTGGCTAGTGATAACAGTAGAAACTACTTAGACCACTCGGCCACCGAGGCCCCTCTTATAATAAGACAATGATGTTTGGTATGGAGTTCATTACATTATTATTGTGAAAATTGAAACAGAACAGGTTTTATAAAATAATAACTTGCATTTGTAAGAGTTTGATAGTATTATTTGTATGTAGCAATTCCTGAAATCGCAATAATTAATCCTTCTGTTCAACAATCATAAAATATCAATGCACAAAAAAAATCTACATTTACAGTATGACAGGTCAACCTATATATATATATATATATAATTCTTACCCGATTTATCCCTTTCCTGACCTGTTGATTATTTTTATTCAATCAATGTGTGGTTCATTTGATCTGACTTCTTTATTGGTCTGAATTCGATTATGAGGTCATATTTTCTTGTTTTCCTCTGAATTTCCTATTGTGACATCATAAAAAAAGGCGACCATGCCTGATGATGTCACCTAGAAAGAACACATCTTTTTGCAGGTCATTCGAAAAGAAGGATTAAGATTGTCTGTATATCGTCTAAAAATCATTAGAGAAACAGATTCCACCACAAAATCTCGTGGATAAATATGGTATCACACTTGATGCAGTGGTAGAATCTATATATAAACTGGCTGCCACTATATAGCGAAGAGTTTTGAAAATGGTGTTAAACACCAACAATCAATCAATCATGTATATTTTTGTAGATGGAGACATTAGGAGAACAGATACAGCACTACTACCCTGAAGGAGAGAAATCATTCTATTCAACACCTATCAGTCCAATGAAGAATATTTATATTCCTCATATGCTACGCTTAGCTCAAATCAAATTACGTGTCGGACATGCCATGGCTCGTAATGCTGCTAAATATATTAGGAATGGGTAAGATATTTGATGTCATATCCTATAGTAATAATTGGGTGCCATTTTCTGTTTTTTATTCTCGTCTTTTCTAGGTTGAGTTTTGTTTCATTGCATTGGTTTATAAATTTGTTGATACTTGATTAGGTTAGAGCTGTTCAAGAATTAAACATGGGGGGCATGTATGCACTTTTTTTAAAGAACCCATCCCCACCACCCATAAAATAAAAATTTTCATTTTGCTTAAAATTCTTACAAAATTCTAAGGGAAATGAGACCACCCATATTTAATTTGAGTGCCTCCAATTCCCCCCACTGATGAATTTTGGAACAGCCCTTATTAAATTCATTGATTAAAGGATTACTAAGGATTTATCTTTATTCGTGGGGGTATCAATTTTCAGGAATTTCATGGATATAGGTTCACCACAAATTAAAATGTTCAACTAAGTATAAATTTTGTATTGGCTTGTATCTGGACTTTTGGAAAATCCCGAAATCAAATATCCATGAAATATACAATTTTTCCTCAATCCACGAAAACTGGTGCCCACAAAAATAAATGAATTCACAGTATTATGAGTTAAAGATGATATGGGATAGATATTAATGAATTTTTAATTTATCATGTTGATATAAAAATAAGAAGATGTGGTATGATTGCCAATGAGACAACTCTCCATCAGAGACCAAATGACGTAGCAATTATCAACTATAGGTCACCCTACAGCCTATTTCATATTATGTATGGAACATCCTAAGCATACCAATGTGTCAGTCAAATTTTGTAAAAATATTTGCTAAAGTATGCTTTTTCCACTTCAAAAATGTGTGATTTTTGTCGAGCCTGAGACTTTTGTCGCAAAAGCGAGACATAGCGATCCTACATTCCGTCGTCGGCGGCGGCGTCCACAAATATTCAGTCTGTGGTTAAAGTTTTTGAAATTTTAATAACTTTCTTACACTATCTTGGATTTCTACCAAACTTGGACAGAAGCTTGTTCATAAGATAGTATCCAGAAGTTTATTTTGTAAAAAAAAAATCCGTATTTTACTTATAAATGGACTTAGTTTTTCTGCCTGTTAACATGACATTCACTCTGTGGTTAAAGTTTTTAAAATTTTAATAACATTCTTAAGCTATCCTGGATTTGTACCAAACTTAGACAGAAGCTTGTTTGTGATCAAAAGCTAGTATCTAGAAGGAAATTTTGTAAAAATTTATTTCCTGTTTTTGTCGAGCCTTCGACTTTTGTCGAAAAAGCGAGACATAGCGATCCTACATTCCGTCGGCGTCGTCGTCGGCGGCGTCCACAAATATTCACTCTGTGGTTAAAGTTTTTGAAATTTTAATAACTTTCTTAAACTACCCTGGATTTCTACCAAACTTGGACAGAAGCTTGTTTATGATCATAAGATAGTATCCAGAATTAAATTTTGTAAAAAAAAAAATCCAGTTTTTCCGTATTTTACTTATAAATGGACTTAGTTTTTCTGCCAGGAAACATTACATTCACTGTGTGGTTAAAGTTTTTAAAATTTTAATAACTTTCTTAAACTATCCTGGATTTCTACCAAACTTGGACAGAAGCTTGTTTATGATCATAAGATAGTATCCAGAATTAAATTTTGTAAAAAAAAAAATCCTGTTTTTCCGTATTTTACTTATAAATGGACTTAGTTTTTCTGCCAGTTAACATGACATTCACTCTGTGGTTAAAGTTTTTTAAATTTTAATAACTTTCTTAAACTATCCTGGATTTCTACCAAACTTGGACAGAAGCTTGTTTATGATCATAAGATAGTATCCAGAAGTAAATTTGTAAAAAACAAAATTCCATTTTTTCCGTATTTAACTTATAAATGGACTTAGTTTTTCTGCCAGTTAACATTACATTCACTCTGTGGTTAAAGTTTTTAAAATTTTAATAACTTTCTTAAACTATCCTGGATTTGTACCAAACTTGGTTAGAAACTTGTTTATGATCAAAAGCTAGTATCTTGAAGGAAATTTTTAAAAATTTTGTACCTGTTTATCAGTATTTTACTTATAAATGGACTTAATTTTTCTTCCAGTTAACATTACATACAGTCTGCAGTTAAAGATTTAAAACATTTATTAGATTCATAAACTATCCTGGATTTTTACCAAATTGGGACAGAAGCTTCTTACAATCAAAAGATTGTATCGAAAGTAATATTGTTATTATTTTTTTTCCTCATTTTTGTTGAGCCTGCGATTTACAGCAAAAGTAGGCGAGACACTGGGTTCCGCGGAACCCTTACGAATTTTTCCATGTATTACTTATAAATGGACTTAGTTTTTCTTCCAGTTAACATTACTGTTTACATACAGTCTGCAGTTAAAGTTTTTAAAACATTTATAAGATTCATAAACCATCCTGGATTTTTACCAAACTTGGATAGAAGCTTCTTACAATCAAAAGATAGTATCTAGAGGAAAATTTTTAATAATTTTTTCCCCATTTTTGTTGAGCCTGCAACTAACAGCAAAAGTAGGCGAGACACTGGGTTCCGCGGAACTCTTATGAATTTTATAGTTTCATTGACATGAATATTTGTTGAGGGAAAACAAGTAAAAAGACATTTCATACAAAAATATGTGTGATTATTTAATATTTTTTCAAGTAGCAAAAATGTGATGGGCTTATTTATTGGTATTGTTTTCTTGAATTGTAGAACTGACAAAGATCCTGTTATATTATGGACAGAAGTGTTAGGGGTATTAACAACAGCATTAGAGATATCTCAAGCTAGTGTTTCCAGAGAGGCCAACCTAGAGGCTGAAATATTGTTCAACTTAGGTGAGATTAAAAAAAAAACGTGGAAACAATATAAAAAAAGAAAAATCTAGCTCAAATTTATTTATATCTTGCATTTTAATATCACTACAAAAAATTATCATCATCAGAAACTTTCTATATTCAGTAAAAGAAAATTGAAAAACTAGAAAGTTTTTATAAATTCTTGTATTTGTATATCGTATACTTTATAGCCAGGACATATAGTCTTATAGGTTTAGCTTTTCTTTCAGACCTTTTTGTTATTATCAGCTTTTTAATGTTTGAATCAGATTTGTGATTTTCAAAGATTTTTGCCTTGAACATCACACAGAGAAATTGATCGTAGAAATGCACATATGGTGTTGTATAATTTGTACCGTTGATGTTATTACCTAGTCATAAAACAAAATCTGTGCTCAAAACACCAAATCAACTATTTTGATTGGTTGATTTCTGGATCTTAGTCTAAGTACGATAATTGTTCTCAAAACTTTTATGATCATTAGGCCTGCATTCAGTACTTCTGTCATTAATATTCCCTCCTTCAGAAATTGAATGAACATTTTCATGTTTTGCCCATATATTTAAGTTTGGGAAGACTTATTGTTTTTGCTCAGTTCTTATTATTATTATTATTCTTCTTCTTCTTCTTCTTCTTCCGCCGCTTTTAAATTTGAACTTGTCCGCACCCGTTCTCCAAAACCGCTTGTCAGATTAACCTTGGGTTTCACAATATGTTAGACTAACATGTCTAGTGGTGCAATCAGGGTTTTGTTTGTGCAATGGGGTTTATAAAGGGTTACTTTGAGGGGCAAAAAGAAAAGAGGGTTTTACTATAGAACCCTATGGGATTTTATTTTTTTAAATTTTCAAATGATTATAAATTGAAAACCGTTTGTGATAGACACAATCTTTTTAATTGAAAATGTTCTAAATGATAAAGCCCATTAAATGAAATACAGGGTTAGTCCCCAGGGGTCACCCCCACCCCCTGCCATTTAAGAAAGTTCTAATACCTTGTTAGTGGTCAAGATCCCCACCCCTAAACCATATATATTTTGGTTTGTTATGCTAAGATGGTTTGAATGATATACAGGGTTAGTCCCCAGGGGTCATCCCGACCCCCTGCCATTTGAGAAAGTTCTAATATCTTGTAAATGGTTGAGATCCCCACCCCTAAACCATATATATTCCTATTTGTCATGTCTAGAACATTTGAATGACGTATACGTTCAGTCCCCAGGGGTTCCCCCCACCCCCAATGTTCTAATATCTTGTAAATGGTTGAGATCCCCACCCCTAAACCATATATATTCCTGTTCGTCATGTAATGAACATTTGAATGACGTATAGGGCCAGTCCCCAGGGGTTCCTCCCCACCCCCAATGTTCTAGTATCTTGTAAATGGTCGAGATCCCCACCCCTAAACCATATATATTCTGGTTTGTCATGCCAAGATGATTTGAATGATATACAAGGTTAGTCCCCAGGCATCACTAATGCATATAACTTTACTGGACCAAACCAATTTTCACTGGACGTTGCCCAATGTCAGGCGACCCTGGGAATTACGAATTATGGGAGCTTAGTTTGGGAGACTTCGTAACAGCATCCTGTTACAATCATTTCTTGTTAAAGGTGAATTTTGTTATGTACATGTACATATGCATGGAAGTGTATTTAATTGCAAGATAGATTTGGAAATTGCGTTTCATTATGAATGATATAGTTTTATCTTTAAGAACATACTAAATCAAATGTTTGTTTTTTGACTATAGGAAAAGTAGAGAGAATGTTGGTGTTACACGGTAAAGTTCAACCAAGGAAGGCTGCTGATACATTGTTACAGGCTATCAAGATATCCTTCAGGAATGACCATGATCTGGGGTGAGTATTACATGTAAAAACTTGTATGTTTATGCTAAATACGTAAATATGTCCGTGTTATATTGCAAAGTCAAAACAAGGAAATCTGCAGATACACTGTTACAGAGTATTTTTATACCCTGCAAAAGTGATGTTATAATATTTCTTTAATCCATTCAACCATTGTTGAGAAAAAGATTGAAATCTGCAAAAAAACATCATTAGGAATCTCAGATTATTGTTATTTTGACTTCAGCATCTTCAACTCATTTCACAAAGAATTTTACAAGTAAAAATACTTGTTAAGTCATGATCATTTCAGTATAACTTTCAAACAGTTTTAGTTGTATGGTTTTCCGTGAAAAGAACCCCACTCTTTGGTGTCTGAGATTTTTCAGTCTAACATTTTTTCAATTGACAGCGTTTCATTCTTATTTTCTCTGTTATATTAACATTATCAAGCAATGTAAATGTTGATGAGTGCCAATGAGACAACTCTCCATCCAAGTTAAAATTTATAAAAGTAAACCATTATAGGTCAAAGTATGGTCTTTAACACGGAGCCTTGACTCACATCGAACAGCAAGCTATAAAGGGCCCCAAAAATTACTAGTGTAAAACCATTCAAACAGGAAAACCAACAGTCAAATCTATATAAAAAACGATAAACACTTATGAACCACATCAACAAAAGACAACTACTGAACATCAGATTCCTGACTTAGGATAGGTGCAAACAATTGCAGCAGGTTTAAAAGTTTTAATGCTACCAAACCTTCGCCTTTATCTGAAACAATAGTGTAACATCACAACATAGAAAAACACACTTTGAAATATCAATTGAAATTAAAAATGTTAATAATTTTCACAGAATGAAAAAGGCAACTTGATTATTTCTCATATTAACAATTAAGCAATTATTAGACATGATTATTATAACGTTAATAAAGGATAGTTAAGAGAAAACACATCAACATCTTTTATAAACAGGTTCATTGAAATGATAGAAATGATGAAACATGTACTGTAAAAAATTGTGTATAATCTGCACACCCTTTAAACAAACACATTGTGAGATCAACATTTTCTTGTATTTGCTTGAAGTACTGTATAATTTGTACCCCTGCCTAGCTATTTGATTTTTTGAGTAAAAAATTGCACATTATACACACCCTAATTAGGCAATAAAGGTTTTTATGTCCCACCTAGGGGCATATTGTTTTTCGGTCTGTGCATCCATTCGTTCGTCTGTCTGTCCGTCTGTCTGTCCCGCTTCAGGTTAAAGTTTTTGGTCAAGGTTGTTTTTGATGAAGTTGAAGTCAAATCAACTTGAAACTTAGTACACATGTTCCCTATGATATGATCTTTCTAATTTTAATGCCAAATTAGAGTTTTGACCCCAATTTCACAGTCCACTGAACATAGAAAATGATAGTGCGAGTGGAGTGGGGCATCCGTGTACTATGGACACATTCTTGTTTTATTATGGAATTAATCCCAAAAATACTGAAGGGAAACATCCAATATCTGATTTGCTATCATATTATCTTTATAGAATGTTATAAGGTTTTCCACTTCACTGCCTGAGGCCAATTGTGTTGTGCCTATGTAAAGGGCAAACAGTAATACATGTATGTTAAGGTCAAGGATTACCATTATCAGCTATTGCCCATTATACTTCTTTTTATTGTATGTTTATTTCACAAACCACTCATATATTACAGGTTAATGAGACAAGCCTATTTAGAAGTTGCCATAGTGTATCTGTTTGCTGTAGGACTAGTGATTCTAAAGCCTAACGGGTCACTTGAAATAATACAAGATGGAATGGATGAAACAGGTAGTGTTAGACCTGGAACACTGGACTCAGCCAAAAGTAAAGCCACAAGTACTAGATCTTATAAGGTGTGTATGAAAATGGACCACATAAAATCACAATGGATGTAAATTAAATTAAAGGCAACAGTGGTTTACTGATGTTCATATCCCATCTAATGTAAAGTAGGAGATGGGAGTATGTGACAAATTTCTCAATTCTTACCTCCCTTTTTGCCTGTTTTTAACCAATGTTGTTTTTATTGTGGGCAGGTCCCAATTAATAAATTGTTTAATTTTTACTTTTGCAAATTTGATCATATTTTTATTATTTTTTTTTTTATTTAAATGGAAAATGTTAGTATATCATGTAATTATGATGAAATTTATGAACATCTTAATTTTGAAAAATTGAAAAAAGATGAAGTAGAAATAATAAAAATAATATTCTACTAAATAACTGTATAAAAATGTCTCCCTAATAGGCTAGCTTATATAAAAGGCTTAAACCAATTAAGTAGGATTTGCCTCTAGACATTAAGCAAGCTACCATCAAGTAGAAAAGCCAATTAAGTAGGATTTGCCTCTAGACATTAAGCAAGCTACCATCAAGTAGAATCTTTTTAAGGAATGTTTGAACATTTATAAAAATTGTCATGTTTTCTATCATAAAACAACTAACTTTTGTTCAGCATGACTTATTATTTAACTTGTATTTGTTGACATTTTCAGAGCAAGAAGGACCGTTTGAGCAGCAGAGCAAAGTCTGGTAAGAGTGATGAAATGGACGATTCCGAGAAACATCGTAGAGCAGCCTATGTGGCAATCAGGTGTGCCACAGCAGTGGCTCAGGCTCAGAGATGTAGAACATTATTGATAGGGGATACAGTTGTAACATCACAGCCACTATCAGAAACAGCTCAGAATGATATACCAGACTTTTTATCTCTGGACCTGGTCAGTGTGTATACCTTGGGCAAGAAGAAGAAAAAGTATAAAAGTAAGATTTTAAGTGTGGTTTTCAGTCAAAGAGTTGTTTCTGCCACACAATCCTCAGCAAATTAAAACTTATAGAATTACAAATACTTAAATTGAAATAATTGCATGTATTTCTTATTGTGATTTTTGAAGAATGGATAAAAATGTGAGATTGATTATTGCGATTTTAAGAAATTCTACATACAGATATATGTATCAGATAACAGAATGCAAGTTCTTATTATTCCATTAAAATGTATGTGGGAGGGTAGGAAGGGAAGTTTAATTATTGAATGTGGGTCATGGGTCTTTTTTCAGTATGTGTCTATTACCATTATGCAAAATTATTTAAAAAATGGTTCTTGTTTTTAGGGATATTTTGAAAGTCCCTTCCTACCCTCCAGCAGTTAACTTTATGATATGCTCTCTTAATTTTGATATACAGATAATCAGACTTTTGACTGTTAGCATAAGACTTCAAATTCAAATTATTTTACTAATGAAACTGAGTAAGAAATCTTTGTTTAATATCTTGCTATTTTTCTTCTTGGATTTGTTTATCATTTCTAATGTTGTTCTCATTCCAGATGAAATAGAAGAAGAGTTAGCTCCCCTTATAGAGGCTCAGGAAACAAAGAAAGTAGAGACATATGAAGAACAAGTATCTAGAACAAAAGACACTGCAAAGGAGTTGGGATGGATACATATATTAGGTCTCGAATTAATATTCATTATAATATCAAACAAAAGAATTAAGTTTTTCTTTTTGTCTCATTCTTTTGCATTTTGTGTGTGTAGGCTATTCATATTTTCAGAATCTGACAGAATTACTTGTAATTCAATTGTTTTTACACTAAATTAAAATAGCATATTGTCCATTACTTTTTCATTACAATAATAGAAAATTAAAGATTGAAGACAGAACTTGCCTAATTAAGTATAAGTATTATCATTTAAGCTACATGTACATTCATCATCAACTTATAAAGTATTATTTTCACATCCAACTGGTCTCTATTTCACAGGTTATCAGACTATACTGCAGAGAATGTGCTTCACAGCTACAGTATCCGCTTCTAGTACAAAGAAAGACAAGCAAGAGGATATGGCCGAGTCAGGTGACCTTGGACCAGGATTTGACCTTGGGTTTATCAGTCATGCTCAGTACGACACATCATTGAACCATGATGTGGTCAGATCAATGTTACTGTGTGGATCATGGATTGGTAGACTGAACAGACTACATACGTACTTAGCCAGTAATCTCTCAGTTTATAGTGCCACCTGTTGTGGAATTTATCCACCACCAATGCTGACCTTACCTGTACCAGCACTACCCAAAATGGACTTAGAGGTCATTTGTAGGTCGTATTCTCAAAACCAGACCAACCCAGGAGATACAGATCAATCCATTCCACTGGCAATCACTGCTGATCCAGGCAAACCCCTTCCACCTCCTGGTACTAACATGGAACCATACATGCCAAGTGATAAACCTGTGACTTCACCTACAGAGCCACAGGTGGCACTGCAGTTCTATCAACCATCTTTGGAAGAAAATGACCCACTGAATCCAGATGCTAAAGGACCCGACTCCAAGGTGTTGTTGTTGTATGCCCTTTTTAAGAAATCAACACTCCCTACTGTACAAGGATTACAATGGATATCTATGGCACAACTTAATGATCTTCATGACAGGTAAGTAGTCATACTATATATGGATTAATAAATTTTGGCAGATATCAATTTTGTGCATTAAGGATATTTTGCAATTTCGTGGATATTTGAATTCATGGTTTTGCCAAAGTCTGCATACAAGTCTATAGAAAATTTGTATTTCCTTGATCATTTAAATTCATTGTTTGCCTATATCCACAAAATCCACAAAAATTGGTATCCAACAAATAATTATAATAAATCCACAAAAATCCATTTGAATTTAATAGTAAATAACCAATAATTGATTTATTTAATTTTCCATAATTCTTTGTTTATATAATTTTTTTTTCCATACTTTTTATTTTTGATAAATGTTTCTTCATTCATTCATAAATAGTTTTAAATAAAAGGTTTGATTAATTATGATTTCAGATTTACTTCATGTTATATAGATTTGTCAATGACTACAAGAAAGAATGCTTATAATTGCAGCAACAAATATTATACCATTAATAACTTTTGATGAGGTTGATACAATAATTTATCATCCCTAGAGATGTGATATTCACTGAGATCAATGGCCGACGGTGAATGTTGTATCTCTGGGGTTGATAAATCATTGTATCAACCTCATCAAAAGTCAACAATTGTTTTATTATATATTTTTTTTATCCATCTCCAATTTTCTTGTATTTGTTCAAGATATTTAACTGCTCCTTGTTTTTGAACTAAATATATGTTATTTGCTTTGGTAATTGCTAACTTTTATATTTATTTTTTTACTCCTGGTATCTATGATGATTTTATTTATTTATAAGTTGAAATATTCATTCTATAAAACTCACTCAAATAAATAAACACTGAAAAAAGAAGAAGATAAAATAGAATTTGTATTAGGTCTTAAACTGATATCAATGACGTTGCCTTGAAAATGAACTATTTAGGTACATGTTAGCTGTTCAAAATCTTATATTAACCTTGGTGCATTTAATGTTATATCAAAGAAGATTCCCTCTGCTTTTAGCCAATGAGAGAAGAGAAAGTTTATAGTCATTTAATAATATGTTCTAATGTTGATTTGCATTCATGATACTGTTAAGTGGGAAATTTTCTTGAGGGGTTTAATTTTTCTAAATTTTTTATTTAAGTTGAAATTGTTGAAAATATCAACTGACACAGTTGGAAATTGGGACTGTGGGATGAACCCACTTTTTTATCATATAATTCTAATAGATAATTCTTGTGAGCTTACCTGATAGTTCATTTGATTGTACCATTTATTATTGATGCTTTTATAATAGGCTTGCAGTATTGGGTCAGAGAGGGGAAATTTCCCTTCAAGAGAAACAAAAGAAAGAACCAGTTGCTCCATCACCAACACCATCTACCAAGGCCAAGAAAACACAGAGGATAAAAGCATTGTCTCCTAAAGTACAGAGGGATGAACAATTAGAGGTACCTTTTTAGGGATTATCTTTAAATGTACAAATTTAAGGTAGCAATATGAGCCCAAAGTTAACCATTTAAAGACCTCCTAGTTAATTATTATTGTAGTTACTTTGATAACTGTCTTAGTTTATGTATTATTGTCCGCAGGACTAACTGATAGATTTCCTGAGCATTTTGAACACTTTTAGCTTGTCTCCTATATTTCATGAGTTATTTACATTTAAAAAAAAGAGATGATTGTGTATTTTTTTTTTTTAGATATACTACCAGCATTTTCAACAAAGAACATATATAAGCACATGATTCATTTTTTCAATAAGCCCGTAAATTCCTTTCCTTAGTTTTATTACACTTCAATAAACCATGCTAAAGGAACTACTTTCAAATTGGTTACCTATGTAAATACTGTGTCAATTTCATAGTGATTTATGCATGCACAATATACATTAATAGAATCCTGGGGTTCCAAAGAAAGGGAAATTTAGATAGAAATAAAAGTATATGTGTTCAAAATTATAAGGATTTAACATATTTTTAGAGGTAATTGATGTCTAAACTTGGTAAATGACCCACAAACTTTATTTAAAAGTAAAAAAATTCAATTAACTTTTTGATTGCATTGCCCCAGTTTACTCATCAATGACCTCTAGAAAAAAATTGTTTAACCTTGAAATAGATTTGTATTGTTTTTTCCCTCTTTTTTCAGACTTTATTGATGCAGTGTATCACTGATGTAATGTCACTACTAGGAATGGTATCAGAACCAGAGCCTAGTAGCTTACCTACTGATGTAAGTATCATATTTTATCATGTCAATGAATGGCCTGTTGGTGTTCCATTTCACACATTAAACAGTCACTATGTTCATGTTTTTAATTTAAAAAAACTCAAATTTTAATTTGTTATTTCAAATGAAATCTTATGGAGAATACAATTTTTTTCTTCAATTTTTCTAGTGTAGTCCCCGTAAACATTTTCTAACAGAAAAATCTTTTAAAAATATCACCTTTCACATTTATCAATTTTTTTTCAAAAATTTCAATGTCTTATAGACTTAAGTGATTTGTAAATATCTTTTATCGCTATTTTGTCAAATTTTGTTTGATCTGTTTTTGTGATTATTTTCCATATCATGCAACTCGATTTTGGATTTTCTTACTTGAGTAGAAAGAGAATATGACGTCATAAACCTATGTCGTTGACTTTGCCTAGGAAAATAGCAATAAACAAATTATTAATTGTCTTTCAAACTATCACCCTTCAAAGGGATTGTAGCCTAGATACCCTCTCTTGTTTGAGGAACTATCAATAATCTAAATTCAACACCCAAGTATGATTTATTACATAAGGAAACTATTTTGTTCAGACATAATGAAATTGATTATAAGTTCAGTAATGTAATTTTTATTCCAAAATGAAATAATGTCTTACAGAAAAAGTCTAAAAAAAAGGTAAATGTATGATAATGTATTCTTGCGTAATTTTTACATTGCAAATTATGTTCTCATTTTTAAATAGAATTTATCAAATATTGTACATTTTATATCTTTTTTTAGATGTTAAAATGCAATTTAATAAATAATGTAGAGCATTTATATTTTATTTAAATTCATCCTACACTTTATTAAGAAACACTTCACGTTTGATATAATTAAAAAAAATGCACAATGCACTGTAATTTACCCAACTTTCACACACTGCTTTAAAACACAACCCAAGTAGTAATATCCTTTTCTTTTAATGCTTGTTTTTCAAAACATTGTATTAAATGCTGTTTGATAATTTTTTATTTGTGACAATTATTTCTACACCACAATTCTTTGTAGACACAAACCTTTCCAGCTTATTGAGAGATCCAATGTATGAAAAGCATTACAGGGGCTGATCCAGCAATTTTCAAAAGGGAGGTTCCAACTACATGTCCCCATTCAAATGCATTGATCATCAAAAAAAGGGGGGATTCCAACCCCCGGAACCCCCCCCCCTTTCTTGGATCCGCCACTGCATTAAATTAACATCATAATTATTTTCAGTTTATTTTGAGAATTGAATTATTATATAAAGAACTTTTGATTTACACCCCAATTAGACATGTATGAAATCACAATATTAACACATTAGGGCTGATTTCAGCTACCACCCAAAACTGCACCAGAGTTTTACCCACATACTCCTATAAAATCAAGAACAATGTCGAGCGTAATGTCAAAACGTTCAAGGTCAGACATTACTTCTGCTCGGATGGTAAGACATTCTGACTTTAGAAAACAGGTAGGAGGGCAAAAGTATAAACATTTCAGTATACAGTACACATATGGGTTTAGTTGATAATCACTCTTGCTGGTGGTTTTTCACTCAGAATCGGTGATTGTAAGTGATTTCCTCTAAATTGTATTTAATCTATGTAAAAAACTATAAGAGGTAGACCTAAGGTAAAAGGGATACAACTCTTAGAAATCAATTGTATGTTTAGGTCAACCATTTTTGTAATTACATTATAAGATTCTTAGTAGCACAGATTATTTTACTTCTGTTTCACATAAGTGCTTTAAAATCATTGATTATACTTGCTATGACAGAACGCATTACTGATCCACAAAGAATTATCTCCTTTAATTTTGGCTTATCTCCTCAAAGAAATGACCTGTAAGTCAGAGTGTTACTTTTTTGAAATCATTAGTAAACACACTGTTTGTCTCAACACCAGCAAGAGTGATGTTCATCTGAATTGCTTTTTTAGGTGTACTGTATAGTATCATTAGCCTAGTTACTTTTCTACATTAGAGGGCAATAGGTGCATGTCTTTTCTGCAAAACAGTTACTTTAATTTTTTTCTCTTGTTTTTTTTTTCTTATGCAGTATCAAAGTAAAAATATAGAAAAACTTCTGAGTTCAGTCTAAATATATACAATAAAAACAGCCATACAGTAGATTAACAGCAGTTCTAAATATATGAACGTTAAACTAACAGTATCTTATTTTATCTAATATTTATTATATCTCCATTGCAATTTCATTCATTACTTGTCTCTCCGCCCAGATCATTTGTTAGGGTGTGGAATTCATAGTTTTTTGTTTTACTTTGTAAGTTTTTTTTTCCAGATTTAGGACAGTCAATTCTTGGTAGAAAATATTTTGTACCCACTGAACATCCAATTTTTTATTACTTATTACTCAGCTACTGTGTTAAGAAATGATTTGATATTTGACCCTGGACTGTATAATATAGAGTTGTTCCTTATGAATGATTTTCAGATCAGCTGTGCAGCCATTTTCTATTTTAACATTCTTATTATACAGAGTATTGAAGTTTTAATACACCTTACTAGCTTCTGTGTTGAAAATGATTTGAGATTTGGTCTACAAGAAATCAGTTTGGTTTGACACTGTATAATGTTGAGTTGTTCCTTGTCAATGATTTTTCAGATCTGCCTAGCTTGCGTCCATTTTCTATTTTCTACTTTACATTTTTAGTATACAGAGTATAGACTGAAGTTTTGTTACATATTTCTAGCTTCTGTGTTGAATAATGATTTGATAGTTGCTCTACAAGTTATAATTGTGTTGAAATATACCATGTTAGTGATTTTAAGATCTGCTGGGCAGTCACTTCCTGTTTGAAATTATTTTGAACTTTTATATATAGATATAAAAAGATGTGGTATGAGTGCCAATGAGACGACTCTCCATCCAAGTCACAATTTGTAAAAGTAAACCATTATAGGTCAAAGTGTGTACCCACTAAGCATTGATTTTTGTCAGTGTCTAGTAAAGAGTAAGGGTTTTTACTTGGCACACAATCATGTGCAATATCTTTATGCTTTCATAGTTATAGTGATATATTCTCAGTCTATGCTTTGTTAGAAAAAAATTAAGTAGTAGAAATGATAATAATAGTAATCGTAATTATACCAATAGACATAATAACAATTTTTTATGTTTTAATGAACGATAGTAAACTATCATTGATTGTTGGCATAATTCAATGTTAAATCACAACTGAATAATATTTAGGGACTGAAATCAGTCATTGTACTGTCAGAAAAATTGTTCTTTTTATTTTTACTCTTAAATCTGAGATTGATGCTGGCAAATTATTGTGATTGTAATTTTACAAGTGTAAAATTTCTGACAAAAAGTTATGTTTTGAAAATTTAATTTTTGTATTTTTTTTCCATGAACTTACCGCCTCTTTACAAACCTATATGCGATTAAACTTGTTAAAAAATCCTCTATTATAAGTAAATTTTATCTCTTGATAAACAGTTGACATAGTTTCTTATCTTTAAATTACAGATTCCATTTGAGGTCAGCAAGATGAACATCAGGTCCTTGGAAAACTTATTTGACCCAAGCTTTGGTGCCTTGATAAGCGGAGGTGAAATGGTCAAATGGCTGCTGAAGATAGTGCACACATCTGATACATCACTGAGTAAAGAGTCAACCAAAGATACGGCAGCATCTTCACCAACAAAAGAACCGACCAAAGAGTCTCTCCGAGAGAGTACTACAACAACAAATTAATTCTATAAATAGACCTTCAGTACTTTGATACTTTTACTGCCACATGGTGTTAAGAATTTTTTTTTAGACATATCATTCTTTATGACTGTTACATTTGGTTTAAAATCATTTTTGAATATGAGTGATTTATTTCATTGTTGTCACCTAAGTTATTTTTAAATTAAGATTTATTTGTTATTTTTAGCTCACCTGGCCCGAAGGGCCAAGTGAGCTTTTCTCATCACTTGGCGTCCGTCGTCCGGCGTCGTCCGTCGTCGGCGTTAACTTTTTACATTTTGAACTTCTTCTAAAGAACCACTGAATGGAATAAAACCAAACATGGCATGAATGTTCCTTATGAGGTGCTGACCAAGTGTTGTTACTTTGTAGCCGATCCATCATCCAAGATGGCCGCCAGCGGGGGACTTAGTTTAACATAGGACCCTATGGGAAATGCATACAAATGACTTCTTTTAGAGAACCACTGAATGGAATGAAACCAAACATGGCATGAATGTTCCTTATGAGGTGCTGACCAAGTGTTGTTACTTTGTAGCCGATCCATCATCCAAGATGGCCGCCAGCGGGGGACTTAGTTTAACATAGGACCCTATGGGAAATGCATACAAATGACTTCTTTTAGAGAACCACTGAATGGAATGAAACCAAACATGGCATGAATGTTCCTTATGAGGTGCTGACCAAGTGTTGTTACTTTGTAGCCGATCCATCATCCAAGATGGCCGCCAGCGGGGGACTTAGTTTAACATAGGACCCTATGGGAAATGCATACAAATGACTTCTTTTAGAGAACCACTGAATGGAATGAAACCAAACATGGCATGAATGTTCCTTATGAGGTGCTGACCAAGTGTTGTTACTTTGTAGCCGATCCATCATCAAAGATGGCCGCCAGCGGGGGACTTAGTTTAACATAGGACCCTATGGGAAATGCATACAAATGACTTCTTTTAGAGAACCACTGAATGGAATGAAACCAAACATGGCATGAATGTTCCTTATGAGGTGCTCACCAAGTGTTGTTACTTTGTAGCCGATCCATCATCCAAGATGGCCGCCAGCGGGGGACTTAGTTTAACATAGGACCCTATGGGAAATGCATACAAATGACTTCTTTTAGAGAACCACTGAATGGAATAAAACCAAACATGGCATGAATGTTCCTTATGAGGTGCTGACCATGTGTTGTTACTTTGTAGCCGATCCATCATCCAAGATGGCCGCCATCTGGGAACTTAGTTTAACATAGGACCCTATGGGAAATACATACAAATGTCTTCTTTTAGAGAACCACTGAATGGAATGAAACCAAACATGGCATGTATGTTCCTTATGAGGTGCTGACCAAGTGTTGTTACTTTGTAGCCGATCCATCATCCAAGATGGCCGCCAGCGGGGGACTTAGTTTAACATGGGACCCTATGGGAAATACATACAATGTCTTCTTTTAGAGAACCACTGAATGGAATGGAACCAAACATGGCATGAATGTTCCTTATGAGATGCTGACCAAGTGTTGTTACTTTGCAGTCGGTCCATCATCCAAGATGGCCGCCAGCGGGGGACTTAGTTTAACATAGGACCCTATGGGAAATACATACAAATGTCTTCTTTTAGAGAACCACTGAATGGAATGAAACCAAACATGGCATGAATGTTCCTTATGAGGTGCTGACCAAGTGTTGTTACTTTGCAGTCGGTCCATTATCCAAGATGGCCGACAGCAGGGGACTTATTTTAACATAGGACCTATGGGAAATACATACAAATGTCTTCTTTAATAGAACCACTGAATGGAATGAAACCAAACATGGCATGAATCTTCCTTATGAGATGCTGACCAAGTGTTGTTACTTTGTAGCGGATCCATCATCCAAGATGGCCGCCAGCGGGGGACTTAGTTTTACATAGGACCCTTTGGGAAATACATAAAAATGTCTTCTTTTAGAGAACCAATAAATGGAATGGAACCAAACATGGCATGAATGTTCCTTATGAGATGTTGACCAAGTGTTGTTACTTTGCAGTCGGTCCATCATCCAAGATGGCCGCCAGCGGGGGGACTTAGTTGAACATAAGACCCTATGGGAAATACATACAAAAGTCTTCTTTTAGAGAACCACTGAATGGAATGAAACAAAACATGGCATGAATGTTCCTTATAAGGTGCCGACCAAGTGTTGTTACTTTGCAGCCGATCCATCATCCAAGATGGCTGCCAGTGGGTGACTTAGTTTAACATAGGACCCTACTGGAAATACATACAAAATGTCTTCTTTTAGAGAACAGTTGAATGGAATGAAACCAAACATGGCATGAATGTTCCTTATAAGGTGCTGACCAAGTGTTGTTACTTTGCAGCCGATCCATCATCCAAGATGGCTGCCAGTGGGTGACTTAGTTTAACATAGGACCCTACTGGAAATACATACAAAATGTCTTCTTTTAGAGAATCACTGAATGGAATGAAACCAAACATGGCATGAATGTTCCTAATGAGGTGCTGACCAAGTGTTGTTACTTTGCAGTCGGTCCATCATCCAAGATGGCCGACAGCGGGGGACTTAGTTTAACATAGGACCCTATGGGAAATACATACAATTGTCTTCTTTTAGAGAACCACTGAATGGAATGGAACCAAACATGGCATATATGTTCCTTATGAGTTGCTGACCAAGTGTTGTTACTTTGCAGTTGATCCATCATCCAAGATGGCTGCTAAGGGGGGGGGGCTTAGTTTAACATAGGACCCTATGGGAAATACATACAAATGTCTACTTTTAGAGTACCACTGAATGGAATGAAACCAAACATGGCATGAATGTTCCTTATGAAGTGCTGACCAAGTGTTGCTACTTTGTTGCCGATTTACTGTTCAAGATGGCCACCAGGATATTTTATTAAATAACGGGACCAATATTAATCAAAATTTGGCCTCAATCATTATTTGGGTATCTGTTATGATTTTTATCTATCTTTACATGATTTCTAAAACCAAAGTAGAGTCAGGTGAGCGACACAGGCTCTTGAGAGCCTCTAGTTTTCTTTTAAAACAAATTGGACAAAAACATAAGAATGCATCAATTTTAAAAACAAAAACTCCTCAAAGTGTAACTCTAATCACAATAACATAACAAAATTGATGATTTAATGCATATAAACAGACTTCTTTTTTGGATAAGTCAGAAGAATTGAATTGATTTTTTTAAAGATTTCAGTCTGAAACAATTGCCTATTCATCTTTATAATACCAAAATATCTTAAAAGAAGATATAAGCAATACCTTATCTCATAAAAGGTTTTTTCTTCAATTGATATAGATGTTAGGCATTAAAGTCATTTGTAAGTAATGTAAAAAAAAGTAAAAAAGATAAATTGAAAAATGCTCTTTTACATTTATTTTATGTCCGTCCTTACAGACATTGCATTTGCATTCCAATATAATGATAATCTGTGATATTTACACTAATTTATTTTATTATATTTTTGTAATTTATATACTTTTTATTACTTTGTTTACTTGCAGAGCAAGTATTTAATTGCAGTTAGGACACACTTTTGTGTGCTGTTGTTTATATTGTTCAAAGAGGTATTTTATTAAATATTTGAGTATCACATTAAATTATTTGCAGTTCTATCTATTGTTGTTTGTATTTTATCTAGGAACAAAGTCTGAATAGCCTGTATGAATTGGAAGAAATTAGATAACAACTTTGAATAATTATCAAAATAATCAACATGCAGTTTTCAATTATTAGAAGTTTCCCATAACTGTATATTAAGTGCAATGAAGAAAGTAGAGGATCTTTAACCAGCAATAAAAAAAAAACCGAAATATTGATGAAAAAAGTTAATGGTTTAATCTTCTTTAACATAGCTATGGAAAAAAAAGAGACAGAAAACATTTTGGTTATTAAAAATTCAATTCCCAGCACCAAGGTATTCAGAATTTGTGTTCATATAAAATTGCCATAATCCTGTGTGATCCACGAATGTCAGATTGACAGTCAAAACTTACTTAAAGAATGTCACATATGATGTATTGCCTACAGATATAGAGAGAAGAACAAAGAAACATGTAATAAGTCGTAGACATTACCAATGCTTTTTGTCTTGCCTGTGACAAAGTTATCAAGGCAGGACTTGGCGATTCTAGATTCCCTTTGTGATGGCATAACTATTTTTAGACATCAACAATTTCAGGGAATTTTAATGAGGGCAGATGCTTAAAATGAGAACACTAAAGAGGTTTGAGTAGCATTATTTATAAATTAGAACTTATTATGACATTATGTTGAACTTTTTCAAATGTTGCAACAATAATAATAACTTTGTATGAACATTCGAGATATTATTTCAGTTAACATCCTAATGGAAATAAATCCTAGAACCCTTCGTAAAAACCTGATATATATAACATAGACCACAACAATGGAATTCAGACTCGATAATACAAAATAGGGGATGTGGCATAATTGGCAATGACCAAATGACATAGATGTTAGCAACTATAGGTCACTGCACGGCCTTCAACAATGAGCAAAACCCATAGCAAGCTATAAAAGACCCCAATATAATAAAACTCAAAACAAATTTTAATGAGAAAACCAACGGCCTAATTTATTTACAAAAGAACAAACAAAAAACAAATATAATATACAGCTACGAATGAAAACCACTGAATTAAAGGCTCCTGACTTGAGACAGGCACATACAAAATGTGACAGGGTGGAACATGCTTTTGGTCGCCAAACATTTTCCCTATCCTGGGACAGTGGTGTAACAGCACAATATAAGAACAAACTATAAAAATAAGTTGAAAAAGTCTTGACTCATCAGATGAATACAAAGCACAAAATACAATTAACAAAAAAAACTAAAGACACAAAGTAAGATAAGACCTTTATTGGATGTAAAGATTGTTTTTGTCCTTCTTTTTGTCACATTATAAGTAACCAATGATTACACTTAACATATACTAGAAAAATAAATCTTCGTAATAAGTACACGTCTTTCTTTAATATAACTTTAGTAAACCTATAATCTATAAAAACCCAAAGAAATATTCCTTGAGGAATCAAAAGTATTTCTCTTTTTTAAAACCACAATTAATAGAGATGACTCGGGTCTATTATTTGGTTGAATGACATACTGGTATTGGTAAATTCAATTCAAAGTTTTATTTAAATTCGATATTCAGTAAACTACATAAGCACAAGCTCTAGTGAGCTTTTCAAATCGACTGAATAACAAAATATATACACACATACACAAAAGTCACGAAAATAACACAATAAGAACTCAAGCCAAATCAAACTATAAGGTTTACAGATTGTTTTTATATTCTGATTTACACCATTGATCAGGTTTGGGGAGGGTTGAGAGTTCATAAACATGTAAAACACCGCCAGATTCTTTATTTGATTGTTTAAGGCCACGAAGCTGCAATGCAGTTATTGTTGTATATTACTGGTTGCCATCTGTTATTCTTTTTTCAATTGTTTCAAATGTTTGTCATACCTAAGACTTATTATCTTTCTTTACGGCATGGATTTGTTCATTGTAATAGGCCGCATAGTGAACTGCAAACTTTTTTCTGTGGTCTAGGGTTATTTGTCTCGTTGGCAAGCATACCACAACGCCTATTTTTATTTTTATTTTCATCATTATTTCAAAAGCATTCAGTCTGAATGAATCCAGCTTCAGTGTCAATGAATTCATTTAAAGCACATTAGTTGACATGATCAATTTAAATTTTTTTCCCCGAATATTTTGATATTGCTTCTCACTTTAGCTAATATAGTTATTTAAAAGTCATATTATAAATCCAATAAAAACAACCAATATTCTCGTGCAATGCTTTGTACATCTGAACCATAGCTGGTTATATTGTATTTATTTACCTTACATTGAACACTGCTTAAGCCTTTTTATAACGTTGAACAAAACACTTCAATCCACCATTTTCTACATAAGAAAATGCATGTACCAAGTCAGGAATAAGACAGTTGTTATTTATTCGTTTAATATGTTTGAGCTTTTGAATTTGCCATTTGATTAAGGACTTTCCTTTTTGAATTTTCCTCTGAGTTCAGTTTTTTTGTAATTTTACTTTTTTCTATACTAACCTGAAAATGGTTTCAAATATGTTCGAAATGTTTTATATGAACACAAACTTAAATGGTATGAATTATATAAACTTCTACATAGTCATTCGAATTTAAGTTAATACAAGACTTAGTGTAAATGTTTTATGCTTATGTAGAACTTTCAAACAAGCAAGTACAATTTAATTCAATATAATTTTTACTGAATGACACTATGAGTATTTCTGGAACTTATTTATACATGTTAAATACATGCACTGCGCACATTAACATTTAAAAATATAAAACAGTTGTGCTCATCAAAGTAATTTAGATCCACATGCAAACTATGTCGAAGAAACATATTTACGACCTTTGAAAAAGCGCAGATATGTAGTTGATAAGTAGTAATAATATGGTAAAATAAAATTGTATGCCTTATAAAAGCTACTATAACGAATGAGTCTATATCAATTCATCAGGACATTACCATTTTGCATGGATGTTCTTGTGGTCTGATGACTATTTACCTTTACCAAAGTTCATGATATAATATCAATATGAGACGATTGCAAATGTAATAGAATGTAAATCTTTAGTAAATACAGGTCTTTACAGTGTTTACATGGTTTACAAGATATTTAATACGATGTATAAAACGTTCACTGCATAAAGTGATAAAAAAAAAAAATTAAAACATAAAATATAAAATAAAAAACTATAAATATCTACTGGTCTGTTGTGCTATGGAATGACATGTGAATGATATAATAGCAGACAATCACAATACCGACGTACTGTTTACTCGAATGACCCGAGAACCTGACTGCTGACGAGTTAATTAAAAGAAATGACTGAGCTTGGCCGTTTTTTTATACGTCAACCAAAGCAACACTGATGCCCCTAACTCTCGATTTCGTATGTTTGGTTGGTCGGTGGCCGTTTGGCGGAAAATGTTTTAAGAAAGATGAGGGTACGCTAATCAAGGTAAGAAATTAGTTTAACAACGAGATAAAAAAACTCAAGAGGATTATGGAAAATGTTTTGCATTAGTTCCCTCATACATAATATTGAATTTAATTAATATCCGATTGCGGAGGAAAATATCTTTAAAAGCAGACAAACTCATACTTCCTTCCATTAGCCTTTCAACGAGAAAAAGTCTCAGCTGCAATATACTCAAGGCATCCTTGCTGGTTGGTACAGTATGCAGTCGACATCTAAATAACACTGTTGGGCATTATGATTTTCATTTCTCACAAAAAATCCATTACGTATGTCTTATAGAAATAAGAAGATGTGGTATGAGTGCCAATGAAACAACTCTCCATCCAAGTCACAATGTGTAAAAAGTAAACAATTATAGGTCAAAGTTTAGACTTCAAAACGGAGCCTAGGCTCATACCGAACAGCAAGATATAAAGGGCCCCAAAATGACTAAGTGTAAAACAATTTAAGCAGGAAAACCAACGGTCTAATCTATATTAAAAAAAAAACGAGATACACTTATGAACCACATCAACAAACGACATCCACTGAACAACAGGCTCCTGACTTAAGACAGGTGCAAACAAATGCAGCGGGTTTAAATGTTTTAACAGGCGCCAACCTGCACCCTTACCTGAAACAGTAGTGTAATATTATAACACAGAAAGACACACTATAAAGTATCAATTGAAATGGCTTAACTCGTTCAAAAAGACACATTAACAAAAGCAAGTAATTATACACTGAACAATCTATGATACAATATAAATACAATATTAATATAAAAGGGGGATGTTAAACAATGCTAAAAGACAACTCTCACCTGGGACAAAATGGCGTTAAATAATTTTGTTGTTAGGAATACGGAAATATTTATTACAAAATAGATAAATTTGTTGTTAATAGCACGAGTACAGAAGTGAAAATTTATCGTCATACTAAATACTTATCAAAGGCTGTTCATATCAAGAATAGTGAGACAAAATATAACACAAAATAAGTAAAAACAAAAATGCATATTAAAATTGTTTCAACAGGTCAAATTAACACAAAAGTACGACTTGAGAGTACTCGCAGTTACTGAAAGCTAGTTTTAGGCCAAAACAATTACAATATAAAATCGTGCACCAGAGACTTGTTTTCCAAATGGTATTTTCGTACGTCCTAGATATTTCTCACCTAAAATAATGCACCATCTTATTCATTAGTATTGCCATTTTTTCACTCTAGAATGGTTCATTTATTTCATACAATTTTTGTAAAAAATAATCTTAGTGGTTTTGATAAATAGTTTTCAGCCGAATAAGCCATTCTTCCACATAAACATGTTGGAGCAAGAGCACTCCCTGTTAATGAATTCTGAATATTGTGAATATTGTGAACAAACACGATCGGAACATATAAAATGAGATATGTAAACGCAACACGAGGGTCTAGAGAGTTCGTTACTACTGAGAAACTGGAAGTTGGTCATGGGAAATCTCAAATGTCAGAGATTCCCGTTTGAAGCTGTCCATCTGTGTCGATAACATATGCATGGAAAACAACATATGAAAAAAGTAAA